TGGATCAAGAAAATGATTAATTTTAGAGGGATAAGATGAGGTCTGTACTAAACGAGAAAGACTTCCATGTATCGGGATAGCACTATTTTGCTATTCCCGACCAATAACGCTATGACACGCATGACAACACTTCCACGTGGTATAACATTATTAGCTGAAGATAGCAAAACAGTGTTATCCCCGTTGCAACTAGTTTTTCTTGTACTAAACCAACAAAGTGCTGCCTAAGAGAGTTGCAAGTTAAAATCAAAATAAGATTACATCATTCTTCTAATTATTACATCATTCTTTTAGATAGTGTCTCATTTGTTGAAAGGAATATAAGTGGTGGCAATCAAATGCAAATTGTTCTTTCTTCTAGCCGTTATTCCAAAATTCTCAGCCATGTCGAGGGCTTCTAGTTTAGTCCCATTTGGAAGGTTCCAGTTAAAGTGGTACAATAGTTGAGCAAGTCCAAGTTCAATGTTTGAAGTAGCAAATGAGATGCCTGGACAAATCCTCCTACCTGCACCAAATGGAAGCAATTCAAAATTGTTGCCTTTAAAGTCAATGGAAGAACCTTGAAAGCGCTCTGGTTGAAAGCATTCAGGATCGGCCCAAAGTTTTGGATCTCTCCCTACTGCATAGGCATTGATGACGATTTTGGCCTTGGCTGGTATTGTATATCCACCAATTTCACATCTTTCCTTTGCCTCTCTGGGGATTAAAGGACCCGGAGGGTGCAACCGAAAAGTTTCCTTCATGACTAATTTCATGTAACGTAGCTTTTGAACATCTTCCTCTTTGATTTTGTTTTTTCCTTCGAATACTTGTCGCACTTCCGATTGCACCTTCTCGGTTACTCTAGGGTTTTTCAGAAGCTCTGACATTGCCCATTCCATTGTTGTTGCTGAAGTCTCACTTCCTGCTGAAAATATATCCTGAAATCATTGTGAAGTTGCAATGAATTATATGCTTGTACAATAATATTAGGGTTAGTTATTATATATTAAAAAGCAACTTTAGGGCTTTTGTATTGTTAAGAGTTTTATTTGTATTGTTATGGTTTGGTTTTTTCAAGAGCTTTATCTTTCTTTCTTTTTTCTTATGAGTTTGTACTCTTAGTTAGGATACCTATGCAAGAGTTTCTTCGATCATGCGTGATCATTAGTGGAGGAGCCTCAGATTGTCTTAATTTGGACGTTAGATCCCTCCGTTATTGTAGTTGCCCTTTGTGGCTAGTGGCTTTTTTGGCTGAAATATGAATGCAATTCCAGAATTTCTAAAAAAGTACAAAAGCATAACAATAGAGCTTTCCTTTCAAACCTTGTTACCAACATCATCCATATACTTGTATATGTTTCCTTTCCCAACAAGAAAACCATTTTAGAAATTAATAATTGCTAAAATACACTGTTTTAAAATATGAAATTGTTAACAAATCATAGATTTTACCACTATGAAAATGAATAAATTCGATTTAAAGCTAGGGAAATTAGCATACCTACATTTTTCTTTCAACCAAAAGTAAGATAAAGTGGCAGTTGACGCATGGATACCACATAATGATGCATATACCAATAAGCTAACGAACTACATAATCAAGTTAGCAATTGGTCATTTCAAATGAGGTGAAAATGGATAAAATGGATTCTCCGCTAATAAAAACCAGAAAATTTTTTTTTTTTTTATATATATATATAAAAAAATTGTAATTCATTTATATTTAAATCGAAGTAGAATATAGAACGACACAAAACAGTGGCCCCATTAAAACCTTCCTGAGGGACAAATCTCAGAGTAAGAAAGAGCAGATATGGAGCCACAGTGAGGTCATTGGGGTCAAACGACCCCATGGAGGCCATGAAAATAGGCTTTGAGGTCCTCATAAGCCGATTGTGTGACCCCATGGGACACCCTCCAGTTGCTCGACCATTTGCCTGAGAGGAGGAGTGATGCGCAGTGTGAGGAAGAAGAAGAGAAGTGTTCGCTTATTTTTATTAAATAAAAAAATAATTGGTCCAGGTGTTTACCAATCCCCCCCCCCCCCCCCCGACCCCTTAATCCGATACCACCAATCCCCAAACCTTAATCCCCCAAATTAACCCAATCTCCTCTCCTCTATTGCCCGCCTGTCGTCGCCATGTTCACCACCTGCTATGTGTGCCCCATTATTGTTGTGAAATTAAATTTACGACTTGATTATATTGTTTTGATTTGTTAATTAATTGATTATATTGGTTTGAGTTTTGGGTTTTTTGTGGTTAATTGGTGTATTATTTAATTAATGTGAGTTATTATTTGGATTAATTATTGCCACTGTCATTGGAGTATGCCGTTGTCCACTACATGTTGTGGTGCCACTATTATTGTGATATTTCTCATTTCAAGTAAGTTCTAAATCCTAATATCAAAATAAAGGATGATGTATGTTGTTGATTAGGTGGTTGTGGTGTTTTAGTTTTTTTGGTTAATTGGCATAAGTTTGGTTTGAAATTGTATAGGATTCGGAACATTTATGCTATGACCCTATGGGGTTTGGATTCTGGATCCGTCACTAGGAAAGAGTACCACACATGTCATAGACTAACAAAGAGTCTGAAACAGTCACGTAGGACCAATGCTAGAGCAAGATAAAATAAAATAAAACAAGAAGCTGACACATAAATCTTCAATGCAAAGACCTCCGACGAGAACACTACAACACAATTCAACTGTCCAAAGAGTCCTACTATGAAATCATAATCCTTTGTACATCCACAAGACAGTGAGAACATCCGACTGAGAACACAATATGCCAAGAAGAAAAAAAAACCACTAAGCGCACCATCTCTAGACACCTTGCTCTTGTTTAATAATTTTAGGCTCATTAGAGCTTGTGTGAGTGTATTAGATGATTTAGTATGTTTTACGCAACTTCGGAGTTTAAAAATACAAGAGATATTGGGGGAGGGATTCAAACACAAGAACTCAAATGCACAAATAATTCCTATTAACGACTCGAGGTACAAGCCCACTACCCAATAAAAACAATTATTGCTAGAATGCAGAGATGGTACCATAGTGACGGCTTTGATTTGATCGGTTGTGAGACGAAACTCATGATTATTGGCCTCCTCATAATTCAGAAGCGTGTCAAGCAGATCTTCCTCATCTTCACCAAGCCTACCAAAGCCTTTTCTACTAGCTTCTCTTTTCATCTTATGCTCCCTCACAATATCTTGAAGAATCTCGTCAATTTTTTTTTGAATTTTCATCAATGCAGGCTTCATCCCACTCATGGAACGAAGAAATGTAAGAGAAGGGTACAAGTCAGCGATGTTAAAGCCTCCAGCAAGAAGTATAATTTCCCCAAGCAATAATGTAAACTCATGTTGGTATTTGCACTTGTTACCAAATGCTGCCCTAGAAACCACATCATTTGTCATGGTGTAAATCTTGTCACTCAAATTTATGGTATGTCCCTCGGAGGCGGCGACGAACTCAACAAGATTCCACACCTCCTCTTCCCTTATCGATTTGAACGATCGGACACGGTTAGTGCTTAAGAGTTCCATCATGGATATCTTTCGCAGTTGTCTCCAGTACTCGTTGTAAGGAGCAAACACGATGCTTGAATGATCATATGCCATTATTTCAACTGCATACACTTCCGGCCTTTGCGCAAAGCTGATCTCGCTTGTCTTCAAGACCTCTTTGGCTGCTTCCGGGGATGAAATGATCACGGCAAAAACTTCCCCCAGTTGCAGTTTCATGACAGGACCATGTTTGTTGCACAAGTCGGTGACAGCATGATGTGGTAGGGCACCAATCAACTGGTGCAAGTTCCCTATAATAGGCAGCTGCTTTGGCCCAGGAGGCAACTTGCTCAGGCCTTTGGCTTGAGATTTCTTCCAGTATTTGAAAATCATCAATAAGAAGAAAAGAGAAGCTAAGAAGACAGAAAAGGATGGCAATTGGAGCATCTCGGATATGGAAGAATCCATTGACAAATTTGTGCTCAAGTTTTGTTTGGTAAAGAACTGCATTTCTTGTGTGGATGCTTAGATGTGTGCTCATGGTTCTATATACATAACCGTTTGGGATATAAATTAAAGGCCAAAAGTGAGTTTGGCACTTCAACAACTTTTGACCTTGTAGTTTTAATTTCGTCACTTTTGACCATGTAGTTTCATATTTATTGCAATTCAAGGACAAGATAAAATTTATGTTTATTTTTTAAAAGGAGCAACCACGTGTCACTCATGTGGAGGGGCAATTTTGTCAAACCAAAATCTCAGGCTAAAAGCTACCTCTTCCCCATGGCTCGAAAATGGGCAACCAAAATCTCAAAATCCTCCCTCCTTCACTATACCAAATTCCCAGCACCTAACCAATCTCTATCTCCTCCATCCCTTTCTCTCTCCCTACAGATTCAATCTTCTAAATAACCAATGTCAACTACCTCCACCATTCTCCACCTCACACCCACCACCACTTAGCAACTATAGCAATTGAAGGAGATAGTGGCTCCTTTGAAAATGAAGTACAAAAGTGTAAAACCAAACAGTTCTTGTTTCGATGGTTGGAGGGCTTTGCTGGTGTCATGTATTTTTAGTTATGGTTTTCTTTGACTTTGGCTTTAAATGTTATCACCTGGTGGTTCTGTTTTGTATTTATGCACGATCGTTTATTCCTGTCTTGTTTCCTCCTTCGGCCTTTCTGGGACTTTTCTAATTAAATATCTTTCTATATTGGCCAACAACGAAACAATTAAACTACAGTAAAGGCCAACTTCAGTTCACAAAATATTGGCCGCCAAGCAATTTCAAATGACTCGGAAAATTTTCTTATTTGTTGCTTTTTCTGGTGGGTTCCATCGGGCTCTTGAACCTCCCATTTGCCTCAGTAGTGGAGGCCTAATGGTAACTCCCATATGAACTTGCACCTCCCATTTGCATATTAAGAGTCGGTCTTGGATTCATTGATCTTGCACCCCAATTTGTGTTTGATTCACAGAACTTGAATTTCCAATTTGCATATTAGGAATAGGCCTTGGAGTGGGTATAAGAGGAGTTGGTGGCAGCATCATTATCACTTTCATATATTTCTTTATCTGATTCATCACCACTGTCTTGAAGATCTCTTACTCTCCTATCATCGGCATCAAAGTCTTCTTCACTATCCTCTTCATCATCGACATTGACAGGTACCTCTATCTTATCTTCATTGCCAATATTACGTCCATACACAGGCACCTCCATTGTTCCCACGTTGTCATTACCCACTTCTTGTCGGAAATTTGTGAAGCTTGATTAAAAATGTCATCTAAATATTCATCTGGAACCTCATCAGATGCTTTGACATAAGGAAATTCTAGAGGGCCAGCATCTGAAAAATCAACGCTATGAGATTGAAAATATTGCTTTACTTTATGTGAATCAAAGCATTCAAAGCTATTAAATAACAAATGGCATGCATATTACAATATTTTATAAAATTTTCGATCACCATCTCAAGCAGTAGCTGCCAAAGCAACAAAGCAACAACTTTCCAAACCCAAAGTTATAGAACAAAAAAACAAGGCCACAAAAGAATGGAATTTAAAAATAAAAAAAAAAGAGTTGGAACCCACTTATATGCATTGAAAAGTCGAATAAAAGTTATGAAACAATTTCACAAAAAAAACTGAACCTATAAACCTGAATTATTGAAGCCTCCATTGACTTCACCTCTCTTCTTCACCATCGTCATTGCTTCTTTACGGAAACAACCTATTGAAGTTCTGCTAGTTTTTTCGCACCCTCTCATTGTGCTCAATTGAAAACTTAGACGAATTTCACTAAATTTTTAAGAGCCATAATCCTAGTATGCTTCAAAATGGGCAATTTCGTGTGCCCTAGGGAAGAGGTAGAGACTAACTTTTATGTGGAGCTTTGGGCCGACAAAATTGCCTCTCCACGTGAGGGGTACGTGGTTGCTCCGTTAAAGAAATTGATAGAAATTTTAACATGTAAATATGACATTACAGAGTCAAAAGTGATTGAAGTGTCAAACTACAGTGACAAAAAGTGACTTTAAGCCTAAATTAACTACAAACATTTTTTTTTTCTTCCACAAATACAAACATTAATTCAATTATATTAATATTTGGAGGGAGTTAGCTCATGATTGCTTAGTTCTGAGCAACAACCAAATATTTAGCACTTCGAAACTGGAAATATAGTGAAGGAATCTATGGTGAAAAAATAATAAGATACCCAGTTGACTTTGTAAATTTTATAAGTATAATGATCCCATTTCAGAAGTCACCAGTGAGCATATTCTCTTTCAAATGTCAATTTCACCAACAGCTATTATAAATAAATAAATATATCATTCTGAAATTATTTCACTAAAAGAAAAAAGAACTCAAATCAAGGGGGGCCAAAATAAGTTGTACGCTTCCAGAGCAACACCTCAGCCAAAAAGCTTACGCACTAGAAGAATTTCAAGTACCTAGTAAGAAAAAGATAGCACTACGCCAAAGCACGAGTCCTGTTTCCCTTGCTATTCTTAGTCCTTCATATTTCAAACTGTAACACTACAAACAATCAATTCAACATGAGTGATGAAAATTTAACATCCAAATTCTTTGGTATATCCATTTTCTTTCAGCTCCAGAGGCACGCATTTTGTGGACAAATGTTTCAGCTCAAAAGTAGTGCAGATATACAGATGTTAGCTCCCAATGCAGAGCTTAGAACATCAAGAGATTGAAGATTATAGAAATTTGCTTCTTGTTGTCTAAAATTGACCAACAATTAAATATATTTCTTCTATTGCTAGGAAAAGAGGAAAAGCGGCCACATGTTGGAAAACCTTTTGCCGATGAAAGGAACACTTACCAAATCTATCTATGGAAAGCAGACAGGAGATTCGAAGGATTTATTTTTGGCGAATGAGCTTCCAAGTATTGAATAGTAAGAGATTTACAACTCAATGACCATCACTTGGACAGAGTTGTGAAACAAGCTTTACAACTCCCCACATGGGTGCATCATTCTGCAAGAAGCCATGCAACAAGTTAAGTATCGTCATCTAGTTCTATCCTAGTAATACTCACATTTTTTTCCCACATCTTCAAAGATTTTCAAACGCTCTGCTATATTTCCCTTCTTTAGATAATTCATTATTACAATATTTAGTAAGTAGGAAATCCTGTCAGCTTTGGCCAAAGACAATGAATCGTTCAGGGTTTGAATGCTGAACAGGTCAACTATCCAAGGACAAAGATAATCTAACAACGCCAAATAGATAAACATACAAGCATAGTAACCTCATTAATCCTTTGGAAACCAAAAACAGTCAAAGCAACCACACAACCTTTCAAGGCATTCAACTCACCAGGTAAACAACGTCAAAGGCTTGGCGGTAGCTATCAAGAGAATTCTCAACATTGTCATTCCTGGAACAGCAGTTAACATGATTCAGCAACCAAATCAATTTATGGATCATCATAACTCTTTGTCTGGCTAGTTTATCAGATTTGAAAAATAAACTAAGGGGATGTGCAAATATAACTTCTTTGTTCATTATCTTTCCATTAAAATAAAACAATTAACTTTAACTTCTTGGGCACTTAATGAACAAATTCAGCTGCCTCTAATTGTTGGTTGCAATGTAACAATATTATAAGTTCTAAAAGTAAAATAGAGGTGGCACTTAGTTTGGCCAAAATGGCTATAATCCGGCTTACTTTTTCACAGAACTAAAAACTGCATTTTGCAGGCAATGCAGAACATAACTAAGATAATAATGACTCATCATGAAGTAAAATAAAAGAGACAAAGCTAACTACCATCTAGCAGACAAAATAAAACAGAATAGTCGAACAAAGCAAATAAAAAAACAAAGTAAATTCCCAAGCTAACAAGAACCGCAAGCCACGTTGGCAACTGGGCCCACTTAATCTTGGAAAGCCATCTAGATGTTCTTGCATCATCAGACCAAATGAACTAATATCTCCACATACTTGGCTCTATCTTTCTTTAATGGGTTAATTTATCGTAATTCCCTCTTTCCTTGTCTTACCATTTCAGTCACTTGGTCATCCAAGTCATCACTTTCAATGCTACTTTTTGAACATTTTATGAAGTCCAATATTATATCGATGCTCTTTTGATTTTTTAATATATATTTTTCTTCACAGTTATTGAAAAATCAGTTCCCCCTACTTTTTGAACTATATTATTCATGTAATAACCGTGGGAACTAGAAAATGAGGATTATGTAACAACAAGGGCGGAACCCGAAAATTTTCAAGGGCTAATATTTGTTAACAAAAAATAAAATAAAAATAAGCCGACCCAAGACCAACTAAATTGAAACTTTTTGGACTTGAAAGAATTAATTAACATGATTAAAACTAGAAAAATATAGCTTTCGTGTACTAGACCACTGTAAAAGTGAGCCAGTTGGAATGGGCTAAAAGGTCAAATGACTGAAATTATATGCTGTAAAGGATTGTTGAAAAACCCATCTCTTGAAAACCGAAAAATGGATAATCCCCCGGGTTAACCAGGTTTTGATCCACCATACCAGTTTGACTTTCTCTTCAAGCAGGCCACTCATATTTAGTGTTGATAGCATATTCATCCTTACAACTAACCCTGTTTATTATGTTTCCTGTTCTGCTAAAAGTATGAAAAGTTTTACATTCAGTCATCTCATATATATATTTAAATGTTTAAACTGTACCTGACTGACCACAAAAAAAATCTACTTCAGGCTTTTAATTGCGACTTTAATTAAAAATACCATTATGTAAAGATAAGAAACAAAAGAAAACGAACAAAGAAAAACAAATGTGGAATATAGGATTATTGTGTGAGTGTACATCTCAAATGCCCTGTTTATAATGTGACATGTGACAAAAGATGAACACACATAACATTTGCCCTGTTTATATTTAACAAAATGTGACCATGAATAAGTAAAGAATTTGCCCTTTTCCCCCTTTTTAAACATAGGAAACGGAACTGCTTCTCAATAGCAAGCATATTAAATTTTAGAACAACAAAACGTTTGGAAATGAAGCATCCATGCCAGGGAATTTAAAACATGATGCAGCACAGAAGCAGGATATAGAACATCAAAGGACTAGAGTAAAACAGTTCTTAATATTGGGATTACAGAATATTATGACATTAGTGTTTAGCTATACACCACTTTGGAAGCAGCCTGAACTCATAAGAGTTGACAATGATATTTCACAAGTAACTAATTAAATACAGTTTTACTCCAAATTCTTTGCAGATTTAGAACAATATATTCTGAAATGAAGAATATATTGTCAAGAGATATCCATTTTGCATTCTACTTGCCATTGAAGAAGTTGCTTGAAATATAAGTTAACACGAGTATACTGAATTATGAAAATATATTCTGAAATGAAGAATATATTGTCAAGAGATATCCATTTTGCATTCTACTTGCTATTGAAGAAGTTGCTTGAAATGTAAGTTAACACGAGTATACTGAATTATGAAAAAAGTTACTCTTAGATTCATAACTCGTCAACTCTATCATATATATTAAGTATGCAGTACAATAAATTATTACTTACAGAAATCCCACGGAAATTCTATTCTCATAGTTCAAGCCATCAGACATTCCCAGGTCACCAATGTGATCACCCAGAAGCAGCACATTTCTTCTAGTCTTGACCGAGGCATTCTCATAAGTAGGAGCATCTATATTATCACCTAATCGATCATGAAGGGGAGCAGCCATATCCAGAGCATGCTCATTTTTATTCAGACTATGAATCGTCTTCCCTGTAAAATCAAGTTTTAAAAAAAAACATTCAGGGTACGAACATATACTACTGCATTGTCAAGAATGGACCTCATAGTAGTAAGGGGCTTGAACCAAACCAAAAAAATATTAAGACAAAATTATCATATAAGACTGCACAAGCACCATTAACTTATGAAGTACCCAGCTTTCATTTAACACCAAAATAACTCACCGGAATAAAAACAAAACTTCACCAAATAATTACTTCTATTTGCTTACATTACTTTTTTGTGTCGAGGAAAAAATGATAAAGTTATTTAAACAAATGAAAGATAAAAGAAAAGTGAAACTTGTACGTTAGCGCCATTTTCCAATGGCCTTAGAGCCTAGTAGCAATGTAGCATAAGCCAGCCCTCTTCTAAATGCAAGGATGTGTTTCAAGTCCTAGGTTTTGGACCAGCTAAGGTTTGGTGGGTTCAGGAGAGGGGATGCCTACCCATATTGTCAGCCTTGACACTGGACAAAAATACAAACAAGTTTTAAATAAACACAAACATATTTTCTTCAGAACAACTTGTTTTTGATATGCCATAGTAGGACATTATCTTTATAATTTCTCTTTATAGTGTGAAAACAATTCAGCATTAGTGGATACCTTGAAAAGATACAAGGTGACCGTTATTATCGAATACCATCCGATTTGAGACTATCTTCACATTTTTGAAAAGTCTGTGAATCTTCTGCCTAAGGACCTGGAACAATGAGAAGAAAAGGCATTAATGCACAAGAAAGTTGCGAAATAGACCTAGAAATTTAAAATGGCAAGAAATATAGCCACAAAACTTAACTAACCTCCTCTATGATATCAGCAAGTCCAGCAGAAAATATAAGAATGGGAATGTCTCTTTCCTGCAAAAGTGGGTAGAGGGAAACAGTAATGGTATAGCTTAATGAGAATAAGTTTTTCTCTGTTTTCCACTAAAAAAATTAGACTGAGTTAGTTTTAGGACGTTGCATCAGAGAACAAATGACCAAGCCAACATAAATTAATTCATTATGAATTAACTCAAACATTAAACAGATCAAAATCTTCAATGGATTCTTTCTATCCCAGGACATATATGTAGCCAGTTACTCACATAATTATTGCAGCAAAATTACACTTACCTCCAAAAACTCAAATAGTTCAACAACACCCTCCCTAAAAGCAATTGTGGAGTTAGCAACAGATTGCCTTATTCCATCATAGGTAAGACCTCCCTCAACTAAGAGACCATGAGTTTTTGTCCACCTGTATCCATGCAATCAAAATTAATGTTATCTGAAATCCAATTATTTGACTAAGGTAACATATTATAGCTCCTTGGACTGAGGTAACATTGTTATAGCTCCATATGAACAAGAACTTTCAGGTGAACCAATTCATGCTAGTTAGGTGATCATAATAAAATAAAATAAAAATAAAAAGACTAATAGAGGCCACTCAGAAGCATATAACAACACAAGAATTCATTTTGATTCAATCCCGGGCAGTGTCCTTAAGATTCAATTAAGTAGGCGAAATACCATTCTTCCATAAGCTTAGTTTTCTCTTCAATTGGAATTGTCGGGGAGAATTCTAACGGATGATAATGTTCATATAATTCCTGCCTTTTCTTATCATATTCCGGATTCTCCTGTTGCAAAAGGCCATGACTGCCTACTCTTGTTATCAATGAATATAAAAAATAAAATAAATAAATCTTTCAAACAGATAGTGATAACAAAGAATAAAGTTCAAAGACCACAAAAAACACTTACTTTGTCCCCGACAACCATTGACCCGGTACTTTGTTAGTGTGCCATCAAAATCTGCTATTACCTGACATGAAAATTACATAAACAAAATTCCCTCTAGAAACAATAATGGAATCTGCACATTCAAAAAAAAAATTCAATGGAAGAAAACTGCTCTCAATTATCTTACTTTGTTGCTATTTAAAACACAAAACACAAAATTTGAGCATAAATTTCCAACCTAAAAAACCCAAAAAACTTTAAATAAGAAAAATAATGAATCTTTTTTCTGGTCGAAGAAAACTAAAGAATTGAGTATCAAACATATGCTTCATAAGAATTGAAAAAGAAAAAAAACAAAGGGAATGAGATGGGCAACCTGGAGTTTGGCGGGACCGGCATTACAAATAGCAGCCATTTTTTTAACCAAGAGCTCAGAGTCACCCACAACCGCCTCACAAGAAGCATGGCTTTCCATGTGGGTCTGGTTTCTGAATCTACCGCTACAAAACCAAGCCCTGCAAACAAAACGCAGAACCCAAAACTGTATAAATAAGCATATAAACAAACACGTAGAGGCCAAGAGATTTGGCATGCGAGGAACCTGGAAATTAGGTGGGGTGGAATGGAGCGATGGATGCGGATGGTGGTGCCGAGGAGGATGCTGTGGAGACGATGACTCATTTGAGAGTGTGTTTATATATCAGATTCTTGATCACACACTTATCACTGTTTCTGTTTCTGTTTCTGTTTCTGGATGAGCAGTAAATGATATTTTCTAATGAGTGCTACTGTTTTCACATTTTTCTACACACTATATTTTCAAAATTTTAAAAATTTTAAGATAAATTTACCCATTTATAAAAAGACTTCTAACAACTTGGAGAAAATGATTATAAACCAAAACAATTGTAGAACCTGAAAAAAGCGTGGAAAAATAAACCTAGAACGGCGACGACCAGTTGCGTTTAGGAAAACTCACTGGCGTACAATTTGTCTGAAAACGACCGGTCGCAATTCCCTGGCAACCGGTCTCTTTCTATGTTTTTTCCAGAATTTTGACTCTGCTTCAAAACGACCGGTTGCGCCTACCTAACGACCAGTCGCCTCCTACAATACTTGCATCTTAATGTGAGCCAATTTTTAACAAAGATAGGATTGTGTTTTTTCAAATTTACATAGTTGGTGGGAAGATAAGGTGGTGGGGAAATGGGACAAGTCAGTGAAAATAGCAGCACTCTATCTAATACACAACACAGTTTACTAAATCGTGAAAGAACAAGGAAATTCTAATTAAACCCCTTGGGCTCAATTTATCACATTCAGTAAATACACTAAATAACCCAATTTATTTAAAAAAAATTCCCAAACCATAGGGAGATGTTTCATTAATAAAAATCACCTTGAAGGCTTGTCTGTAAAATGGGTCGGGCTTAGGGTTAGCTCAGGGCCTACCTAATTACGGGCTTTTTTGGCCTGTAAATGATAATTAATGTTATATTCCTTTTGGCTTGTAAAATATAATGGGTCATTATATTCTTTTAAATCTTCTAATTAAATACAAAGCATGATTAATATTAGTTTAATTTATAAAAATGTTATTTATTAATTTAAATATTGGGCCGGGGGCGGTATCATTCATGGGCTTAGGAATTGTAGCCCAAGTCCTACCCTTTACACAAACGACCCAGGCCAAGCTCGCCTATTGGCCCATAATACAAGGCTAGGTTGGCCCATAACCTAAAAAATAGGACCGAATTCAGGCTAGCTAATTGGGCTTGGGTCATTTTTACAAGCCTAGTTACAACAGCCATTAAACGCACAAAAAGTCCCTGACGGGCACCAGTTATAAGGACCATAATACTTCCAATGGTGTACGAAAGGTAAACTTATTTGATACTCCCCCAACAACCCAAGGTTTACCAAGCTAGCCAAAAATCAGTACCAACCACAAGGACTGGAAAAACCTTTTTGGTCACATTGATCTCAAGTTATATTATTACGACTCATTAGCCATTTTTCTGAACCAACATACCCAGTGGCGATCCTACAGCCAAGGCAGGGTAGGAAGCTGCCTACCCCAAATTTTTTCACTTAAAACAAACCTATATATAAGCAAAGTTATTCCTACCCAGCACATGTGATTGTGTAAATCCATGCCTACCCAGCCCATGTAAAACTTAAAAGCAACCCACATGTGTTATATAGCCCACTCAAAATTTTTTTTTTAAAAAGGAAAAAATTATAACCAGCCCACACTCTTGTGTTATGGAATGGCCCAGTCAAACTTAAAAAAAAAGGGGAATATAACTTATAAGCAGCCAAATAGCTTTTGGCTGTGCAATTCCAAACAGTCGGCAGGTTCTTCTCAACAGTCTTGGCTGTGCAATTGTCGACAACCTCTTCTCTTCTCATATATGAGGAAACAAGTATTCTTTCTCAGTTATGTCAACAATTGGTGAAAACAACTTTAATAGAAAACTACCATTTGCTTTACAGGTTGATTCAGTTGGTGTTGACTCTTCCTGTTTCTACAGCAACAATGGAACGAGTTTTTTCATGTATGAGAATTATTAAGAATAGACTTCGGAGCACCATAGCTGATGAATTCCTTGCTGACTGCATAGTCCTCCACATTGAAAGAGAGTTTGCTAATAGTATCGATAATACAGAGATAATTGAGGAATTTAAGATTTCTAAGTCTTGTAGGGTAAAGTTTTAGATTTAAATAGTTTAGTTTTGTGTTGCATTGCATTTTTTTGTTTTTTGTTTTAGTTTTTTTGTTGTTAAGCATTTATTAATGTATAGATGTGCATATTTGAGGGTAAGGCTCTTTACATCCCCCCTGACTAGGTGTATTCTTTTATTTTTATGAATGAAATTCATTCGTACCACTGAGTTTTTAAGGTAAGTTTCGCCTACTTGACTTTTGAATCCTGGATCTGCCACTGAGCATACCCCTCAAATTCGGGGTTTTAGGTTCATTGGGGGCTTAGAACCATTGTACTTGTAATTGAAATTGTATAACAACTTAAATCCAACAAAGTCCAATAAGCACAATAACAAGGCATGGACGACCACAGGGGGAGGATGTAGGTCTTGCACATGTTAGATCACTGTAAAAGCAACTTTATACATCTCCTCACATTAGAGTTGGGGCATCTTTGAGATTGAGAGATTGAGATCCAGATCTCGTATTCTGTGAAGCTAAAATCGGCTACTCTAGGGAGAGAATTGCTAGCACTACCATCTCTAGAGTACTCATATTCATCTCAAGAACAAGCTTGGTGTCGAGACTTACAAGTCACATTCTTTTGTGGTTTTATGAGAATCTATCAAAGTGGATAGGGGAGAGACTTCAAGCTTCAAATTTGTGTTGGAACTTAAAGATACACCTAACTAGTCAGGGTAGAGCGAATTGTGTCAGGCCCGTCCATTTAGGAAAATCATCAATCTCGACCTAAATTCACGGACCAAGTCCATATGGGTTCGGGTCATGCTTGTGTCGGGCCACTGAAAGGACCGATATGGGCCCACACCAAATTTGACTTATGTATTGTATTTTTTTTTATTTTTTTTTACAACCTCATTTAAATCTTTTTTATAATTATATATATACTAATAAGATTTATTTATTTTTTAAAAAAAGAGGTCAATAACTTTCTTTAAAGTACATTTAAATAGAAAATTGCTAGATTATTGTTTGGGTTTTAAAAATTGAAAATTGAAAAACAAAATCATTATTTTATAAATATAAAGAAAAATAATAATTTTTAGTATATATTATTAGTGAAAAGAAATAGACTTGAATTTAAGATATATGTGTAATAATATTATGTATTATTTTTTCTCTAGAACAAGTACAATTTAATAAATGGGCTTTAAACGGGACAGTTCATTGGATTTCGAGCTAGCACGGCCCTGCCCGACCTATTGGACCTAGTTACTTCATCCTAGCACAACCCAAAGATACGGGTCATGCCGTGTTGAGCCTTACTTAAGCAGGTCATGCTCGTGCCGTACTCGGGGCGGCCCAGTTCATTTGACACCTCTTTTTTTGAAAATTGGACTCAAGTCAATGGATCAACTAAAAGAAAGGGATATTAATTGTGTTCCCATCCTTTAACATAATGGCTCACTTCTGTTTCTCTCCCACAGGATCATGAGTTGACATGCATAAATATCTTACAAGTAAGTAAAGCACATAATTTTGGAGAAGAGCTACTTTCAATTAAGTAAAGCACATCACACGCCAAATTATACGAGTTTGATGCCTTAATTGGTGTAAATTTTCCACAGCAAGGTACTATTAATGGATATCTTTTACTTTTTGTACCCTTACAGAAATGAAAAATATTTTGTGGAACGATGGTTATGTTCATTGACACGTGTCAAGTGTTGAAAATTATGAAGATGATGGAATCAAGGCAATATAACTACACACTAAAGTCAAAGTAAACAATATATACAGCTAGCAAGTAAGGGAAAGAATCTTGGGATATTCACGCTGATGGGGATGAAGTACACATGAGCTTGGGCCAAAAGGAAGAGAAAATTGGAGTTAAGAGCCCTATGATAAATATATCTGCAAACTGATTGGAAGAATTAACAAATGAATTGACAAGAAACCTTCGGAAACTAATTCGTAGATGAAGTGATAAGAGACCTCAATATGCTTCACATTCAGATCATTATCATCAATCTAGCTCAAATCCAACATCTCAAATAATGATTATCCACACGATTTACGATAAAGTTTCTCCTTATCAAGGAAGTGGAAGGAAAAAGTGATTAAAGCTAATGAGAAATTGTGCACACTCGACTCGAGTAGCCCCAATTGTCAATTATTATGACCGTTGGCCGCACGCTTCCGCTACCTCACCAGTGCATCACAACGTGAACACCTCATAGCCTCCATGCCAGACACGTGTCCTTCAATTACTTTCTAACTCAACATCTTGGCTTGGTGCTCCATAATAACCACGTGGCGTACAACTATAAGCTATCGTCTTCTCTTATCCTGCTCGGCGCCGCACAGGATCTCTTCCAACGTTTTCGAATTTTAAAATGGCAAAAAAAAACTTTGTAGCCGTTGAAGTTGGAAAGCGCTGTGTCTGTAAGCACCAAAGGTCAAGGTGGAGAAGAAGCAGCTTAGCTCACACAGCTTCTTCACTGTCATCTCTCAATCTCTCTAACCTCTCTTCAAACTTCACAAATAATCCATTTCTGGCTTGAAGCATCCATTTCCTGGTTCAGATTTTGGAAGCTTTGCTGGGCAACAATGAAGGGAGTGAAAGGAAAGTTCCTGAAGAAGTTGAAGACAATCCGGCCTGTTGGGTATTTGAAGCCACAAGATCGAATTCTTCAGGTAAGTGCGTCAGATGGGTATGTAGATTCTTATCCCAAGAGCTCAGATCTCAACGTTCAGGCCCAGTTGGTTTCCATGGAAACAGAGCAGAAGAAAATGAAAGAGAACGTTTTGACCGAGCAAGAGCCTGATGTTATTGACGTCGCTGAGTTTATGAAAGACCTTGAAGATGAAGAATCAGGGCCTGAGGATAATTTGGACGACAAGGAAAACATCCAGCCAAAAATGAAGGCAAAAAACTCAATGGCATTCAAGGAAAATTTGATGAGAACAGAGCACAATTTGGGGGAAAACAGAGCTCTTGAAGCTTCAGAAGAATCGTTGCCCGGGCCGGATCGTGGTAGACAAATCCCTTTGTCGGAGATTGACATCTCGTCTTTTCGCAGACCGGACTTAAACTCTGGTAGCCTCTTTGACCCGAACCTACTCGCAGCCTTTCAGCAAGCCGTGATGGAATATATGAAGTTGAGTGAAGCAGAGAGAATATCAAGAAGAAGTGAAAAACAGAATCTTGAATCCAATGTAGTTGAGCCAGAGCCGGAGCCGCCTTCAAATGAAGAACCTCTATTATGCTTCGAGGAGAAGTGTGTGCCTGGGAGTTCGGATTCATCAGTAATTCTGTACACAACAACCCTTCGAGGTATTCGAAAGACCTTCGATGACTGCAACAGCGTTCGGTTTCTTTTGGAGAGCTTTCGGGTGGTGTTTTACGAGCGGGATGTGTCTATGCACATGGAATTCAGAGAAGAGCTGTGGCAAGTTTTGGACTGTAAAGCAGTGCCTCCTAAGCTTTTCATAAAGGGGAGATATATTGGGGGAGCAGAGGAGGTTTTGACTCTTCATGAGCAAGGAAAGCTTAAGCCACTCTTCCATGGAGTCCCGATCGATCGGTCTATTGGCCCCTGTGAAGCTTGTGATGGAGTTCGATTTGTTGTTTGTTTCAAATGCAGTGGCAGCTGCAAAGTGATTGGCCAAGAGGGCCAGTCAGACAAGTGCTCAGTGTGCAATGAAAATGGGTTGATTATATGTCCCTTGTGTTGCTAACTTGCTGAAGAAAGAAGCTTGTCTCTGTGATTCTTGTTGTAGCTCCTTGTACTGTGTATCTTAATATTTTGATTCTTTTTAGAACATTATATATCATATTCTTTTGATTCTTTTTAGAACAATCATATTCGTTTGATTCTTTTTTGTGCTGGTTTGGAGAATAAATGGAAGTGTCTGGTAAGGGATTTGTGGATTTGTAGCTCAAGTGGTCGACAGCATTCACCCACCCGTGCACCCGAGTTCCACTATTCGATTCTCACATCCACAATGTGGCAGCATATGTAAACTGGTTTGTAGATTGAAATCAGCTTTGTCCACATTTACTATGTAAACTTTCATGGATATATAATAAATTGAGCATATGGGGTAGTTTTCTGTTGCATTATGAAGTAGTGAAAAGTGGGGATCTGAATCATTCAGTCTTTTTTGTTTTTTTTTTTTTGTTTTAACATGAATCATTCTGTCTTTTATCCAACAAAAATTGGATCAAGGAACAAAATTCTGTTATATAATTTCTAGTTATCCTTTCTCTCTTTTATTATTTTGTTTCAACTTTCTACTGCCTTCAGTGACAACAAGATATTCCACGGTTTCTACAAAAGTTGTTTCTGTTTTTAAAATGAACTAAAAATAGACGGGAAAGGCTAACATTATAACTCTTTTTTTTTCTCAAACAGGCTAAAATTGTCGGATTAGAGGGTAAATTATTATTTTTTTCTTTCCGAAATACAAAGACAATTACAACAAAGATCCACGAAGTATCTTACGACCATACAAATCGCATTAGAGGGTAATTGATATGTGAAACAAGTGCATGATTAATTAAACAGAACAGAAAAAAAAACACACACACACACTGACAACAACCAAACTGTCTTCTCACGTCAAAAGAAAAGGGAACAAAAATTATCTGTTGGTCAAATCAGTTTCTATAATGTGGTTTAGTAACAAAGCTGATAGAAAGGCATTGCCAGTTGTCTGCAAAGGTGATAGAAGAAGCTTTCTCCATGCATATATATTGATTGAGAGGTTCTTCCAGGGTCATCTGCTTAATTAGTTTCTTAATTAATTTCAGAGTGAGTTAATTTTGATTCATTAAGCATAGATTATTATTATTAGAGTTAAGGAAATGGGAAGAGGGACAGCAGAAACTAAAGCAGCAGATGAGGCGGTGGCATTGGCAATAGACAAGGACAAAGGAAGCCAGCATGCTATCAAATGGGCTGTTGATCATCTTCTCACCAAGGGCCAACATCTCAGTCTCCTCCATGTCAAACATACCCTTCCCAATCATGGTATCTCTCTCTCTCTCTCTCTCTCTCATGCATTAGTGTACGTAGTCATAGGCCTTGACCATATTTCTGACATGGATGAAATTCATGCACAACTCATCCACGTATTTGGCTCTCAACTTTCCGAAGAAAGATGTAGTGATCAAATATGATACATGTAACGTTACTTATTGTTCCATTACATGAAACACATAAAATAATTGCATATTCTTACAAACAAAAAGAAATTTGCATATTATTTATTTCGAATTTTGCTCTTGATAGTTTGCGTTTCTCAATCTCCCAAATTTCTGATCCTCCGTTTTTCTCATCCTATGCATAGTTTCAGTCTCCGAAGAGGGGGAGGAAGAGGAAAATGTATACAAAAAACCGGTTGATGCTGAAACCAAAGAGCTGTTTCTTCCCTTCCGTTCCTTTTGCAAGAAAAAGTTGGTGAGTTTCTGGTCCCTAGGCAGCTTTATTTTATATTTGATGCAGTTTCCGGTACCTAGGTAGTTTAATTTGATCTTTGCTGCAGATAAAGTGCCATGAAGTCGTAGTTGAGGCTGTCGATATACCGAAAGCCCTCATCAACTATGTTATCTCTAATTCAATTGAGATTTTGGTACTTGGTGCACCATCAAGACATAGTTTTTTCAGGTAATTTTTATTTACTTGCATTCCATTTGGGATTTGGTTAATGATTCAGACTGTCCATTTCAAAATCGTTTAGTTATTTGATTATCGTGGCTAAGTATTTTCAATTCGACTAACTTTTTACAAAGATTTCTTTTGTGAATGTGTGCCTAAGAACCGGACAGTTCGAATCACTAAACTACATTGCTCAAAGAATTTCCAACGAAATAATTACACATGCATTGACATTACATTAATTTTGTTTCAAATACATCAGATCCTTCAAAGTTACAGATGTTCCCAGTTGTGTGATAAAAGGGGTACCGAATTTTTGCACTCTGTATGTCATTGGCAAAGGCAAGATCTCCTATGTGCAAACAGCTACCATTCCACCACCCAAAAAAGCTTGTAACCAAATTCATAAACAATCCAGCAAAGTTTCCGAATCAAATGGTACGCAATCCATGTGTAAACAGCAACCAAGAGGTTAATTTCTTTCTGTAATTCAAGCACTGATCATGTTCTTCCCCAACTCGAATGATCCTGCGATTTTCGCTCTTTACTCACTCAAGTTTCTCTGATTAATGCAGCATCAGGAAAGAGGACACATTCTGCACCCGATAGCCTGATGGTAGATGACACTGAAATCAAGTAAGCTCTGATAAATGCTCTTCAAATGAAGATATTATGTGAATAGAATACAATATTTGATGAGAAGACTGACCTCACGAAAAAATGATGCAGGTCACCCTTCACAAGAGGACGAGCTTCAATGAACAACTCATATGACCTTTCACCAGAGAGAACTGATATATCGTTTGTGAGCAGTGGAAGGCCAAGTATTGATCGCATGTTCCCTTCGTTAACGACCCCTCGAAAGTCGATCAGCCCAGAATTTGACAACCGAAGCTCTGCGTCATCTTACTCAAGACATCAGTTTATTGACATGAGCTCTTCCCCACAAGACTTCTCATCATCCTCAATGGAAAGTGGAAAATCATGGTCATCATCACACAACATGGTAAGACAATTTCCCACCATAAGTAGACTTGGAAGCACCACGAATCTAATCGCCTTGGAGCATGCCAGAAACTTAATATTTTTAAGTCAGGAGCAGATTTAGATGTTTCCATTTTTGTTCAATAAGTACCGATTATATCTCGAATCAACCGATAAATATATCTCAGTTGTACTAGTTGAGATAGTACAAATAGCAACGCTCAACTTTATTAACTAGTTCTATTTGATTTCAGGCCATGACAAAAAAAGACGTGCATTTATTACAGTAACATACATATGCATGCAAAATTAGTTCAGAGTATTAATCTATAGTTTGCCTTGAAAATAATAGGATGAAGTGGAAGCCGAGATGTGGAGGCTCAAGCTAGAGCTCAAGCAAACAATGGACATGTATAAAATGGCCTGCAAGGAGGCGGTCACATTAAATCATGAGGTACGATGTGAAACCTTATGTGAGAATAAAATTTGTTCATGTTTTATTATCATCATCTCCAGAATATGAATTTTGCGAAACATCAGATAGCTAGCCCGAAAAATGACACATTCCAATATGAACTCTAATGACAACCATGACAAGCACAGGAACTTGACCGATGGAAATCGGAGGAGGAGCATAGATTAAATGAGGCACACATAACAGAGGAAGCTGCATTGGCACTAATAAAGAAGGAGAGAGAGAAATGTAAGGCAGCCATGGAGGCGGCAGAAGCAGCTCAAAGGATTGCTGAATTGGAAGCACATAAAAGGAGGAACGCGGAAATGAAAGCCCTTAAAGAAGCAGAAGAGAGGAACCAGGCAACGGAAGCAAGGGCATATAATCTAAGGTACAGGAAATACACAATTGAGGAGATTGAAGCAGGAACAAATAAATTTTCACAAACTGACAAGATTGGAGAAGGAGGCTATGGGCAAGTATACAGGGGTGAACTGGATCACACACAAGTGGCAGTCAAAATTTTACGTCCAGGTGCAGCGCAAGGACATTCGCAGTTCCAACAAGAGGTTTGTGATCGTTTACATGATCCAACTTTTAACTGGTATCTTCAAATATACAGCACATTCTTCAGATTCTTAGCACATAAGCAACATAAACAAGGGGAAGTACTGATATTAAGCAATTCCCACCTTGTATTCAACGACCCAATAGGAAGCCTAATAGTTCAAATAGAAAATGCTAGGATTACTGATATTTATTAATTTCACAAGCTAGGCACTTCTATCTTCTAACCCCCCCCTTCTTTTTTTTTCTTTTTTTTTATCGTGTATTTTTCTTGATATTTCCTAATTATGCAGGTTGAAGTATTGAGCTGCATACGACATCCGAACATGGTTCTCCTTCTTGGAGCCTGCCCAGAGTATGGCTGTCTGGTCTATGAGTACATGGCTAATGGGAGCTTAGAAGACCGTCTCTTCCAGCGAGGTAACACCCCAGTTATTCCTTGGCAGCTAAGGTTCCGAATTTCTGCAGAAATTGCCACTGGGCTTTTGTTCCTTCACCAGTCCAAGCCAGAGCCACTTGTACACCGTGACCTAAAACCCGGCAACATTTTGCTAGACCATAACTATGTTAGCAAGATTGGTGATGTAGGTCTGGCCAGGCTTGTTCCTCCATCAGTAGCCAACTCTGTCACTCAGTATCGAATGACGTCAACAGCTGGAACATTCTGTTATATTGACCCAGAGTATCAGCAAACCGGCATGCTTGGAACAAAATCTGATATCTACTCGCTTGGGGTCATGCTTCTACAAATAATAACTGCCAAACCGCCGATGGGTTTGGCTCATCATGTTGAGCTGGCTATTGAGCTAGGGACCTTTGCTGAGATGCTTGACCCTGCTGTTCCTGACTGGCCAATTGAGGAAGCCTTGAGCTTTGCCAAGTTATCTTTACAGTGTACTGAAATGAGGCGAAAAGACAGACCAGATCTTGCCAAGGTTGTGCTACCTGAGCTTAACAGATTGAGAGCACTCGCTGAAGATAGCATGCATTACAACATGCTTGGTGGTTGTGGTGGTGGAGTATACTTACCAAGACAAGGCTCAATTTCCAGAAAACAAGTGAGTTTTGTAACATAAATCTAGCATTGTACTTAAAGGAACTGCACAAATAGTTCTTTCTTGGAAGATCAAAGATCAAAGCAGGCAAACCCTTCATGCTAGACTTCCATTAAATTATTTCATGCAACCCTGCAGCTCATATAACCTCTGAAGGCTTCACAATATAGTTGGTTTCTTTGGATGTCTTCATCAAACTTTAATTTTATCTTTTGTCTTCTCTTTAGGATGTGCTGAGTGACATGCATCTACCAAGATCTGGATATGATTGTTCAAGGAGCCATTCAAGCACATTATCTTAGCAGGAAGGAGACTATCCTCGGATTCAGAAACTTCTCGTCAGTAAAAGTCAAAATAAGCTTTCCAATTTTCTTGATGCACATCTTACAAGAAGAGGACTAGTGAGAGAGAACCTTGATCCTAACCAACATGAAAAGTCAGCTGAATAAGCAGAGTTCATGATTCAGAACTATTAGTGGAGTTAGTAACAATGGTTATGTGTTCATAAAGTTGTTAGTATAAATGGTCACAAGAGGTGGGAAAGGAGATAAACTTGTATGAAAGATAAATTTATTGATTGTACAAATGGACTTCCTTGAATAATAAGGGAATTTTACAGAGGCTCCATTTGGAGATTCTTTCATTCATCTATCCTAAACTTGATAGAAAAATTTTGCTCAAAATTGGAATGAAAATGTCTTTGAAGCCCCAAGGTCATAAATTTGTTATGTAATAATGACAACAAAACTGATTCTGGCCGGGCCTCTCAGAATCACTTATGAAGAGAAGCACTCCCCAAGTGGACCTGTTTGGAAGTGATTCTAGGTTCATCCACACCATTCTTCATCCACTAAGCATGATCCACTCCTAAAGCCTTACAAGGGTCAGGCCTCCAATCTAGAAGAATAAGATTTTTCTTTAAGAAAGTGGGAAAGAAGAAAGGAAGACTTCTCTTGAAATTACTGTCAAAATTATTGACCAAGAAGCACTCTGTTAAAATCACTAGTAGTGCCACCCGCCCATGTTAACCTTCCCGCCTGGTTCACAGATTGCCTCTTGGAAGTCAGTCATCGAAGCATGAATCCAATTACATGCGTTTGGGCCCCTCTATGGTTTGCTTTTCCCTTACCTTGAAAACAAGTTTTTGCATTTTATTTTCTTTGTTTATACCAAAATGAATAGCCTATGAGGACTAGACACGTGGACAAGATTGAGCCTGACCATGGTAGCCTTCGGCACCCTGCCTACCGATTCAGCAATTAGGGCAACCCCCTCTCTAGGACACGTGGCAGGCCTACAATTGACGTCTACAGTCCCACATCGAAATTCCAAACAAAAAGCACACCTCCCAAGGCCTATAAAAGAGGACCATTGTCCCAAAATGGAGGTAATCAGAACTTACGGCATACAACCTATTGATCTGTCAGTTTAAGTTTACTATATCCGAACTCACTTAAGCATCGGAGAGCCTTCGGCCGGTACCACACCGGTGCCATAAGGTCTTACCGAACGTGCGTTATCTTGCAGATCACGTACTCCACCAAGGCCCAGAAGCATATCGAAGGCCCAACATCACTAAGTTGAGCGGGAAAAGGGCCAAACCATTTTTCCGCGTTAATAGTTTGGCGCTGTCTATGGGAAACGATCTAAATCAACCCACTATCCCTAGAACACATGGGGACCACTTCAATACCAACGTTCCTGTCAGAAGATGGATTACCGTTTGGAAGGCAAAGAGGAGCTAGCCCTACGCTACCCCATTGCACTTCTTTTGGCAATTCACCCATGATACAAACCACCGCTTAAGCCGAGCTTCTGGCCCAAATCACTTCTCTTCGGCAGGATATGGCTAAACTTCAAGAACATAACAACCTCCTGTCGTCCAAAGTGGATGAAACCCAGCACCTGCTTAATCAACAACACATGCAAAACATTCAAACCACCCAATCTTCCCAGAGCCTACAAACCCCAAGTCGGCAGAAGAAGGGTAAGAAGGTAGCAAAGGCAATGCATGCGCCCTCCAAGCAGTTGGTAGTTCCGACACCCAAGGATCAACCACACCTACCGAAAAAGGTTTACTCCGATTGTCGCCATCAGATTAACGATCGGGAAGTAGAAAGACAGAGATCTCTGATCAGGATCAATGCTCATCTAAGGGACTCACGGATAAGGGTTCTCGGGAACAAATCACCTATTCGGAAAGTTCAGGGCTTAGAATCTACCACCGAATCAGACTATGATTATTTCCATTCCAAGACCAAAGAATCTACCTACTGTTTGGCAACCAACGAGATACTCAGAGGCCATACCGGTAAGCCCGCAAAAATGTTCAGAGGATTACGGCTCTGAGGAAATCCCTAGCCGAGATCCCGTCATCTGACTTCTTTTTCAGAAAGTCCAGAAGATGGAAAAAGATCGAGTTCGCCTTTAGGAACCGGATTGGGGAAAGCTTCGGCCAGGACCATTCACTGAACGCATAAAGCACTCACGACAGGATAGAGACATACAACCTTTACGTATATCATTCTACACCGAGGTGGAAGACACCTTGATGCACCTCCACTCTTTTCAGTCAGCTGTGGGATGCAAAGGTCTCAACGATGAGGGGCAGTGCCTTTTGTTCCCATCCTCCCTTACAGAAGCAGCCTTAAACTGGTTCTACCGATTAGAGCCAGAAACGGTGGATTCCTTCGACGAACTAAAGCAGATTTTTCTCAATCACTTTATGATCCAGACGGACCGTTTGTATTCTTCCGATGATCTATACACAATTCGGCAAAGAGAGGATGAGCCCTTGAGAGAATATGTTGCACGCTTCAGTCACGAGTACTCAAGGTGTCCAGAAACGGACGACAGGGTAGCCTACGACGCCTTCAAGAGTGGCCTTCGGTCCTCGCACTTTCGGTACCTCGTGCACAGTAGCAACTGGCACACTTATGACGAGGTGATGAAGCAAGCGGCAATTCACACCAAGGCCGAATATTTCAACTCAAAGTCTGGGCCTTTGGCTCGACCGGAGGAACCAGCATTGAAGAGTTATCCTGGGCAAGAATCTCCGTACGCCCCTAGAAGAATTGACGAATCCTCTGCCGGGCACAAACGGAAAGATGACCATGACAATCGGCAGGGAAACTCAAAGAAAGGAAGAGGAAAATACGGTCGCAATGATCACCGGGCGCCCCTGTCAAATCCCAACTGCGCTCAGGAAGTCTTCACTATACTGAATACCACTTACAATGACGTTTTGATGAACGAGCATGAAATAATACCGAAACCGAACCACCGAAAGCCCAATTGGCAGGATAATCGGGATACCGGCAAATTCTGCCAATATCACCAGCATAACAGTCATAATACTGAGGACTGCATAAGATTAGCACCATCAGCGGGGGTCCCACACTGGCGGGTATGTCTAACCATTCGGTGAAGCAGTATGTACGGGCCGCACACTACCCCCAAGTCTTCAGCGTAGAGGTCAACCGGCATCACAAAGTGCCGAAGGTTGGATGAGAGCCCATCAAGTTTTGTGAAGAGGAGGAAGAAGGGATCCTCTACCCCCATGATGACCCAATGATCATTCGAGCTGAAATCACCGACTACGATGTAGTGCGGGTGTTGATCGATACTGGAAGCTTGGTAAATGTAATTTTTGCCGACGCTTTCAGAGGAATGGGAATAGCCGATAGCCAGGTCAATCGGCAGATAACACCCCTGCTTAGTTTCTCCCAGGACCTAATCCAGCTAGTCGGCAGTGTCAGTCTGCCCATCGCCTTCGTCGTAGCCCTTTGAAAAACAATGACCTATGACCAATTTCTCATCGTCGATTGCCCAATGGCATATAACGTCATAGTTGGACGAACGACACTCACCGGAATCAAAGCGCACCTGTCCCCCCATATGTTGCCGATGAAGTTCCCGACTTGCAATGGCACAGGCACTATTCGAGGAGACTAACTCAGTGCACGGACTTGCTATGCAACAACGCTGAAATTGGTAGCTTCTAAACCTCTCAGGGAGACCATGTCTGTCCAAGGGGCACTGAACGGTAACGGACAAGTTGACGACCTAAGGGAAGAAAACCTGACGCCACAAACACAGCCTGTCGAAGAGCTGGAAACGGTGGTGCTAAGCGAAAAGAAACCTGATCGGTGCGTCAAAATCGGCACCACACTCACCCCACCTCTCCGAGTGCAATTCATCGAGTTCTTACGACATCATTCGGAAGTGTTCGCCTGGTCTTACGATGACATGCCAGCAACTCCCCCGCCTGTAAACCTGTAAGACAGAAGCGCTATTCGTATGATGTTGAACGGTACGAAGCCATGCGTACCGAAGTTGACAAGCTAAAAGCCAGGACTATACCGTCCTGAACAAAGCATGTCTTAAGGATAGCTTCCCGTTGTCCCAGATTGACCAGCTTGTGGATGCCACTGCCGGTCACGAGTTGCTCAGCTTCATGGATACTTATTCGGGGTATAATCAGATATTCATGCAGCCTGCCGATAGCGAGCATACGGCATTCATCACGGACGGGGGTTTGTACTGTTACAATGTCATGCCATTCGGCCTAAAAAATGCAGGGGCAACATATCAAAGGCTCGTCAACCGAATCTTTGCCAAACATGATCAGTCAGAGAGGGATCGAGGCGAATCCCGAAAAAATCAAGGCCATAATCGACATGGAGATGCCGAAGACACAAAAGGACATTCAGAGCCTTACCGGACGTGTCGCCACCTTAACACGCTTCATTTCCAAGGCTACCGATAAGTGTGTACCGTTCTTTAAAGCCTTGAAAGGAGGCAAACAACATATCGCATGGACTGCCGAATGCGACAAGGCATTTCAAGACTTAAAGAACTACATGAGTAGAGCATCATTGTTGTCGAAGCCACTCCCAGGAAAGGTTCTATTTCTTTATCTTTCGGTATCTAGCAATACCGTTAGGTCGGTGTTGATACGAAAACTAGAGAAAGCAGAACTACCGATCTTCTACGTTAGTAAGGCATTGCAGAACGCAGAGATCTGGTACCCCTATTTGGAACAGCTAGCTTTAGCTCTCATTGTCTCAGCACGAAGGCTCCACCCATACTTCCAAGCGCACGAAATCACGGTCTTGACCAATCAACCGCTTCGGCAGGTACTCCAGAAATTAGAAACATCAGGATGATTGGTCAAATGGGCAGTTGAGCTAGGAGAGTTTGATGTACAATTCAAGCCAAGACCTGCGGAGAAAGGTCAAGCCGTCGTAGATTTCATCTCTGAGCTTACACCTTCGGCCGCACCAGAGCCAGCAAGTTCAGGCACTAATGCCGAGGAATAAGGCAAGCAAAACACCGAGCACTTTGACCCTTCCATACCCGTATGGTTCAGCTAATCAATAGGGTTGTGGAGCTAGTCTTGTGTTAACTACTCTGGACGGAGCCAAGGTCGAATATGCCCTCCGATTCAACTTCAGAACCTCCAACAACGAGGCAAAGTATGAGGTTCTTTTGGCTGGCCTTAGACTAGCTAAAAGCATGAACGCGAAGCAGGTCAGCATCCACAGTGACACTCAGCTCATAATGAATTAAATAACGGCAGACTTCGCAGCCAAAGACGCCTCCATGATAGCCTACCTATCAACCACACACCAACTCTTTCAGAAATTCCAGGCTTATGAGATTCGACAGATCCCCAGAATAGAAAACAGTCACGCTGATGCGCTGACGCGATTAGCTTCGACAATCGATGACAAGGTCGGGAGAAGGTTGCAGGTGGAAATCTTAGCTCAACCAAGCACAGAAACTTCCGAAGTATGTACCATACGGTATGAGAACACGTGGATGTCTCCAATCTACACTTACTTAACGAACGGTACCCTGCCCTACGATAAGTCTTAGGCACGGAAGCTGCGATATCGATCGACAAGATGTACAGTCATCAATGATATCCTTTACAAGCGCAGCTACACAACTTCATATCTGAAATGCATCACCACCGAACAAGGGGACTACGTCCTTCAAGAGATCCACGGCGATGTATGTGGTGACCATTCAGGGTCCCGGTCGCTAGCACATAAGGCTTTTTGGCAGGGATATTACTGGCCAACTATGCATCAGGATGCGGATACACTAGTGAGGAAGTGTGACAAATGCCAATGATTCGGAAATGTACCTCACATTCCTGCCGAGCCTTTGACACCGATCGTAAGTCCGTGGCCTTTTGCCCAATAAGGACTTGACCTAATCGGTCCAATGCCGCAACGAAAGGGGTAGGTCAAGTGCGCCATGGTTGCCGTGGATTACTTCACCAAATGGGTAGAGGCCGAAGCTTTGGCAACCATAACTGCCGCCAAAATAGAAGACTTTGTTTGGACCCACATTTGCTGCCCATTCGGTATCCCCTACGCAATCATAACTAATAAAGGTAAGCAATTTGATTCGAAACTCTTCAAATAATTCTGTGTCCGCCTCAAAATCAAGCTGTTCTTTGCTTCACCAGCTCCCTCAGTCAAATGGTCAAGTCAAAGCGATAAACAAGATCATTAAGAAACTGTTTAAACGACAGCTCAACAACGCCAAAGGCGCTTGGCCGGAGAAGCTTCCCGAAGCGCTATGGGCCAGCCGGACATCCTTCCGAACGTCCACAGGGGAAGCCGTCGTCCCTGTTGAGATTGGTGAGCCTTCCTACCGAATGGAAAGTTTTGAACCCAAGGCGAATGAGGAGGCCCTTGCATTAAATCTTGACCTGATCGAAGAACGAAGGGCGCAAGCCAACATTCGAAACAAAGCCTATAAGTAGCGCGTCTCTCGGTATTACGACTCAAGGGTCAGATCCCGCTCCTTCCGAATTGGGGACTGGGTCATCTGTAAGGTCTCTTTAGCAACCAAGGATCCTACGAAAGGAACCCTCAGACCTTCCTGGGAGGGACCTTAAGAGATCATCGGTATCCTCCGATCGAGAACTTATCGGTTAAGAGACTCCAACGGAAAGACCCTCGATCATCCTTGGAATGTAGAACATCTAAAATATTATTTCAAGTAGTTACCTAGCCTTCGGCAAGATGAAAGTGTAATACAATGAACATGTACCCATGCCTTTGGCGGTAGTTAATGAAAAAGCCTTCGACTTAAATATATTTACAACCTTCGGCGTGTTTATTTATTTTTCGATAGTTAAAAAGATGCGGTAGAGACCATCGGTCACACATTATTCAAATGGACCAATGCTTAAACGGTTTTATGTTTGTAAATCAGCCTTTATTAGCCTTGGGCAACAAAACGGCTTGAATCCAAGTCTCTTACCGAGCAGAGGTTCACTTGTCAAAACGAATGTTTATTAGCCTTTGGCATCAAAAGGGTTTTGGGTTACAATCCTATCAATGGGTTCACTTGCACTTTCTCTACTGAATGGTCTTTTTAATAGCCCTCATCGGTAAAATGATTAAAATCCTACCGATCCTATCTACACTTTACTAAACCTTAAACAAAACTTTGCTAACCAAAACTTGTTAGCCTTCGGCAACAACAGAAAAAATGGGTGCATTTGCAAGCAAAAAGAAGTATAAATAACCAAAACATCAAAATAAATTAAAGGATGCCCTCGACATCAATGTGTTTGGAAGAGCTGCCTTATGGCAGATACAAAAAGAAAATAAAGATGAAATTACAAAAAGATCACACGGCAGCCTCCTTGTTGGCAGTGGCATCGGCAGGGGCTCCTTCAGCAGCAACAGGACCCTCGGCAGCAGAGGCTTCTTCCGGAGCGTCCTCCCCCTCATATTCTTCAATCATCTCCTCAGTAACGCCTTCTTGTAGAGGAGGAGAATCAGCAATGAAATTCAGGTTCAACTTCTGCCCGGGGTTGTATCGTTTGAAGCGATAAAGGAGATCTGCCATCTCCGACACCTCACTATCCAGCAGGACGGTGAACTCTTCAGATGAACGGTAGCCTTTGATCGCCTCCCAAACGGCAGCATCGATCTCTGTGCTTTAGCCCGCTCAGACTCCTCTAAAGCCACCTGCACTGCTCCCTTAGCCGCCTCGGATTCCTTTGCCACCACCAAAGCAGCCTCCAGAGCCGCCCTCATCTCCGCAAGTTTGGCTTCAGAAGCTGTGACTTGCCGTTCGGCAGCTTGTTTGTCCTTGAGGAGATTAGCGTGGTCCTGAAGAGCCTTGCTTGCCTCGGCCACCTTCGCACGGCCATCCTCATAAACCTTCTTAGCGCGCTCGGCAGTAGTGATGGCCCGCTTCATGCACAGCCACATGTCCATCAACACCTAGAAGACAAAGCAGAAAATTCAAAAGAAGTATGAAATCTAACGGTAACCATTTACAAAATCAAGGAACTTACCAAGGCCTGTAGACGGAAGGCACGTCCGGCTTCCTCCTGAAGGAGCCTCTTCGAGAGCTCGTTAATCTCAAACAGCTCCATTTGCGAACCGAGGATCATGTGGTTCGCGAATTGGATCGTCTTCGATGGACAGATGATGGTGACCGGATCGGCAGGGGTGTCGTCGTCCTCATCAACAAGGATAGCCCTCGGCACCTTCGTCTGTTGCCTGCACTTTGGCACCAGCTCCATGTCGAAATCTACCGTTATCGGCCTTTTACCAGCGGCCTCGGTAGTCTGCCCACGGCCCGGCGTTGAGCCGGCCTCGGCCACACCCCAAGGCATTGACTCGACATTGAGCTGCCGGAGATGATCAGCAAGAGTTTGATCCTCCGGATCAACCATTGCCGATGGCATCGGGGCTGCTTCCGGCTGTCGATTTTTCTTCTTCCCCTATAGGCCCATCATGAGACACCTCTTGGAGGATTCGTTCATCCTCTTGGCTTCGGTAGTCCTCCTGGTGTCTGTCACTATACAAAATGGGCATTCGGTAAGGAGCCGAGACGATATAAATAAACATACAAAGCAAACGAAGTGTACATACTCTCGGCAGGGTTGACGAGTTGGGCTTTGATCAGGTTCGCGGTAAAAAGGAATATGGGGTACACCCTGTCAACGGCACGAACCTTCAACCTCACTCTGTCAATCTGCCGAATCTCTAATTGAGTTGGAATCGATTGCTTCAGTTTGCTTGCAAAAAAAAAAACAGAAAGCGATTAAAAATCCCTCAGAAAAGATGCACTAATTGCATGTCGATCGACATGCTGGTAACCTTCCGGCATTCTGGAAAGTAGTGGGAACGTGAAAACGGACGGGCGTTCCCGATGGCGATTCCCAGTCACCAGATAGAGGCACCCGCCGACTCCTCCACGACTTCTGAGAAGTCGGCACGGCACTGACAAAGTACCCCCGTTCGGAAGCCTTTAAGCAGTTGGCCTGAACCCAGCCTCCATGATCGGCACTCTTGGACTTCGTGACGTTGTACAGATAGGAGAATTGCTCATAGGAAGGCTCCCCTTCCCCGACAACACCGAACCCCACGATCACTCCTATCAAGGCCACCCAAAAGTTAGGATTGTATTGGCCCAATCTGGGCCAGTATCTTCTGCACGGCAGGTTGTAGCGGCAACTGAACCCCCTGCAGAAGAACGTCTATGAAGAAGACGAATTCATCGTCCTCCGATGTGCTGAGTGATTCGGTAGGGCCTGGGATCCTCATCCTTACCGAATCTGAGATAAGTTACTCATCACGAATTTTGGCCAACTCCCGCTCGGTCACCATATTGGGCTCCAGATATTCTGCGTCGAAAAGGTTTTCCTTCGGTACTCCTATGGGCACCCTAGGGTTTCCCCGGTGAACTATGGTTACCCTCGGCTGAGGTGTGGGTTCGGTAGCTTCCTCTCCACGGCCAGAAGTGGAGGTTCCCGATTAGTCGCAGGTGTGCTCACCCGGCACCCGAGTATCCCCCATTTAGAATTCGTAGTGCTGGTTCACGCTGACATGACTGCCGTCGTGATACACCACATCCAACGGTACTGGCTGCCTGGTCATGAGTCCCTTCCTGATGCAGTGAGTAGGAATGGAGCTTGGCCCTTCACTGAGTATTTCGACATAGGTATCTTCTCCGCCCTCGGCACCGAGGCTCACGGCCTCACTACTTGTATCCCATTGATCGTCCAATGTCTCCCCATCGAACGCATTGGGCTCTCTCTCAAACGGAGACTTGCTATCAGACATCTACAAAAAACAGAAAAAGGAAACTTAGGGCCATTCAAAAGACTAGCCTACCGATTCCTACATCACTGTGTATGGCAACTAGACTACCGAACGGAACCTACTTATTCAAAGTTCAGTCTAGCTCATGCCAAGGAAGGACGTGCACAGAGTAAGAGTATTCAAAGAGTGCCGAACGGTACCTTATATCGAGCTTTAGATAAGGGAAAGCAGACTAAATTGCCAATCGTCCTCGTCGGAAATCACCTTAATTGCCGATTGGTTGCTCAGAAATCTCCTTGGTTGCCGTTAGCTCTCGCCAGAAATCGCCTGAACAGAGCTCTCACTTCACTCACAAATACAAAGTGAGTTTCTCTTCCGGAGTCTCTCCTATTTATAGGGCGAGGGTTTACAACGGTACACCTCAAAAAACCAAACAACGCATTAATGAGCCTCTCCGCATGAGCGAACACACTACGTGTCGTTCATCGTATGGGTATCCAGACAGCATGTGGGGAACAGAAGACGAAGCGTCTTTCTATCCCATCATTCCTCGAAGAAGCGACCCTTGAGTCCATCGGTTTCTGTTTCCCAGCAAAGACGCACGGAAGGACAAAGATCAAGCGCCTCCCTCCGCCAAATTACCGAACGATAGGACAACATTTTGGTCACCAAAAGAGGATATCCAGTCCCCACCCGAGAACTCTCATATGAGAACTTGGGGCACTCTTGTTTGTACCAAAATGAACAGCCTATGAGGACCAGACACGTGGACAAGATTGAGCCTGACTATGGTAGCCTTCAGCACCTTGCCTACCGATTCAACAATTAGGGCAAACCCCTCTCTAGGACACATGGCAGGCCTACAATTGACGTCTACAGTCTCACATCAAAATTCCAAACAAAATGCACACCTCCTAAGGCCTATAAAAGAGGACCACTATCCCAAAATGGAGGTAATAAGAACTTACGGCATACAGCCTATTGATCTGTTAGTTTAAGTTTACTATATCCAAACTCACTTAAGCATTGGAGAGCCTTCGGCCGGTACCACACCGGTGCCATAAGGTCTTACCGAGCGTGCGTTATCTTGCAGATCACGTACTCCACCAAGGCCTAGAAGCATACTGAAGGCTAACATCACTAAGTTGAGCAGGAAAAGGGCCAAACCATTTTCCGCGTCAACATTCTTGTCACTAAATTGCACTTGTTGTAGGTAACTTAGAGCATCTCCTTTGGAGATGTTAACTTCAACGTGGCACTTTTAGCATGTAGAAAAAAAAGTTGAGACTCACTCCAACTGAAATGTTAATAACACGTGGAATAAAATTTCTCTCTCATACTGTTATTTTTGGTTGTTGACTTTGTGATGTTATTTAATTATTTCTTTCAATTAACGTGCCTAGAAAGTAATAAACCAATAAAAATGAAATAATGTGTTAATTTGACATGACAAGTGGAATGTAAAACTCTATTATATGTCAAATTGCCATATAAGCAATCAAATTCAAATTTAATGTTTGATATTTAACATCTCACCCTAGGAGATGCTCTTAGACATCTTTTAAGTGGCCTTGAAAACATTTTTTTTTTTTTTTTTTTTTTCAACCTTGAAAACAAAGTTTGGGCCCTTCTACGATTTGCTTTTCCCTTCCCTTGCCTTGAAATACATTTTTTTCTCTTTCTTCTTGGTTAGTGATAATTAGTAATTTGATGATCACAAGGTTTTGATTATATGGTAGGATTCTTTTTATAATTTTTCATTGATGACTTTATTTTAGGAGGCCCTATTTTTGTTTTGGCACAAAGCCCTTAAAATCTCAGAGTCACTCTTGGTCACTTGAGTAGGCTTTGTAAATGGGCCGGACCGAGCTAGCCCGACCCAAATTTAATGGGCTTGGTCAGGTCAGGCCAAGCTTTAAAGAGGAGAGAGAAAATAAAGGGCTGGGTCGGGTCGGGTTTTTTTGAAAATTCAAAGCCCAAGCCTAGCCTATGGGCCTAGCTTTAAAAAGCCCATCGGGCCAGGCCGAGTTAAGCCCAATGAGCGGGCCTAAATGGACCTACTTTATTTTGTCTTTTTTTCGGTCAATTCTTTATTTTTTTTCCCTATGTTTTGGTGTGTTTCTATGTTTCCTCTTTTTTTCATAGTTCTCAATTTACATTTGTCTATATGTTTATGTCTCCATTTTTTCTTTGTTCATAACTTCATAGTTCTCTTTTTATTTTTATTTTTTATTTTCCCATAAAAATAAAGATATAGTTATACAACCCCATACTAATAAAATTATATTTTATCTCATACTTCATTTTTTTAGTTCTTACAAAGATAATAGATAATGATTTTCTCCATATTTCATCTTACTTGGGTTTTTTTTTATATATATTTATTTATATGTATGTGAGCCCGTGGGCCGGGCTTTTATGGGCGGTTTCGACCGGGCTTTTTTGGGGCTCAAACGGACCAGGTCTATGGGCCGTGCCGAGCTTTGAACACCTAATCCCAAGCCCAGCCCACTCAACAACGGGCCGGCCGAGCTTTTTCTCGATGAGCTGGCCCATGGGCTCGCTGGCCTAATGATGACCCCTACACCTGAGTGCAAGTGTGTACATAACGTAATTCAGATAAAATATTTTAACCTAATATGCAAGGCTTTCATTTCTGAATATAAGAATACCATTATTGATACCAAAACTCCTTTCGGCCAATAGAATGAACCTAATAACCATCCCAAGGCAGACAACCTAGAATGGGAAGTTGATAACAAAGAAGGCCCACGAAGCGACTCAAAACAAATAGAGTAACAAGCGTGAGAGTGAAGTCAGGTACAACATCACAAATGTGTATAGCCTAAACAAGCAAATGAGCAACCAACAATGCATAAGATATGAGTTCAAGGTCATTATCCTAAACATGAAGCTACGGAGCATTAAAATCGGTCGTCACACAATAAGAAAACAAGAGTAAGAGTAACAAACTTTTCAGAGAAAAACTCACAAGCAGTAAAAAAGTTTGATACATGTCTGGGCATGGAGGAAAGGAAACGTGGGATTTGGCTGTTGTGTAGGACCCCATGTGTTAAAAAAGCTTATTAATTTATTGAATTTTGAAAACTCCCAAAAATCAATTCCAGATTTCAATTTCATGTTTTTTTTTCACGCTCACTCTCTCATCTATCTCCGCCTCCACCATCCTTTCTTGATTGCCTCAGTCTCGCTTATATCCTCTTTTCACTCTCAGATCTCACTGGACTTTCATCAAAGGTAAGAAATCTTTGATTTCGAATGTTTGGTTGTGTTTGATTTGGTGTTTTGGACTATTTTATGTTGTGGGTACTTCATATTTGGATTGTTTTTGTGTTTTAGAGCTTTGGGTTTCTTGTTCTGTTACTGATTTGTGATTGTTATGCATCTTTACGTTTAATTTGTTTCATAGCAATCTTACCTCTGTTATGCTAGCTAGTGTTTGCCTTAGTGATTCCTAATCTACTAGATGTGGCTGTTTTGCAAAAGGCACGACTGTTTGTGCATTTATAAGTGTCTTAATGAACACTGGTGGTTTGGGGCTTTCATTTGCATAGAGCTTTTTGTTTTTAGGCATCTATAACTTAGAAATCAAAGTGTGTCACAGAGTCACAGTTGTATTAGTTGCCAGTGGATCTTTGCACGATAGACATCTTGCTGGATAGGTTCTGCATATCCAGGCTCTGATTTATTTATATAAAAAATGTGGAAGCCTTTATATTGCTCACGGAAGAATTTGTGATTTAAATAAAGGGAAGGATCCTAGTGTACTCTGTGAATCTCTGCACAATTGATCTATGAACACTACGTCCTTCACCACTCGTAGTCTATAGGAATATCTATGAACAATTTGTGGTTTTGTTCTGTTGCTGTTGTGTACAACATCCACAGAGACCTGTCCAATCCTCTTTTAGACCACTGTCTACAGCAAATAGTCAGTCTCCTTCTCAAGTTAATATCTCGTTGTCACATTTACTATTTTGATTTCAATGTTCAATTGGAGTTCATAGACGTGTGAGTTTAGCTAGGTAATGTAACAGTGCTCTGTTATAACTCATAAGATGAAGTTGCCTGCCAAGGTTTTTCTGATTGCTTTTTTGGGGGAATTGTTTTCTTTCTAACTTCATCATACTGTTTGTGCTCGCATGTTCACAATATTCTCCCTAGAGTTCTTCCTTTTTACCACCACTAGAAAAAAAATTCTATTACCACCACCAGAAAAAAAATCTATGGTATTAATTTCCTACTTTCTCTCTCTCATTTTGTTTTGAAAAATCATTTCCAGTTTCAATCAGCAACTGGGCTTTCATTGTTTTTTCTCTTCTTTCTTTTTTGTTTTTTGGCTTCTACTGTACATGATTGTTCCTTTACCTTGGTTTGTGATGATCAGAATTCGTGTCTTTTTGAAAGGCTTATTTTTAGTTTTTGGTACTTCTTAGGCCTTTTTCAGGCATCTTTTCCTAAGCTTGGGTACTTCTTAAGCCCATATCTATGTTCAAGGTTTGTCTAATGCTTTAACCTTATTCTTCATCAATGATTTTTAAGGAGACCACATAAGTAGAAAGTTTTGGTGTGTGCTCATTTCAAGGATCAGTTCTTAGAGGACAGATTTACTTGTGGCAGTATCAATTCTATAAAGTGGTGGGAATCTTTTGTAAAGTTCTCTAACTCGGTTCTGATTTCCTTGTTACAGAACCTCTACTACAGATGGGGTGCAAAATTGACTCCACAAGAGGTGGCTGATCTTAAGAAAGTAAGTGTAGACTAGAATGTCTGTGCTATGAAGCTTCTTTCTGTATCTCATTTTGTTTAACTTCATGCAGAGTTATTCGCTGGAGGTTTAACTTCATGCGGAGTTACTCGCCAGATGATAATTGGTTCGACCTTCGCCAAAGAATTTACTAACATATTTACACAGTAACATGTAACCATATTTATGTTTAACAAATACAGGAGCATAAAAAACTCCACCCTAACTAATGTAAGTACTCGACCAGACCCAAATAGGTTCAAATAGAAATGAAAGGTTTCATCAATTCAACAACATCAATTGAGTGTAGGAATTAAAAAATGAGACCAAGTCGTCAACATGTATGTGATCTAAACCAAAAGTAGGGTAAGCATTACATATGTTCATTCGTTCCTCACCCGGGTGAGGTTTTAAGTTAATTACGTTTCATTTTAATAACATAATTAAGTTAAATAGTTTTGCAAGTATTTAAAATGATTTAAATAATTAAAACTATTTTTACAATAATTGTCAGATGTGAATAATTGTGTAAATTAATTATTAAATTTAAATCTTAAAGTAATTTAATATAATATAAATAATTTAATACTCCCTTTTATAGGAAAATTAGGTTTTAGCCAAAAAAAAATTTTCACTTTTGGAAAAAGCCAAAGTTTTTTCAAAAAAGACAGAAAAATCCTTCAACTTTCAAATCAAAGACATACAAATGTAAAGGATTCCTTAGGAAATCCAAAAATAAATAAGGGTAATTTTGTCAATTTTGGCTTTTTTTACAAAATTTCTCTCTCCTTTGTGTTTTTCCAAAGTCTCCCAAACAAAAAAAAAGCCATTGAGCCCAAGCCACGCTTGGGTTGGGCCTTTGCAGTCCTCGTTTGAGCCTCTGCTATAGAATACGATGATTTCCATCACTATTTCTAAAGCTTTTACCATGTTGCAGATTGCAGTGCAAGCGCTGATATGAAAACCTTGAGAAGAAACAAGGAGGGAATCTATAACACCGCTCAAAACTATCATAGAAAGTTCTCAGCCATCACCAGGGTCGCTAGAGCTGACAGACCCAGACCCCAAGAATGCCTTGTTTTGGTGGAGGCAAGGGACACTTATACTCCACTTCTGCATCAAATCTTGCAAAGCTGTGCAAAAACAGGTGCACCCATAGAAGGTAAGGCCTGCCATGGACAGATCATACGTGTTGGATTGCAAGCAGACACTTTAACATCTAACATGCTCATCAACATGTATTCTAAATGCAGTTTAGTTGATTGTGCTGGCAAAGTTTTTGATGAAATGCCTGAAAGAAGCTTAGTTTCATGGAACACGATGATTGGGTCACTTACCCAGAATGGGGAGGAACAGAAAGCTCTTCGTCTTTTCTTGCAGATGCGAAGAGAAGGAAACCATTTTAGTGAATTCACTGTTTCGAGTGTTCTTTGTGCTTGTGCTGCGAAATGTGCTGTTTTTGAGTGTAAACAACTGCACGCTCTTGCTGTTAAGTTAGCAATGAATTTAAATGTCTATGTGGGAACTGCATTGCTTGACGTTTATGCAAAGTCTGGTTTGATAAAGGATGCAAGCAGTGTGTTTGCGTCTCTGCCAGAGAGGAGTGAGGTTACTTGGAGTTCGATGGTAGCCGGGTATGTGCAAAATGAGCTTTATGAGGAGGCTTTGATGTTCTTCCATAGAGCTAAAATGGTGGGGTTAAAACAGAACCAATTTACAATTTCTTCTGCTATTTGTGCTTGTGCAGGTCTGGCAGCTCTATTGAAGGGAAGCAGGTGCATGCCGTGTTATATAAAACTGGATTTGGTTTGAATATATTTATTGTTTCCTCTCTTATAGACATGTATGCAAAATGTGGTAGCATTAAAGAAGCTTACCATGTGTTTCAGGTATGGATGAGCATGAGACAAACACTGTGTTATGGAATACCATGATTTCTGGGTTTGCTAGACATGCTTGCTCCCTAGAGGTGATGATCTTATTTGAGAAAATGCAGCAGATGGGTACATTCCCAAGTGAAGTAACGTATGTTTCTGTATTAACTGCTTGTAGTCATATGGGATTGGTTGAAAGTGGAAGGAAATACTTCAACCTCATGATAACAGAACACAATGTGTCACCTAATGTGTTCACTATTCTTGCATGGTTGATCTTTTTGGTCGCTCAGGGTTGTTGCTTGAAGCCTATAATTTGATAGAGGAAATGCCATTTGATGCTACTGCTTCCATGTGGGGTTCACTGTTGGCTTCTTGTAGGATCCATGGAAAACTTCACTTGGCTGAGGTAGCAGCTAAGCATTTGTCTGAGATAGAGCCTAATAATGCCGGAAACCATATTCTGCTGTCAAACATTTATGCAGCAAATAAGAAATGGGATGAAGTTGCAAGAATAAGGAAACTTCTTAAAGAAAGTGAGTTGAAGAAGGAGAGAGGGAAGAGTTGGATCGAAATCAAGGACAAAGTTCACTCATTTATGGTTGGAGAGAGAAAGCATGCTAGAATTGCTGAGATATACTCAAAATTGGACTGTTTGATTGAAGAGTTGAAGATTATGGGCTATAAGACTGAGACTGAACATGACCTTCATTATGTGGGAGAGAACAGAAAACATGAACTGTTGAGGCACCACAGCGAGAAACTTGCTCTTACTTTGGGGTTGATGTGCTTACCTTCAAATGCATCTATCAGGATCATGAAGAATCTTAGGATTTGTGGTGATTGCCATTCTTTTATGAAGATTGCATCATCTTGTACAGGGAGGGAAATCATTGTCAGGGATACTAACAGGTTCCACCATTTCAAGAATGGTTGTTGTTCTTGTCGGGAATTTTGGTAGAAGATTAATTTAATGGCTACTTATCCGGACAATTGGATATCAAGATACTTTTGGTAAGAAAGTGTACTAGATTTCAGAGATGTCAGAGACTCCTGAAATTTGGTCTTCTGCAATTGGAATTATATCTATGGGACCTCGCATTTTGAAAATCAAAGGGCAGGCTGTGTGAAAGACCTTCCAGTGACTAAAGGAGTAAACGTGAGCAAAGTGTTAAGAGACTCAAGGACTTTACCAAATCTCCTTACTTATCACCATTTTGAGCCCACAATGACAACAAAACTCATGTAGCCCCCAAATGACTTTACCAAAATGTTCCATGCTCACAATTAGCTTTGCAAATTACAGACTAATAAAGAAAGGTATAAAGCATTGAGGTTTTTGAATGAATTAGGATTTGGGTTGGGTTCAATTGGGCTTATTGGAAAATCATTACGCCTGATATATGGGCTCATACTATAATGAGGGGTAAGTTATAAGGGGTAAGTTATAAGGGGTTCACTTTATAGCCATCAGATCGATCCCATGGTTGAACTGTTATAGTACAATCGGGTTGAAATTACCCATACCAAAAGATGCAATCCGAAAGTGCAAAGCACGCTCTCTCTCATCCTGATTGACTCTTCTTCCTCACAAGCCACTCGCTTTACAATATGTTCATCTTCTCTCTCTCTCTCTCTCTCTCTCTCTCTCTCTAGCCATCTCTGGTTTGAGGTTATCAAAAAACCAAACTCACCAACACAGACAGAGAGGGTTTTGAGTCTTTTTTTTATTGACACTTTATCACCCCAAAAATTTATTTTCTGACGCTTCCTCTCCTCTCTCGCACTCTCCCAAACCAAATTCGGAACCCTAGTTTGACCTAGCCAAGCCGCCGCAACTCAGGACCTCCGTTGACGACCTCACCGCGAAGCCACTATCGCGACTCCACAGCCAAGCCACAGTCACGACCTCCATTGTCGTTCTCCACAGCGGTGAGTTCTGATATTGGTTTTGTACTCTCTATATGTTATAATTCATTGATCCCCTTTTCTTATTATTGCAACAGTAGTGGCATTCATGGGCTCCATTTTTTGCTACGGTCCTCTCTCTCTCCCTCTCCTTCTCTGTAAGTCCTCTTCTTCTCCCTCTTCAAATTTCAGTAATCCTCCATACCACTGACCTGAACCACCTACTTCTCTGGTTATCTTCTTCTTCGGGTCATTCAATTCAATTTTTCTACTTCTACTTTAGGGATTTTTTTTTTTTTTTTTTTTTTTTTTTTTTTTTTTTTTTTTTTTTTTTTTTTTTTTTTTTTTTTTTTTTTTTTTTTTTTTTTTTTTTTTTTTTTTTTTTTTTTTTTTTTTTTTTTTTTTTTTTTTTTTTTTTTTTTTTTTTTTTTTTTTTTTTTTTTTTTTTTTTTTTTTTTTTTTTTTTTTTTTTTTTTTTTTTTTTTTTTTTTTTTTTTTTTTTTTTTTTTTTTTTTTTTTTTTTTTTTTTTTTTTTTTTTTTTTTTTTTTTTTTTTTTTTTTTTTTTTTTTTTTTTTTTTTTTTTTTTTTTTTTTTTTTTTTTTTTTTTTTTTTTTTTTTTTTTTTTTTTTTTTTTTTTTTTTTTTTTTTTTTTTTTTTTTTTTTTTTTTTTTTTTTTTTTTTTGCTAATCTATTTGTCTTTTCTCTGATTTGTAAACTACTCTCTTATATAAATTGTGCTCACTCCCTTGTTGCTCCTGTTTCGTATTTGCCAATGTTGCATCTCATTCAGCTCATATTCAATTCATATGATCATTGTTTTTTTCTTTGTCCGTCAGTTCCAGGTGGCACTTGAACCCACGTGCACCTCCCACACTCTTTCAGTGAGTTTCGCCTTCGTATCCTGCGGTCAAAAGGTTGGCATCAGTAGTTGCTAAGGCTTCCCTCTGACATTGAATGGCACCCGCCACAATATTGACCGTTTCGATCCCAAGAAAGACGTAGTAAAACCTTTTGACCATTCCCTTGGAGTCCAAAGCCTGCAGAAAGGGCAGAGCAGACGGCGAAGCTGCAACTGCGGAGAGACATAGGACTTCGAGGAAAAGCTTGTGCTAAGCGGCCGCTGAGAGACAGGCCGAGGCCGCCTTCCCAGATAAGAGAGTTAAAGAATGTCGACCTTTGTAAAGTTGTACTCTTTGAATTTTTTAAATTCTTGGTTTAGGTGTTCTTGCTCATTTCAGAAACATTTGACCATGATCTATCGGCTTCTCCTCGTTTTTTTTTTTTTTTTTTTTTTTTTGTTTTGTGTCTCTCGTTTTTTTTCGGTTTTGATATGGAATCTCAACCTTACCCTATCCAAACAGAAAAAGCCCTCTGCGACAAAGAAGTTGATTTGGGTGAAGCAACACCAATTAAGTACAGAATGGATTTTATATCCTAATTTACCCACCTCTCTTTTTTTTTTTTTTTTTTTTTTTTGTGAATAATATTTTTATGCCGTTAGATTATGAATTTAGAGATGATGTGGCATGCAAATAAGAGAAGTCAAGCAAATCATGGTAGGGAAAATCAAAACAGGAGGATCCGAATTTATTTTTTATTATTTTTTTTTTTTAATTTTAAATATATTTAACAAACATAAAAACAATAACCTTTTTTCTTATTCTTACAAATAGAGAAAAACGAAAATGAAAAACAGAAAACCATTGGCACAATGTGCCAAATGGGCCAGGCCAGCGATTCCTGATCTATAACGTTAGCGGCAGCCCCCTATTCAAATGAGAAATCTGTTCCTTTCAGAGGACTTGAGCATAAAGGCTCAATATAAAGTATGAGGACTAAACCTGATTCTTCACATTTAGCATATATGATCAGCACTGTCCATAACCTCAACATTCTCAAATTAATACTTTAGTCATGGAGTTTGAGTTGAGTCAATAACAATGTATTCACTGTCAGAAGCCCCATTCCAAAGTAGTATGTGATTTATTCTCCCATGAATTATGCGAGCAAAGATAAAATACTTTGCAGGTCATTACAATCAAAATAAATCTTTGGAAAGGCAGATTGTGAATCCGACGGCAATGGCTCGACATTGAATGATTGGGGGGCATAATATAAGCAACTGAGAGTACTGACAAGAACATGAACATGAGGCAATGCTGCTGTCAATGCACCGGAGGTTATAATATCTAGTACTTTGGCTGCGCTCATTCTACCAAATCCAATGCTGTGGAAAAATACTAAAAACCTTCCTGAAATACTAAAATCCTTCCTGAAATTTAAGAGCCCAACAAACAGCTTATGAGCAAAAGAAATGTACACAAGTTGCTAAGGTGCAGCAGAGAATTATGCAGTTGTGAAAAAAGAGAACCCAATTATTGTTCAGGTAAAACTATACCTTTAAACTATAAGCTGAGAATTAGAGCAAGCACAAGACAAGCATGCATGGCTTCCAACAACACCATCTGATGTCGACCTACAGACATTATCAAACTGTAATGATTATCATTACAGCCAACCACAAGTTTTTTTTTCATTTCTTTTAACTGGCGTGCACAATCTATATAAAACTAGGTAGTAATGAAGAATGTCCTAAAGCCACCACAGTGCCTCATAACATTTCATTTCCTTTTCTTTTCAGTGAAGTTTTAACGTACGAGCTCATTAGAGATTGATCACAAACCAACGTGAAAATTGCAAACGATAAAGTTAATCAGAAATATAATTGAAAGTTAATGGCCTAAATTTGTCTTTGAAGTTTCCCCATGGTCCAGGTTTCATTCAAATGAAAGAAAGAGCAAGATGGACTGAAAGCAAACACCATGATTGAAGAAATGCATCAAACAGTAGTGAAAAGAAAAAAGGGGTAACAAGATTTATTGATGAGGTCATGATATAAATGAAATATTACCTTGTTACAAGCTCCTTGATTGACTCAGTTTCAATTCCAAAACCTAAAGGGAAAAGTGGATCATAGTGTGGATCCCCAAAATTCATTGGGAGTTGATCTACAGTTCTGAAACCATGTTCTTGGAAGCTTCCACTGAACTCATGATCCCCAAAAAGGACAGCTGTAATACCTTGGCTTCAGTGCCTGGCAACCATGCTGCCACCAGGGCATCAATTGAGGAAATATATGGTTCAATTACAATAGGTCTGCCAGAAATTACGATAACAATGCACTTGACACTTTCACACACATTGCTGATGACACTTGGGCCAGGCTCTGCCATTGTTAGGTTCATGCTGTCTCCTGAAGTCTCAGCATAAGGGTGCTCGCCAACACAACAATGGCATATGCAAGTGTTGGACTTAACAAAATTTCCATCAGGATTCTCACGGTAGATAATTTCTGTGCTCGAATCAACTGTTGATTTTATGGCACTGAGGATTGTGGTTCCTACTCATGAAAAATACTTTCGTCACTATTATTGCTAAAAGTAGTTTCCTGAATTCAAAAATTCTTAAAGAAAAATGTGCTTGAAGGGTATTTGCACATAATCTAAAGAAATTTAGACTAAATCTCATTGCACAAGATAATATTTGAAGAGAAGTTCAGGAAATTGAAATTTTTTTTTTATTAGCTTTTAAATCTGCATCCATATCATGCTCAGCTTGTCTCCTAAGACATTTAGGAATCATCAAGGACTGGACTAGCTAAATCACCCCAACTGTAATGTTTTTTTCATTAAAAAGTATGCAACAAAGATTTGGTACATTCAAAGTAACAATCAGAAAATCATATGCATGCACATACACATGGCTACATATTTCCAGTTCATTCTCATAATTATGGAGACAATGTTTCTACAGTTTACACCTAACAAGCAATTTCATAATCTTCTTAGTAAGTACTCAATGCTCCGTTTTTACATGCAGCAATTTCTGTCATTCATTGTGAAACACAAAAGTACTGCATATAGACAGAAAGTTAAATATTATAAATATAACCATGAAAGAAGACCCTACCTCTTGTATAGTTGTTGCCACTGAATCCTTGCCATTCCATTGTCCATCCACCACATTGGTAACCTAGATTATCAGCATGACTGCCAGCAACTAGGATTTTGGACACCTTCTTGGGAAGAGGTATGACTGGATTTGGATTGGTTCCGTTTTTTCCATTCTTCAGAAGCACAAGTGATTTTCTGACTGCTTCCCTTGCCAAGTCTCTATGAGCCTAGGAAAGTTAAAATAAGAAATAAATAAGCAGCCCATTGATTCAGGGTAGTTATTACAAATTATGAAACTTACTAAGCTCTTTATTAACATTGACAATAGACAGGAAAGACCATGGAACTTGGAAGGCAATTTCTGGCCACTGAAACGTATAAACAATTGTAATAGGAACCACTCTGTCATTTTTATTTTATAATACTCTCCACTCCATTTTTATCCAACTAGAGAGCAAGCCAATATGTAAATGTAAATAAAAAAAAAAAAAAAAAAAAAAAAATAAAGGTCGCAAATCGCTGATATTATATATATCTCTGATGAACTGACCTGGCTTCCAAGCTCATTGACTAGGCTGAGATCAGCCAAAGGGTTCTCAAAAAGACCCATGGTGAACTTGACAAGCAGAATCCTTCCCACAGCATCATCAATTCGATCCATTGGGACAACGTTGTTTTGACCAGGGAGATGAGATCATCAATGAACTCTATATACTTGAAAGGGGATCATGATCTTCAAATCACAGACAACCATGTTCAGGTTTTATAATCACATACTTCAGTTTCTCATTGTTGCACTGATTACAGTTAGGAAAGACTTATCTTCTTTCATTTCTATGAGATGTTTGTTTATAAAATAAGCCACTAACCATATCAAGTCCAGCTAGAATTGAAGCTTGGACGGAGTATGAGTAGTTTGCATGTGGTGGGGAGGTAATCCTGTCAACACCCTCCCAGTCTGATATAACAAAACCCTGAATGTTCAAACAAAACACCATGTGCTGTTAGCATAAAATAGTTAATACTGCAGAACACAGGGAAAGGTACAATACAGTTTCCAAAGACAAGAGTTTGTAATGGTAAAATTGCTTGGCAGTCAACAAACAAGTTCAAAAAACACAATAGATTAAGATGAGAAAATATGTAAATGCAATGAATCCATCAATAGACGCTAAGTGGCAACATTGGAAAGCAAGTAAAGAATCATGCAGACTACTTTGCAATACGCAAGAAAGCCTGACCACATTAATGTGCAAGTAATTTGAATTTAATTGGACATACTGAAGGCATTAAAACGCAACATGTGGAAAATATGCATGTTGAGAAAAATGACAAAAAAGATCAGACCGACAAGCATTGAAAAAGGAAACACTCAAATGCAGATAGATTGAGGGAAAAACAGTTATGATCAGTCAACTAGTCATGAATAGAGTCTGATATGTCACAGAAGGGAATACCCCACAATTAAAATTACCGATAATTTTACAATATGCAAAGACACTTTTCTACCAGATAAGACTGAAGGCTTTAAAACTCAACATATGGTAAATCCATAATGTTGAGAGAAACCTTTCACATAACTCATGGTAGAATGTTAACATTGAGCAAGTTAGTTATGTGCTAACATCAAATATTGGTACATACATAATAACACAATTCAAATTGAAATCTTTCTGCGCATGTCATCTTATTTGCATTGTAGATAGTTACCATAAAAACTGTAATAACCTTGGATACTACATAAAAATAAAAATAAAGGAAAAAAGAAAAGGAAATTGTAACCTTAAACTTAAGGGTGCCCTTGAGGAAGCCAGTAACTAGGTCGTGGTTTGCATGCATCTTTTCCCCATTCCAACTGGAGTAGGAAATCATCACCGTTGCGACACCCTTGATGATTGAATCAGAATAGGCAGGCATGTGGATGCTAAGCAACTCGTGCCGGTCAACCACAGTGTTGTTCTCATTAATGCCCCTGGTTGTCCCTCCATCACCCACAAAGTGCTTTGCACAAGCTGCAACCTTTTTACTAAAATATAATAAAACAATAAATACATCAGGAATGACTGAAACATTGAAATATTAGTATTAATAAACATTTAGATAAGAGCACATGCATACATTCATTCAGAAAACCAGGACAAACTTTTTTATTTCCTCTTCCCTCCTATTGGGCTGAATACAAGTGAGTACAGAACATAGAATTTCAGCAGTTGAAACAGAGTTTCACCAATTAACAACAGTCCAAGAAAATAAGGAGAAATGTTTAGTAACAATGCCTTGATACACTACTGATATATTGTGCGAGGCAAACCATGAGATCAGGGAAGGTAGCTTATCATTATGTTGGTTTAAGCTTATCATTAGTTTTAAATAATAAAAAATTACATATGCTTATTTATCAGGACTCACTACCAGCCAAAAATTTTAAAAGAAAAAGGAATCACTGAAATCATTTGATAAATTGAATCTATAAACTACTATACACGACAACATATTACGTTTACCAGATATCTTTCTTAAAATCACAAAATAAGCAATTAGCATCAGGGACAGTACTAGCTACTCGCTAACAATGACTGTATGTCTTCTAAAATCAAATGAAGGAAAATGAAAGAGAGAATGAAAAGACAAAAACAAAAAACAAAAAAAAAGATTCAGTATTTTATTTTACATAAAATTCATACTTTCCACCAACATATGGAACTCCTTTCCGAGAGTTTGCAGGAATATCACCCTGTAAACCTGAAATAATCTCCGTCATTTCTTGCACAATTTTGTGATCCTCACTGTAGCTTTCATAACACCGACCCCATCTTGGATCTCTACAGACCTATAGAGGAAGTTCCAGGTTAAGCAGAGAAGTCACCCAATCGAGAAAATAGTAAAGCACTCATATGACATCATCATCCATATAAAAGAAGAAAATGTTAAAACTTATAATTCTTTTGCAATGTATTGTTTACCGCAATGCATGGAGCAAATACATAAGGAATTCCTGTAGCTCGGGCTTCAAGAGCAGTTGCAGAACCAATTCTTCGTACCAATTCAGGATCCCTGTATACTGGAATTATTAAATAGAAACCCAGACCACATTTAATAAAACATAAAACGCCCATATCTCAAAGGATTTTCACATGCGTGGTATGTTATTTTAATGCTTGCTGGAGTATGACCCTAATGGCCCTGTTGAAGTTAAACAGTTAAGTAGTTTTGCATTGAAAAGACAGTGAAGCAGTAGATTCATCCGTTGTGTAATAATTGTACAATGCACTATCATGTTTTAAATATGATGCAAAAGAATCTGAAATTTTACTTGCCTGGTAGCTCCAAGCCCAACATTATGCGGAAATATGTAGCATTATAGACATTGTTGTGTCCAGCACAGCATCAATGCCATAGATCATTGGAATGCCCAAACGACTAGCTAGAGCTCCCTTCTGAAATTCATAATCATGTTAACCCAGTCCTCAGCGCTAGCTTCTGGAAGGGGTGCACTGCCACCACCACTCAATACACTGCCTGCACAAATCAAAACACATCATCACTCCATTTTGTCTTATCATATCATTGCATTCAATGTTATTTCTCTTTCTGCAATTCTGTTGCTGTAAATCATGACTAACGATTTGATTTATGTTATCTGATTGAACTGATGCATTCCTTAAATTAAGGTCATCACAGAATTAAACATAAAAAGAGCAAGGGGGAGATAGAGAGAGAGAGAGAGAGAGAGAGAGAGAGCATATGGAACCAAAGAATGGGCCATAAAAGAATCAGTCACAACAAACTAAGCACAAAACCCAGCATCATACAGAAAGTCTCTTACTCCTCAGCAAGGCAGCAAAGAATGTGAAGGAAAATTAAAGGAATAAGGAGAACAAACTAGAGCCTTCTTAACTGCATAAAGAAGACCCAACCTCATATGAGGACAGGCTCTTACTCCTGTCAGAGTCAAAGTCATATCTTTTTTTTTTTTTTTTTTTTTTTAATTGTATATAAGTGAGGGAGGGGGAAATCAAACCTAGGACCTTGAGTGTAGGGGTAAATGCTCTTAACCACTTGAGCTACAAGCCTTCGCAGTGCCATCATAGCTTGTATATCTATACAGATAGTGAAAAATTCCTGATCAAGTACAAAAGACTAATATTGACACCTCAACTCCTCTGTAGAGGCATCTATAAGTCCACAAGAAGATGAAACACAATTCAGTTGTGCCATGACATGGTTACTGATCTGTCACATAATGGCTTGATTTGGAGCTAAAGCAGTCAAATGCATGATAACATATGAGAAAGACTACGCCAGACAAAAGGCACTTATTCATAAGTTACACGGACACTACAAATCAGAGAACTTATGTTGATGTGCATCAAACACAACTGAAGGTTGTATTTAGACATATATGAATAAATATATATGTGTGTGTGTGTGTGTGTGTGTGTGTGTGTGTGTGTGTGTGTGTGTATTATGTAGTATATACACATTACCAATGAAGTAAGTTCTCATAGTATCAACATTGGCAACACTGCGATCAATCTGCACCATCTGACCAATTTTCTCTTCAAGAGTCATTCTGCTAAGAAGGTCTCCAACTCGAGCAGCCACTGGTTGATTAGCATCTTTGTACTTGATGTAATCTGCATTCACCGCACTGAAACCCACCCACCACCAAACCAACAACATACCCACGACTGGTAATGAAACCCAAGCCATTCTAACTCGTCCGGATCCAAGCTCCTCTTTTACTCTGATAAACCAACAAAATAGAGAAATTACACAATGCTTATCATTTGTTCTAGCCATTCTCTGTTTGGTCGCTGAGAAAAATCAAGAAAAGAGAAGTATAGAAATATTTGAAGTTTATTGTCCTTGTTCAGGAACTACAGCTAGACACATGAGGGGGTCCTGCGCCCCCCAGATTATGTAAAACCCATTAATATATACTAAGAGCTAATAATTATCACCAAGGAAATTCATATAATAAGCTCAATGGCCCCCCCACGAACAATTTTTAAATCCTGGTTCTGCTTAGTTTATTGTATTCTCTTTTTGATCATGTGGAACTCTATCACCATGTATTTTCAACTTATTTCACATTGCAGAAAGATTCAAACATGCCCGCATAAAAACACGAAAAAAACAAAACAAAACAAGACTTCAAATAAAAGAATCAGTCAAATCATTGTCCTGCCATATCTTCTACTCAATTCTCAGAAAAACAAAGGAGGATCAGGGGGTTATGGGTTCGGTCAGAATGGACCACTACAGAAGCTAGCCTCCCTAATTCAAACAAAAAGGCACGAAATGCCATTTGCACTGTCATACCTTCTAGTCAGTTCTCAGAAAAATAAAAGAGAATGGAAGCCTACAAAGGAGGATAAGGGGTTCATGGGTTCAGTCAGAATGGACCACTACAGAGGCTAGTCTATCTGAATCAAACAAAAGGCACAAACTGCCATTTTCACTGCCATAACTTCTAGTCAGTTAAATCATTGTCCTGTTCCTAGCTTCTTCAGAAAGAAGAAAACAGAAACCCAATCCAACATCAACCATGTTCTCACAGAAGAGCAGCATTGTGTGTGCGTGAGAGAGAGAGAGAGAGAGAAAGAGAGACTTACAGAGAGTAGCAGAAAGAAAATTGGCTGCTTTAGCTGTGGATCAGTGAATGTGACTCAAACGATAAAAAGGGTAAATGAAAAGGGCAGAGCTTGAAAGGAAGTGAAAATGTGTTCTGTCTTGAGAGATCCCCCAATGGGTTTTGTAGGCAGGAAACAGGTAATGGGTATAGTGGGGGAGAGGAAGTGTGTGTGTGTGTGTGTGTATATATATATATATATACAGTCTGGCGGTTTCTAATTCCCCCTTTTGGGTTTTTGGGATCCTTTTTTTCTTTTTCTTCTTTCTTTTGAAGAACGTGGCTGAGGGTTTTTGGACTAGTGCAGCTGTTTACTTGTTTGTGAGAGTGACGTGAGAATGTTAAGATGCCTCGTTTCAAGTTTCGTATTGGCTGGACTTTTGCAGATGCGGCTCCTTTTGGTATGATCATCATCTTTCTCACCTGGACCTACTCATCATGACTTTAGCAAAAGTACAACAGTATCTAGAATTAAAATCTGATCGACATTAAAGAGATTTTCTACCATGGGAATCTAGCTTTATTAAAATTATTTGTTTGATGATGAAACACCAAAATGATATAATCAATTCATATGTGTAATATGAATGAGTAATGAACTTTCTAGTAAACTTTACTTTTTGACTAACTTTGATTTGAAAATAACATGTGCTCTCATCTGAATTGTTTGCAAAGAATTTTTTTTATAAGCCTAAAATTAATCCATCAATTTCTTAAAAATTACATCTTAATTTAGAAAGATATTTTGATCAAAATGATAGAAAAAGTTGCTTTCGTTAGAATAAAAAAGTCAAATTAATATTGAAAAGATCCAACTGAAATTTTGTTGAAAGATTTAAAGGCAGTAGATTTGATTACACTAATGTCCTGTTTATTAAAATAAGGAGTTGAATTCTAATTACGGATTACTCTGGTGTTCTTTCAAATACAAACGATAGTTTAAACTAGAAGAAGAGTGAGGGTTTCGCACACACATTACTTCTATGTAATTAAGACCATTAGTTTGCGAGGGATTCGAACTTAAGACCATTAGTTTGCGAGTCAAGACCCTTTTCCATTGAATTCTAATTATTACTTTTGTGTAAGGGTGGGCATTTGAACTGATGAACTAGTAACCAAGCCAAATCGAGTCAAACAAAATGGGAAAAAAACTGTGTTGACAAAAAAAGTCAACCTAGGCTCAAAAAACCGAACCGGCCCACTTTGGATTGGTTCCCATCCTAATTCTTGTCTTGAAAAACGAGTATAAATCGAACCAGACCGAATATGTTAAGTTTACTTACTCATTTATATTCAAAATCATTAGCAACTTCAAAGTAATATCTAAATATTTTAGCCCAATTAATACCCAAATGTCTTAGTTTCAATTTATACCCATGTAAATAATTACTCTAGCCTAATATCGTTTTATTTGCGGTTAACCATATCCATTCTTGTTGCAATTCCGTCTTTCTCTCTTTCCCACCTATTTCTTTCTATTTCTCTTCCTCTTCATTTCTTCTACCTCTTTCTTTCTTATTTTATCCATTGTACATATTTTTCTTTTCTTCCTATTTTTCTATAAATCCTATTTCTCTCTTCTTCACATCTTTATATTTTTATCTTTCCAACCTGAAAATCGAGCTGAACTGAACCAGATCGCATAGGTTTGATTGAGTTTGGTTCTTTTAGACACTTTCTATTAAAACCAAACGGAACCAGATTGTGTATAAGTTCTGATTTTGGTTTTAATTAGAGGAGAAAACCTGACCAAACCGGACTGTGCCCACCCCCACTCCTGTGTTTACTCAACATAAAAGGATTGAAATGCAAAATCCATAATTTTTTTACAAGCCTAAAATGAATCCATCAATTTCTAAAAGCATACAGTATTACATCTTACATTAAAAAATGTTTTTATTATTATTATTATTTTTTTTGGCACAATTAGAAAGGGGAAGGAGTTTCTCTCACACACACACACACACACTATCAAGGTATCATGGAGTTTCAAACGTGAGATCACTAATATGTAAACCAAGACCATTTTCTATTGTGTGTGTGAGCTGGACTTTTGCAGTTCTGGCTTTTTTCTAGTTTAATTATCTTTTTTTCTTTTTTAACAGAAGTATCTTAAAAGTTAAATCCCCTAAGAATCTTAATATCATACAAGTCAAAGCACACTCCAGTAATAATATCTAAAGGAAAATTACTAAACCAAATACATGAATGATTGTAGTACTGTTCCTTTTTTTGATAAAAATCAGCTAACATGTTGGCTCCTTTGTAAATGTGAGTAATTGAGACTTGTGAGAACTTTCCCAATACTTGCCAAATATCTTTTGCTATTGAATGTAAACTACATGGTGCCTTTCTCTGCTTTAAACATCATAATTACATATTTATCACCCTACCTACTCATGATTTTACCAAAAGTACACATTATCTAGAATTAAATCTTATTGACACTTATAGTGTGTTTACTAATTATGAATTGAAATTCGAATAAGGGATTCCTATGTTTACTTCACATCAAAGAATTAAAAAGTAAGTGGGGTCATTCCTGATTTTGGAGGAATTCAATTTTAGGATGGGAGGTGGTATTCTAATTTTTGGAGAACTAACCCATTAGAAATTCATCTTTTTTTACCCATTATATCTTCACACAATTTTGAAAATTCCAAATTTGCCATTTATTTTAACCCAACAACGAGGACATTTTAGTAATTAGAACCATTCATGTCCCAATTCCATATGGTTTTTTAGTAAACAACTTCAATAGGGATCCATGATCTAACTCTCCTAAATTCATATGGTTTAGTAAACAACTTCAATGGAAAACCAGAATATAATTCTCCTCAATCCAACTCCTCCTCAATTCAATTCCTCATAATCCGATTTATGGATTAGTAAACATGCAATTAAAGGAAATTTTCTACCATAATGGGAATCTACTTTCATTAATTATGCTCCACCTACTCTGTAAAAAATATCGTTTGATAATGAAATATCGTCACATGATATAATCAAGTAATATCAGTGAGCAACAAATTTTCTAGTAAACTTTATTTTCTGCCCAATTTTTATTTGAAAATAACATTTTTATCATCTGAATCATTTGCGGATAATTTTTTTTATAAGCCTAAAATTAATCCATCAATTTCTAAAAGCATATAAATACATCTTACATTAAAAAAAATGTTTTGATCTAAATCATAGAAAAAGTTACTTTTGATAAAATAAACAAGCCTCTCTGAATAAAGAAAAAAATTAATATTTAGAAGGTCAAATTGAAATCTTGTGAAAATATTTAACTACACTAAGATTGATGGTTTCTAACTTTTGTTTAAGATTTAATTTTATAATTAGCATTTGACTCATTTTTTAGGTGAGTAAAGGGTTTTATTTTAAATCAATTTTAGAGTTTTTGATTTCTTATTGTCTAGGGCTTTCGCTTTTTGTTTTGGCAAGTGGTGATGATATATAGATCAGCGAAAAGACGTACGCATTTGCCCAAGGAGGAATCCTAGAATTTCTTATTAAAGATATATTTTCTCTAAATGATGAGGGTAAGAATGTCATTTTATTGCTTGGACAAAAGTTGAAAAAAGGGCAATTTATGTTAATAGTCGGGAGTGCCCATCATAATTAGTGAAACCTATACGGTAGTGCAAAACTGGCATGAAAACTCAAATCCATTGTCTAGCCCAAAGTAAAATCTTCCGTTCAAAAAAAAACAAAAAACAAAAAAAAAGACAGAAAAGAAGCCCAAAGTAAATCTCAATCTGAAGTCGGCTTGAACTCAGTAAACTCCAAAAGTTCATTCCAACATGAAGTAATTTTTGGTCTTTGCTTTTTGTACAAGCGATATTAAGATATGGGAAAATCAAACACATAACCTTGTGTTTGTGGATAACTAACCACTTGAGCAACAACTCCTTTATTTGAAGAATTTTAGATTGACATCACGTCTAAGAATTTTTCAATAAACCCGGCCAAAAGTTTGGGTTTGAGCCACCGTAACTCGTCCTATTGAAGTGAAGTTCATCCCTCATAAGTTAACATGCGCATGAACTTCATCCTCCATTGAAGCAAACAAGATGCTATTACTGAAGAAAGTAGCGAGGTAAATAATTGGAGGACAAACAATTGAATGAGGGAGAGAGAAAGGGTTTATTGCTTTTAATTAAAACAAACAATTAAAGAAATGAGGATAAAATATAGAAGAAACATGACTAAAAAAATTTTGGTTGTGAAATGTACAACATAGGTTTTCAGAATAAACTAGAGAATCCCTATTTGGTGGGTAACCAACCCAACTTTATATTTGTTTGCATGAGACGTTATACCTCGTACATGACCAAGGGACACTTAAAATTGTAAAACACCACAAAACCAAAGCAACTAAAAAGGAATAATTTCATTAATAAGAAAACCCAAACAAACAATCAACACACTTGTCTCAAAAATTGTTGCATATATAAAATGCGACACATGGCCAACATTTTTCTACAATCCAAAGGCAATCATAAAGTATACAAGAAAATCAAATCAACAAAAGGCAAGAGAGAGAGAGAGAGATGGCAATGAGGCAACGTTTTGGTGGAATCTCTAGTACCCGTCCAAGACTATCGTCTCGTTCAATTTATGAAGATTTCAAGCCCCACTTTGAATTGAAGGAAGAGCAGGAAGCTCACGTTATACATGTTCATCTGCCTGGTCTGTACTTTTACCCAACTTTATCACTCATTTTGTAAATAGAATACACAATGTTCATGGGTAGATATGGATTAGGTCAGTTGGGCGAGGTTGTCTTCCCGCCCCCTAAACCAAGTTAGATCTCCCTCCCAGTACATTAAAGTAGGTTAGAATAGAGATAAGTCATATATCTATTCTTAGCACTAAAATTATAAATAAACCCTACACTATTTAATTTATATAAAAAAAAACCCCAAAAAATGACAACTTGTCCTATTGAATTTAATTTTAATTATTAAATTACTTTGATGCCCTATTGAGTGTTTTAGGCTTTTTTATGAGGCTTTTGGATTGGATTTATTTTAAGAAATCAACGACAGTTTTGTAATTTTAAAGAAGTTAAAAGCCTTTTTATTATATTATAAATGAGCTTTGAATGTGTTTCCAAATTCCATTTCATATAAGGTTTTTTATTTTATAATTTGAGCTCCTATATTGGGTATAATAGTTAATCTCCCGAATAGAATATCGCCTTGTGTAATAAAAAAGAAAAGAAGAAAAAAGAACAGGTTTTTGTGAAAACTAGCAAAGTTCAAAAAGTTAAGTTTCCAAAAGCTAATTGCGAAAAATGTTTCAATGCTTTTGTGTGTACTTTGTTAAGTTGGAACACTTGTTTGATTCATATTGATTCAGATACATTCATAAAGAAGAATTTAGATGCACCCATAAAATGTAAGATTATAGGCAAATTTTGTATTTTAAAGAGCAACTTATAATTTTGCAGAGCTACTAGCATAAAATTCCTATACATGTTACGTTATGTCACTTTCAATTTGTTTGTGTTTTCAGGTTTTGTGAAGGAGCAAGTAAGGATTACATTTGCGGCTTCCCCTGGTGTGATTAAGGTTGATGGACAACGGCCTCTTGGCAATAACAAATGGAGCCGTTTCAACCAAACCTTCCCTATTCAAGAAAATTGCGACGTGAGTAAAATTCATGGCAAATTCAGCAATCCAATTCTTACCATTACAATACCAAAGCTAGGCATCACTCAAGTTGGCCCTAAAGAAGTAGCCAAACCAAGCCAACAAGCACCACCGACCCCTTCAAAAACTCCAACTGCAGGCCCTCAGGAAGCTGCTGCAGAGCCAAAGGCACAAAAATCTACTCCTAGTGCCAGAGATGAAAAGAAAGTGATGACAATAATGGGGGTCATCCATTAGGCCTTCCGAAAATCGCTGCTGAGACAGAAGTACACAAGGATAAGGATGAGGCCCTTCCAAAAGCAAATCCAGCAATCCAGAATGAGAAACAAAGGGATGAGAAGCGGGTGATACCTTTGACTAGTCCTGAAAGCATAAGCGAATCTAAGTCTCAAAGGGTAAGGATGAAATTCCTCCAAAAAGAATTGACGAAAAGAGGGTGGAGTTCACTGCTGAGCATGTTGATCGAAAGGATCAAAGTGAAGCAAAAGGGAAGCCAACAGAACCAAAGAATGCTGAGAGAGTTGCTGAAACCAGTCTGCAGAAGGAAAGAGAGGCCAATGAGAGAAGCAAAGAAGCAGGGGATGTCCCAAAGATTTTAGAAAAGGCAAAGAGAAAGAGCAAGAGTTCTGGGAGCGCTGTTGACCGAGAGAAGCGTACAGAGGAGGATTCCATTGCTGCAAATGTGATGGCTGCTGCAAAGGAGGGCATGAGAAATCTAGGAAAGGGGGTGAATGATGAAGAGAAGCAGATGTTGATCAATATGGGAGCAGCAGTTCTTGTTCTTCTGGCACTTGGGGCGTCTGCTTCCTACAGCTTATGGTCCTCTGGAAAAACCATGAACTAAGCCCGGCCAATATCTTTTTCTCATTTGATTACAGATATTGACCTCCACAGCACCTGAAAAATTAGTACAAAGTTTCCTTCGATAACATGAAACATTGTCCATAAAAAAGAATTTAGAAATGCTTAACTAGAAATTGGCCATAACACCTACCTATCTCCAGGAGAAATCTATGTAAATGGGGTTTCGTTTATATCCTTGGCTAGCAAGACGATTAATAAGAAATGCCTGTAGTTTATGTGTTCTTCAATAAAAGTGTAAAGGAGAAATTAAAGAATCAATTAGTTAAAAGTAAGGCTCATGTAGGGTATTAACGCAGAGACCTAACTGAAAACGAAACCATAAAAAAATTCCAACTTTCTGGAATAGCTAGCAATTCCACTTTGTTAAAAATTGTGGATTCAACTCCTTATATATTAGTTTCAAAAGTACAAATTGTGGAAGAAGAACAAGTGAGTGCTGTATAAACTGGCAATGGTGCTTCTATACCCCAATGTGCAACCAAATTTACAGCCTTCCTTTTAATTTTGAATAAGCAATTTATTCAGCACAAAGGACCCCATAAACAGCAGGACAAAACTAAAAGAAATAGAAACAGAAAATCACGACTTTCGAAATACCACATAGCCACATTGCCCAAAGCACTTAATTTCTAATGAAAAAAAAAGTTTTGAAAAAACATCTTATGGGGATGGCAATGCATTTCATAACCCCATGTTCTAAATACTCCTCTATCACTTCTGGGAAATCTCCTGGCAATGGGTCTTCCCCAAATACAATTTATAATTAATGAATTTCACACTTTAATTTGATTTTATTCCAAAACCCATTTAAGGAAAATAAAAAGCAAATTCTTCAATTCGAAGTGAACTATCAAGAGCGGGAAAGAGAGGCTGACCCATTATCGGTGCGTTCATCACCTTTATGAGTTTAGAAAGCCAAGGCTTGCGTGTTTGCAGTGATTTCGAGAGAAGCTTTGCAAATGGATGCGTTTTGATGCTTGAACTGGCAAAGCAGAAGAGGCAACATGAAGAGGAGGAGGAGAAGAGTACCGAAAACCATTCAGCGCCCTCAACAAGAACAACGCTTTCTCTCTGGTTGGTGGTAGTTGATGGCCTACCAAACATGCCCTTACAGTTTCAACTGTATTTGTAGACTTGTACAATACAAGGTTACTTGTAAACCAACTATAACCTTGTGGGTAGGGTTGGTAAATGCATTTTAGTAAGGCTTAAATATCTTAAATATCAAAATGGTCCCTGTGTTTTCCCTTCCTTATCGGCCAATTTAGTTCTCGTATTATTAATTTGGCCAATTTGATCTTTATGTTTGTATTCGTTAGTCAATGTGATATTTCCATCCAAATTCCGTTAAAATTGAAAGAATTTTTTTTAAAATCAATTAATTAAATTGTAATGATTACAAATAGAGATATTTAGTCAAATACCCATTCTTAGCACTAAAACTATAAATAAACCCTACATTATTTAATTTCTATAAACATACCCAAAAAAAACTCAAAAATGATAGCTTGCCTTGTTGAATTTAATTTTAATTATTAAATTACTTTGATGCCCCATTAAGTGTTTTGAGCTTTTTTATGAGGTTTTTAGGTTGGGTTTGTTTTAAGAAATCAATGACAGTTTGTAATTTAAAAGAAGTTAAAAGCCTTATTGTTATGTTGTAAATGAGCTTTGGGTGTGTTTCTAAAGTCCATTTCATATAGGGTTTTTTTTTATAATTTGGGCTCCAATATTGGGTATTATAGTGAATCTCCCTTACAAATATTCATATTCAAATAATAAAGAACTTAGATAATTAAAACACCAACCTCAACTCTTCCAACATTTTTGAGTCCTGTAGCGAAAAAAAGTTCCACAGTCAATCGAATGCATACTATTTTCTTGCTCTTCTGCCTTTGATATTTTTCATAGTCCCACCATCATCTCTCTCCTCTCAGATCCATTGACTGCCAAAAAACACTTAAGACACCCTCAAGTGATCCCAATCGCTCAATGACTACATCAACATTATCTTCTTCCTTCTCAACCAACCACCATGCCTAGCACAAGAAGACCACCTTTGGGATCCAATAGCTCACTCCAGCGCCTACTGTCGACTTGGATTGACCAACGCCTAGACGAAGCAGAGCACAAGTCGTGTTGGGACAATCGAGTTTGAGGGCGGTCTAGGTGCGAACGACGACGAGGATTCGAGACGGCTAAGGAATTTGCATTGTACGTGGTGTTGGCGTGAATATCCCAGATTTTTGCTCCAGAGAGTGTGGTTGTAGTTTGTTGGAAATTTAATATTTTAATATTTATTAGATATTTTAATTTTTAATTTTTAATGTGTGAATGAAAATAATTGTTTTGTTTAAGTATGAAAGGTTGCATCCGATACAATTGAACTAAGTGCAGTTGCATCTTTCCTTTGCACAAGTGGCGTCATTTAGTGAACAATGTTAATGTTGCCTCACTTAAAGATGTGGAAGGAGTGAAGGAAATAGATGATCAAAAGAGCTGCAGTAGTTTTGACTGGGCTTTGCTGCTCGAGCAGAAACTATAGGCACTCGAGTAGTAGAGTGGTACTTCTCGCCTAGACTCAGGCGCTCGAGCGCCTGCTTGAGCGGCAGAGCTCAAACTCAAGCGGACATAGGTGCTTGAGCGGGACATGCTAATCCAGCACATATCCCTAGCAAATCTGGACATATTTTCTCCTAATTTTGGTGTCCCTTAAGTTTCATATTCTTTCTATAATTGTACCAAAGCCCTATGACATATAAATATGCAATTTAGTGCTAGGTTATTGTAACATGAGAAAGCTAAGGCATCAAATTGGGTTTAAACCAAAGGTGAGAGAAAATAGAGCAAAGGTTTGTGAGAGATCAAAGGGGTTATTTCATACTAGTGAATTTCTTAGGGATTACCAAGAGGATGTAAGCTTGCTGAACCTCTATAAATTCTTTTGTCTTTTGTGTGTGTGTTTACTTTGTGGTTTTGTGTGCGCTTTATCTTTGCGTGGGTTGTGTGTGATAGTTGCATAGTCCATCAACGAGGTCTTGGAGTGTTTTTGCACAACAAGTGGTATTAGAGTTGCGGTTGCGGCTTACAACTTTAAGAGTGGCTATGTGTTAACGATGGCAGGCAACAAGGATGAAGAAAGTTCCAGTACTAAATCACCACGTGTATGAAGTACCAAGATTGAGTTAAAGCCATTCACCAGCAAGGAGAACTTCACGCTTTGGCAAAGAAGGATGAAGCATGTCCTTAAACAACAAGGTCTAAGCAAAGTCTTGGGAGGCAAAGAAAAGAAGCCGACAACCATGACAGATGCGGATTGGGAGGACCTAGACAAGCTTGCTAGAGGATCCATTGAACAACATCTAACCGACGAGGTGTTGTGTAATGCGATGGAAGACACCGCAAAGCAGACATGGGAGAGAAACTAGAAGAGATATTCGTGGCCAAATCGTTGTCCAACAAGCTCTTCTTGAAGGAAGAGCTTTACTCTCTAAAGAAGGAGGAGGGCGTAAGCATGATGAAGCACATGAGCGCTTTTAATAGGTGTATTGCTGACTTGTAGAGGATGGATGAGGTTTATAAATCTGAACACAAGGCTATGATGTTATTGACATACCTACCATCGTCTTATAAACATTTGCGGATGATGCTTATGTTCGGGAAGAGAACCTTGAAGCATGAAAAGGTCATGCAAGACATCTTGACGAATGACATAATGGTTCAACATTTTGAAGTTGTCTCTCAAGGTGAAAGGCTTGTAGGAAAGTCTGGAAGAGAGGTTGATTCAGAAAGCGTGATGGCAAGAAGAACAATAGGGGAAGATCAAATCCAAGTTTAAAGACGGTTGTTTTAAATGTGGGTCAAAAGATCATTGGAAGAAGAATTGTCCTACATGGAGAGAGAAGAGAAACAAAGGGAAGAAGCTGGATGAAGCTGGAGTCACAGAGGATAGCGATGGTGAGCTTTTATTTACTGATATCATTGTTAATACTGATGCACTTGCTATCTCTTCTAGGGTTTCATCTTCTGATTGGATTTTGGATTTCAGGTGCTCATATCATATGTGTTCAAACAAATCTTGGTTTGATACATATGATGTGGACTACGACATTGAATTTATGATAGGGGACAGCTCAGTTTGTAGAGTAGAAGGAATAGGTACAATCAAGGTGAAGATGCATGATGGCGTGGTTAGGACATTGGGTATGGTTAGGTACATACCAAAGTTGAAGAAGAATCTCATCTCCCTTGGTACTTTTGACAAGAATGGCTATTCCTACAAAGCCAAGGGAGGGAAGCTCATAATCTCAAAGGTTCACTTATGGTTATGAAGGGAGAGATTCAACCTAACTGCCTGTATCGACTATGTAGTACAACGGTGACTGGTAGAGCAAATATATCTATTAAGAATGACTCAAAGGATACTCAGCATTGGCACTTGAGGCTAAGGCACATGAGTGAGTGAGCCATGCAAGAGTTGCACAAATGGAAGCTTATGAAGGGAGTGCACAGTTGTAAGCTTGAGTTTTGTAAATTATGTAACATGGGGAAGCAGTCGAAGGTGACATTCAAGTAGCAAGACAAAGAGAATATGAGCATAGGGGTGCTCGATTATATTCACTTGGAAATGTGGGGCTTGCTCCGGTCAAGTCATTTGGTGGAGCTCGCTACTACGTCACATTCTTGGATGATTTTTCTCGGAAGGTTTGAGTTTATTTCATGAAGGAGAAATCTGAGGTCTTCACCAAATTCAAGGAGTGGAAGGCGGAAGTAGAAAACCTTACGGGAAGGAAGATCAAGATTCTAAGAAGTGACAATGGAGGAGAATATAAAGATAGCAAATTTCTGGAGTTTTGCAAGAGCGAGGGTGTCAAGAGGCATTTTACTGTGAAGAAGATGCCCCAACAAAATGGAGTCGTGAGGTGAATGAATAGAACTCTCATGGACTGTGAGAGGTGCATGAGGATTCATGCTAGCTTGCCTAAGGATTTTGGGCGAAGGCGGTTAACCACGCTTCCTATTTGGTTAACTGATCGCCATTGAAGTATCTTGATTTTAAGTTTGTAGAAGAGATATGGTCTAATAAATCTATTGACTATACTAATATGAAAGTATTTGGATGTAGTGCCTATGATCTCATACCTAATGATGAGAGAACCAAGTTGAAACCAAAGGCTCTTGAGTGCATATTCCTCGGCTTTGAGAGCGGTGTGAAAAGTTTCAAGTTATAGGATCCAGTGAATCAGAAGAAAATACTTTTGATAAGAAGACCATGCCTATGATCAAAGTCAAGAAAGCGGAGGCGAAGAAGATGTTGTTGAAACAAATACAATCGTTACAATTTCACCAAGTAGGGTATTCGGGGAAACTTCAAGTATGCAGCCAACGGAAGATTGAGGTGGAAGAATTTGGGCAACAATAACAAACTCAAGATGAAGAAGAAGAAGAGGCTTAAGTTCAAGTGGAGTCGTCATCTATAGCTAGGTCCAAGAGAACCATCAAACCTCCTCAACATGAGTGAAGGTGTAACACGCCGACCCAATTTAAATGTCTTTGTCTAATTTTTATTTGTGAATTTACAATTTTGCCCTTTGGGGGTAGGGTCACTTTAGTCACTTTTTAATCCGGAAGGATTTTGGGGAAATGAGTAGCACCATTGTGTAGAGCTCACTCTCACGAGTTCGTAGGCACATGGTGGGTTCAATTCGGAGTTAAAACAAAGAAGTTGTGGTCTACATAAGTGCAGAGGCACAACTGTAATTTTTCTAAAGTTGGATTTAAAACAATTGGTTAGCTCTCTCTCTCTCTCTCTTATGCTCCAAGGCAGCCGTTTCAGTCGGCGAATTCGTCGTCGTCCGATGAACAAATTCCACGAAACTTTTGCCAAAATTCTCACATATCTCTCCTCTACTCAACCCATCCCTTTTCCTAGCTCACAAATCTTACGTTGAGTGATTGTAACGATTGTAATTTTTGGCAGATTTTCGACGCCGTTTTTGGCGATTTCGACGGCTGTTTCGGTCAACCAAGGTATGGATCTTCATCCGTGCTCTAGCTGTTAGAATAGGTATCTTGGATCGATTTTGAGATTTTACAGATTGTTCAATTTACCCATTTTAGCTGACAATTTCGGCTTTGATAGTTCCGGTCAATTTTTGGCCCTGGTCCAAGACCAAAGTTTTTTCCTTATTTGTGTTTGACATGGTGGTATGGGTATTGACCAGCGATTTGGAATTTTTAGGTCGCTGAAAATTACTCAAGGCATCCACACGCTGCTGGTGCGGGTGGCGATGCGTGGACCACTTTGTGGTTGGCCATTATGTTCTAAAACACTCCCCATGTTGTCATGAGTATGACGGTATGCTCGGATTAGTGATAGGTTACCATTTGACTATTGAACGGATATCGTGCCTATTATGTGATATCCTGGTTCGATAGGTTCAGACCATTTGATTGGTTCCAGTTTCAATTAAGTTGTTCCCTGTACTTGTAGGATCGTGCAGGATCTTGCGAATCAGGAATCGGAGTCCCGGATACTCCGAGTCAAGGATTCTAAGGTTAAGCGAATCGATTGCCGTATGATCGTGCGATTGGCTTAGATTTGACCGTTTGATTGAGACCAAACCTTCGGGACTTGTTCAGTAGACTTTGTTGGACCTATAGGAACTTTTGGATCGAAAATTGGAGGTTGTGGGCCCTGTTGGCCCGATTAACCAATATGGAAAGTTTGACTACTCGGTTGACGTTGAGTCTTCCGAGACCGTCTCATCCTTCGGGAATTAATAGAATGACCCTATCGAGACTCAGGAACTAGAGTTTTGAGTTTAAGTTTGTTGTTGGATATGTTTATTAATTAAGCTTGTTTATTCTCTCGAATAGGTACTCTTGCTTCGCTTGTTCCAGAGGAAGAGCTCTCTTAGGATTGAGCAGCATTAGACTTGTAGTGAGCAGACATTTGTTTTTAAGTGTGCTTTGTTTTTCACATATGGAATTGCTTGCATAAATGTGATTTGATTGGAAATTGCTTCATTTTGGGTTAATTAGGTTATGGGATTTTATTGTTGGGCTAGTCTCGGCTTTTACAATGTAATATGGGATTTCGAGGGATTATTATTTTAATAATAATAATAATAATATTATTATTATTAAAGTATATGAATTTGGGTTTCGGACTTTGGTGATTTTGGGATTGGGTGATATTGGTTTTGTTTTTTAAATTTGAACAAGGGATTTGGTTTATTTGGATTTTGGATATTTCTATCATTGTCTTATGAGATTTTCTGTAACACCCTGACCCAATTTTAACCATATATTAAATCTATTTAAATATATTTAATTGTCAAATTACAATTTTGCCCTTGGTGTAAGGTCATGACGGTCACTTTTGGATCCATAAGGATATTTGGGATTTGAGTGGCACAATTGCCTAGAGCGCGTCGATACGAGTTCGTAGACACGTAGTGGGCCCAAATCAGAGTTTTAATGAAGAAGTTATGGGCAACGGAAGTGCAGTGATACAGTCGTAAATATTTCGAAGTCAAATTTTTAAAAACCAGTCAGCTCCTCTCTCTCTCTCTCTCTCTCTCTCTCTCTCTCTCTCTCTCTCCCTCCTCCCACAATTTTCTCTCTCTCCTCCCATTTTTCCGACGTCAATTCCGGCTTCGTCTGGCCACCGTTTCCAATGAAACGTCTGGCCACGGTTTGTCGATCCAGGTATGTTTTCTTACCCTTTCAACGTGATCTAGTTAATGGTTGGGTTGGTTAGCATCGATTTTGATGTTTTGAAGCTCAATCTAAAACCTAAATTTTGACAGGTTTTTGGATTGATTTTCCTACAAGCTCTGACCACTTTTTGGCCGTGACCCAAGAGCAGAAGTTGCTCCCCTAGTTGTCACGAACACATAGGTGTAGGTATTGTCTGGTGTTTCAAGAATTTTTTGGTCATTGAACGTGCTGCCTGTGCATGAGGTGGCGCATGGGCCATGGGGTGGTGGCCCATTTGGTTCTAGAATGCTCCCCATGTTGTCCCGAGCACGATGGTATGCTCGAATTCGAATTTGGTTATCGTTTGATGGTCGAACGAATTTACGCATATTAGTCGATATCTAGGTTCGATATGTTCGTATGTTGATCTAGGTACGGCTAGGATTGTGTAGGAACTCATGGATAGAGAATAGGAGTCCCGGATCCTTCGAATCACTAATTCAAAGATTACATAAAACGGTGACCATACGATCGAGAGCGATTCAACCGCTCGATTGAGACCAAACTTGCAGAATGGGTTGAGTAGGCTTGGTTGAACTGATAGGAACTTTCGAATTGGAAATAGGAGGTCATGGGCCCTATGGGCCTGGTTGACCAAAAATGAGAAGTTTGACCAACTGTTGACCACGGGTCTTTTGTGACCGTCTCTTCCTTTGGGAAGGTACTAGAATGGCTTTGGGACATTTCCAAGGTTGTATACACATGTTAAGTTTCTGGGAATTATGGGTCTGGGTGTATGTTTTGGTTGTGGCCTTACTATACCGGATAGTATTACTGGATTTGTTTCCCAATGTTAAATACGTGGGATTTTGAATGGTGGTTATGGCGTATTGTTGAAAATTGTTGGAAAAACAACGATCAATGACTATTTAAAATAATTATATATTAACAAAGTATATATATATATATATATATATATATACAATCCCCTTCAGTTGAGGGATCCCTCAAATAGTGTTATTTGAGGGATGGGGCACTCAGTCGTTGGATCTCTTTTAATGAGATCTTGTAGCTATTGTTGTTTTAAATGTTTTAACTCGTTTTCTCTCTTATGACCCGCAAATACAATCACTCGAGAAAAGCTAAGGCACACATGCAGAAAAGAATGACAGAAGGGGAAGAGCCCACCTTTCCACCGTCGCAAGTTGAAGGGTGTAGGGGACTTTTTCCTCCAGCAGCTGCAAATGGGCTGGGCTGTTGTAAAAGGGCAGACTGATGAAATTGTCCCCTTTGCCTGAGTTCGAAAATTAAGCCCCAAAATACCTCGAAAGGGCAGTAGAGCCTTAGGAAGTATTTTGGTTACCTTCACCAACCAAAATAATGGCAGCTTACAGATAATTTATGCATGCTTACAGATAAAATTTTAAGCTTGGCATGAGAGGCATGTGGCATGGGAGCAAAATCAACATGAGTTTAGCACTAAGAGGAAATTTAGGCTTTCTTAGAGGGAAAAAGGGAAGTGCTAAGGTGAGAAAAGAGAGATTTTGTAGGAGATTTGGCTAGGAAGAGAGAAATGAAGAACAATGCTCTTCTGGCAGCTTGACAGATACTCTGTTTGCCAGAAGAGAAGAATGGAGAAGATGGTGAACAGTGCACGAGACTTCTGGGTTTTTGCAAGTTAGAGAGAAAGCTTGCTCTCCAGGCGTGGGTTGTCTTGTGTTGGGTAGAAGGGGTCCTATTTATAGCTGCTAGGAATGGGTCTTCTCCAAGAAACCCTAATGGTTTCTCTCCAATCTAGCTAAGCTTTCCTCTTCCTTTCTTCTCCTCTTGCTTGACTTACCTCATGGAGGCAAAAATCAGTTCTGCCCAATCCCACGAAATCAGGGATTTTTGGGAGCTCGAGGCTTCAACAGCTTCAGAGGAGAGCTTCCATTTTCACCCATCTTTTTTCTCTTCTTTCCTCCTCTTTTCACGGCCAAATCTGATGAAGGAAAGAAAATGGGTGCGCCTGCTGGTTTAAGGGATAGCATCTTCCCCTGCGTGCTAATACCCCTTGGTTTCTTGAATGCTTGCACTTGGAACTTGTTCCCCCAGCAGCCCCTCACATGTGAATCTCTGGCTTTCTTCGTGGACTTCTGCTCCAGCCAAGTGCTGAAGGCCTTGGACTCCTTTTATTCAAATGGTATGGGCCCTTTAATATAGAAGGCCAAGTCATCTAATAAGTGGGTTAAATTCACCAAGTATTTGGGCTTTATGGGCTATCTAAAGTAATGGGTTATTTTGGTTGGGCTACTCTAGTTGAAGCAATTGGGCTATTTCCTCTCTTGTGCTTACCCACATGTTTGGGCCTAAGAAATGGGCTTGGGTTCCGAGGCTCCCAAGTAACCCGGAACCTCCACTTCTTGGTCCATCAATGGGCCTCATGACAATTTATTACCATCCATACCACAACCCACTCAAGCAAGCCCCGGGTATTTGAGTGGCTTGGGGCCCACTTAAGCTTGTGGCGTGATTAGGTGCGGAATGATAATTCCTTGCTTAGCGTGGCGTGTCGTTTGGCGTGGCATGTGTGCAAGCGCATATGATGAACTTTCGCATGCCCAAATCGGGTTTCTTCTTGGTAAAGCATCGCATTGGGCCGAGAATTTATTTGGGCCGAACTGTGAATATTTTGGGCCTCAACATTAGCCCCCTTGATTATTGGGGCCATGAATGTGTATTGAAATGGTCCGAATAATCAATTTTCAGCCCAAAATAAATTACCGTGGCATGGCATGGCATGGGTTTAGGAGCAACTCAAGGATAACAGGTTAAGAGTCTCTGAAATTACAGCCAGGTCTTTTCCGGGAAGGTTGGAGAGGTCACAATGGTCCCGCTTAAAACCCAATCCTTCTTAAACATCGAGGGTGTTGCGTTGAAGAACTTTCCTAGACACTATAATTTTGGAGGTCACTTACTAGAGTTACCAAGAGTTGACCTTATTTTGAGGCTTGATTTTGCATGATTGTGGTTTGCAAGAGTTGCATTGACTTGTGTGTCTAATATTAGTTATGTATGCTTGATTTTGGCTTGCATGATTTGCTTTGACTTGTATATTTGGTATTTGGCTTGATGCTTAGCATTGGCATGTATGCTTGATTTTGGCTTGATACTTGGTATTGGCGTGTATGCTTGATTTTGGCTTGCATGCTTGGATGCTTGGTTTTGGCTAAGGTGGCATGGCTTAATATGGCTTTTGGGACATTTAGCATGGTGGATGTCATTTGACAGTAGCCGGACGTGCTAGTGGATAGTGGGGATCCAATCTTAGAGTTGCGGATGCAATAAGTTTGGATTCATCATTGTGTTTGATTTTACAGCACCAGCCTCTGAACACTTTGAATTTAGAGGACAAAACTTCAATGAAGGTGATATCGTGCGACATGATGGCTAGATATTGGAAGAATGCTTCAAATAGGGCATGTGCTGGAAGGATATTTGAAATAGGGCATGTGCTGGAAGGATATTTGAAATAGGGCATGTGCTGGTAGAATGTTTGAAATAAGGCATGTGCTGGAAGGATATTTGGAAAATAACAAGTGCTGGAAGGATATTTGGAATAGGATAGGTGCTAGAATGGGCCGAATAATTAAACCCGACCCAAAAAAGTCAGATTTGTATTTGTAGAGAACTTCTCTTCTTCCCGCGTGCAAAATGACGACGTGTCATAATTGGCCCCAGCGGTTATTTGCAGTTTCCCAATGCCAAACACCTTCTTCCTTTCTTTTTTATTATTTTCTTTTTTTCTCTTCCCTTTTCTTGCACCAGATCCAACTTCTTCCTACTTTTCTTTTCTTCGTTTTCCCTTGTTCCCCCAGCTCAAAACTGAGTGAGAGAGTAAGATCAAGTGGAAAACATCTGCCTCAAGCCGCTGGGAAAAGAGCCCAAGTCGATTTCAACCCCTTCAGCCCTTCTCCCTTCGAAGAAGCCCTTCTGCCGTTGCTATAAGGGACCTTTTTGTGCGGGTTTTCCTCTATGATTCTCAATTTCGCTCCCTTCTTGGTATATTCAAAGTCACCTGTTGGGATTTTAGCAAGGTATGTCACTTCTCTAGCTTTCTCTTGGATTTATTGAGGAATTTGTTGGGTTCCCTTCATCCATGAATATTGCCCTTTGTTTTGGTTGTCAAGCATCAAACCCTCTTTTGACCTATTTTGTTATTGCAGCAACGTGAGTGCTTACAACGTGGGTGCTAGCAAGGAAGGGCTCGCACTAATCTTCTGGGATTCCCCTTTTCTTTGATTTGCTCGAGTTGCTGGAAGGGTGCCAATTTCCGTGTGAACAAAACTGTTGGTATGGGTTTCTACCTTTTCCTCTTCTTACTTTAATCTTGCTCTGACCTCTTTTTTGTATATAAAAAGGCTGAACTTGGCATGATGTGCTTTATTTTCTGATTTTCTCTCGTTCTCTTCTTTCTTCTTCTTCTTCAAGACCCAAACCTCAAAGCTGGTTTGCAACTTCTGAATTCATCCATGGCTGGTGAGTTTTTGCAGATTTTTCTTCTGCATGTGTCTTTAACTTATGATACTCGTATGATTGCGCTTGTTTCACAAAATTTGCTTGAAATTATGTTGTCTATAACATATCCAAAATTGAGGATCATCCACCCATTCTAGTGCTCTCTACCTCCATTTTTCTAAAGCATGTTCATGAGTTGATGTGGATGCCTTTGTTGCATGCTTGTCTTCTATGCTTGAATGCTTGAGTTCCTCTGTATTTCCCAGAATTTGTGAACTAGAAATCGAATTCTAAGGTTGAGCTTTTGATTTAGGATTCTAGCTTGGTGATAAACAAGAGTTATACAAGCTCACTTGGGTATGCATGCCAAGTGCTTGTCAAAATATCTCAAAGTAGCTTGCTGGCTGCTTTTTGAACTTTTGAAATGTTTCTTTTCGAATCTGAGTTGGAGCTTTTGAGACATAAAAATGGACTTCTCAATGGTTATGTTGGAATTGGTCTTGCATCACTTGAAGAAAAAAAATGAATTTTCGGTGGAATTTCAAAGTAAGGGTTAAGGTGCTGGAGCTGTACAGTTTTTGCTGTGTGGGCTGTCTTGGAAATCTGTTTGACATGCTTCCCTAGCTTGAAATGCAACGAAATTTTGGGAAAATGAAGCTTGATATGTCTAGTTCTAATCTGGAAAGTCTGGGATTTGTTGGTTGTAAGCTTGATTTATAGTGATTTTCTAAAGGTGGGATGTTCTAGCTAGGATGGTTGGAAAGCTTGTGTATAAGTTTTGCTTGGCATGCTGCTTTTTGTTGAGAATTTGGCATGTCCTTTTTGTTGGCATTGAGTGCTGATCTGAGTATTGCTAGAGCATGTTCTTGAGCAATATTGTTGTGACAGCATGATGTTGAAAGGTATTGTCATAAGAGCATGAGTTCTTCAATTTGCTTGAAATGCCCGAATTGCTTGGAATGCTTGAATGGAATGAAATTTCTTGGCATGTGGATTGGTTTCAAGCCTTGTGAATTTTGTTAAATGCTTGATACATGAGTTTGCTTGCATTATGAGAAAATTATGCTTCTGGCGCCTCCATTTGTGTATGAGTACCTTTCCGGCTTCTGATTTTGGCTAAAGTATTCTTTTGTTTAGAAACTCCAAAGCATGAGAAAGCATGAGAAATATAATTTTCTAGGATTTTGATAGCATGAAAGTGAGTTTTGGTCCCTTTCCACTTGTCTTTAAAAAAAATATGTTTCAATAGCGATTATGCTTCCGGTGCCCCCTTTCTGTTTACAAGTTCCCTTCCAGCACCTGATCTGACCAACGTACTCCCTTATTTATTTTTCAGGCTTGATTGAGAGATTCCACAGCATGAGAAATGCCATCTTCTTACTAATTTGCAGGGAATTTGGTAGCATGAAGGTGAGTTTTGGTTGCTTGCACCTTGACTTGCGATATGAAGGCTTTTGGAAGATTTGAAACTAGCAGAATGTTTGAAATTAGGCATGTACTGGAAGGATGTTTGAAATAGGGTAGGTGATAAAAATTCTTTGCTTATGGAGTAGGTGCTAGGAGAATGTAACTTGGCTTGTTTCAAAAAGGGGAAATAGAAAACTGTTTCTCACCATAATGCAAGATTATCTAGGCTTGTTGTAATCAAAGAGATGATTTATACTGTGTGGCAAAAAAGGTAGATGGGTTTGCTTGTTTGGATGGCATGGTGTACTTCCTTGAATTTGCTTGGCATGAAGCCCTCAAGTTAGCTTGTTGAGGTCAGCAATTGGTTGCAGAGTTGGGTTATATTCTCTTTGGCTTACTCAGGGTCGAGAAACAAAGTAGAGGCCTGCTTGTAAATTATTTTTATTTTTATTTTATTTTATTTTATTTTTTTTTTTTGTGCAACTTGCTTCAAAGAAGATCTTTGGAAGAAGTAGACTGAAGATGAGAAGGAAGAGGCTAAGCGAGTTGCTGGAAGAGATTCATACAGCTTGTTTTCCTCCAGATAAGTAACAAACAGTTTGCTTCCTCCAAGAGGAAAACTGAAATTTACAACAGCTTCAAGATTCTTGTCTCTCTCTTTTGCTTGGCATGAAGCCCCCAAGCCATTTGGAGTTTGCATGTGCTGTTTGCTATGATGGATTCTCTTAAGCCCCCATAAGCCTTTCGCAAGATGTTTTATCTGAAAAGCTTTAAATTTTGCTGTAGTGCAATTGCATGAATAAAGCTTGTGATTTTTCAGGAGTTGTCGTATAGCCATGAGAAGAAGTTCTTGCAAGTATTAGTTGCCGAAGTATCCATCTTCAGAAAGACCAATTCTTAAGTATGCCTGAAAATAATGATGGTGCCAAAGTCTGCGCAGAAAAACATGGGGATAATTGCAATGATGGGTCAGTTGGTTGCATAAATAATGAGATCAACAATGGTGCTGAAGGAGATGGTAACGTGAAATAGAAGATACGATATTCTTTTAGCACCAACTACCCTTCTCCCGGCACCAACTACCCTTCTTCCAGCACCAACCTCCCTTCTTTCTTGGTGCATTTGAGGTCGTCCTTTGAGGTGATTGACAAGGTATGCCCTTTCCTCTTTGCAATTTCTTGAATCTATCGAGGGGCTTGTTGGGCTCTTCATGCCCATGGGCTTTGCTCGTTCACTGGAATCTCAGGTCCTTCTTTTTAACTCTCTAGGAATAGATATAGACTGATATCTTGGCCTAGGCTTGTTTTTCGCATGCTTGAATAAATTTGGACTTTTCTCCCATGTTGTGGAAATAGAAATTGATAGAGTGCATGCTCTGCAATGCTTGAATCCTTTTGCATTTTGAGGAAGAATTTGCTTGTCATGGGAATTGCTTGAAAATTTCGCTTGCCATGGATAAATTGTATGCTGCTTGGGTATTTGCTTAAGTGTTTCCTTTGGCCTGAGCTTGACTTGCCTTGCTTGGCGTATATTTTGCTTGTGCTGCGTTCTTGACCCGCTTTTTTGTTGTTGAACTATATGCATCACGAGCGCATGCTTGTAATCGTATGATTAATGCATAGGATTAGAGGCTATTGAAAGCTTTGAGAAAAGCACCATTGGTTTCTTTTTTTTTTTGTGTAGGTGCACATGTCTCAGGCGTAGGTGGGGCAGGTGCTGGAAACCTTGACGTTTCTGCTGCTAGAACCTTCAAATCCTTCAGCCTTCTAACTTGGATATTTGGGGCTTCTGCTTTAATCTTTTGGTAAGTAACTCCGCCAATTTGAATATTCCAGGAATAAGCATAGACTGGTGCATGGCCTAGGCTTACTCCCCTTGTGAACATATGCTTGATTAATTGTAGACTTTGTTCTCGGTTGTAAGAAGTAGGAATGCATGTCTTGCAATGCTTGATTTTTGTTCTAAAAGAGAATTTGCTTGTCATGCTTATTGAGTCACAGGATGAGAACTTTGTTTGTCACGAACTTGGGTCAGAAATTGCATATTTGTTTGAACTCCTTCTTTTCTTTTAGGTCAAGAGCATCTCACAAGGGGCGGAGGGTACGCTTCCTTACCCTCCCGTTAGGACACCTGATACAGTTGCCGGCACCTCCTCGCAGCTTCCCGTAGCGCTGTCTCCAACTTCTCCTTGCCTGGGCACACCCAACATAGCTGCCGGCACCTCTCCATAGTTTCCAGCAGTGCTGCCTCCAACTTCTCCTTGCCTGGGCACACCCGACATAGCTGCCGGCACCTCTTCACGGCTTCCGGCAGTGCCCCCTCGTGGTGAGATTATTGGTGACATCCATAAGGACGGTGATGCTTCCACCTCCGTAGGGCATTTATCGGAGAAAATCATGCCTTGGCAAGATTGGGAGAATTCCTTCATGGCGTTCAAAGCCTTCTTTGATGGCGGTGTTACACATAGCATGAAATCATCGCATGGTTCTGTTTCCTTTGAGACTATAGGATGCATGGATCTTTAGCATGTATAGTTTTATCGTGCTTTGACTGTAGTTTTTTTTTTCTTTTGACATTCTAACGACTACGTTGTTATGACTTTGTAATTTGGCATTGAACCACTGAAGCTTGTATTAATTTTTTGAATGCTGAAGGCAGGTTGTAATTCGCATGTCTCATATATACAGCTTGGTTGGCAAAACTCGTCTTTGTGAACTGTTTGAGATTTTCTGACAGGTTGGATATCCTTAAAAAAACAAGGTATATGCTGCCAAAATTTTGACAGGAGCGGAATTGCTAAAGTTTCTTTTGCATGGTTTATCTAGCCTCTGGGTTTGAAAAGCAGCTTCTTGCCTTCCTTAAAAAGGGCCAGACTAGCATGTGCATGATTCTTACCAAGGTTTTATAAAACTCCCAGATGTTGTTCCAGCACCTCAAGATTGCGTGCTTCTTTGGAATAGATTAGTTTCTCGTGCCTTATGCTATTTTTGCTTAAGCGTGATGCTTGTTGATGGTTCGGGACCCCATTCAAGTGACTTTGCTTGGCATGGTTACTGCTAAAAGGCTTAGCTTTTAAAAGGGAAGTTTGCTTGTCTATTTTTTTTTTCAAAGGACATGTTTTGTAAAACAAAATAAGGTAAAAGCAAGGAAGAATTCTAGAGGCTTTTTTTTTCTTTTTCCAAAATACTCCATTCTTCTTGCAAATATCATTTTATGCCTTGGCATGCAATAATGCTGGTGCATTCTACCAAAGTTGTGAAAACATATGGTGAAAACACAAAAGGAGTTCATCTTTGAAATAAATTTGAAAAGCCAAAAACAAAAGGATAGGTGCAAAAGCAACTCAGTAGTAAGGCTTTGAGCCATTTTGCATTGATAAATACCCCCATCAAATTAAGGCCCCAAGTATGAAAGGGCTAAGGAGCGTGCATGACTTGCAATAGTATGAAAGCTTGTGGCTTAGGTTGGCATGTGTTGTACTAGGATGCCATGCTCTGTAGAGATATTTATCAGAGTCATAGTTGCTGCTTTACTTGCCTGCAGCTCATAACCCAACTAATCAAAGAGTGATTTGCAGCTCCTAACCCATTGTACTTTCTTCAACTTCTGTGAAGTTATGAGAAGTTACAACAGCTGCCTCTTGATAATCTTGATGACCAAATGAAGCCTCCGAGTGGCTTTCTTCCAGCATGTCTAATGTGAATACTTCGCTGTTGGAACCATTCTCCCATCCATTAGCAAGTAGCCACGGGGTGTTATAGCTTGCATATTTTGAATATTTGCTCCAGTTGGACTTCTTCATATTTCCACAAGGTTCCCACATAGCCTCCGATGGCTTTGGGTCATTCTTCCACAAGTGGCACAATACGTCGTCGTCGAGCAAGTCATCAAAGCACGTAATGACAGTAGCCATCGTCTTGTTAATAGCTTGCCTCTTAGAGTTCTGTCATGTATCTTGGCGTGTAAGATCTTCCTTAGAGTATAGCAAGCAGTGGTGGATGTTGCAGGTGAAGAATGGATGAATATAGGAAAATACGCTTCCAGCACCCATTTTCTTGAAAGCTTGACATCACTTCAAAAATTCTGATTGCTTGGTAAAATAAACTTCATCTTGACAGCATTTAGGTTCTTCCAACAGTATCATAGCACTACCTTCGCAATATTTTCCTTTCATTTGCCATGAATTGAGATGTTTTCCTTCTTGAGTAAAGCATAGTTCTTGGATTTCTTGACTAAGGCTTGGGGCTTGATGATGCTTGATTATGGAATTGTGGCATTTGAGACATCCTGATAGCCTTTTGGTTTTGACTCCTAAACTTGGTCATTGGAATGGTCAAGGCTTAGAAAGTGGTTGAGGCGTTGGAACATATCAGTTATGGCAACTTAGGTATTGTTTGTTGCAGCTGTTGTGAACATGTTTTAGGAACCAAAAGCTTGGACTTGGCTATTGAAGCTTGAGCTTTGTATGTGGTCACTGCAGCAAATGTGTTGGGTTACAACAACAAGTGATGGCGAACTTGGAGGTCATAGTAACATAATTGGGATTTCAAGGAGATTTTTGGTCTGGGAATAGTGGTTTTGGTAATAATGGATTTTTAATCTCCTTTGGGGTTTTGGAATCACTGCCGTGGTGATTGCAATGAATTCCTTCCTCAGACCCCAAGTGCACCATAATCATCAGAAAAGGATTTGATGGGCATAGGCTACAAAAACTCTTGCAACATGGCCTTCTTAGTATTTGTTTGGGTTATTGCATGGCATGATGAACTTGGGATATCCCTTTGTTGCAACGGTGACAGTTTGGCATGATTCGGTGGTAGCATGTGCTTCTGGCAGCGACTCTTCCAGCAATGGTGTTTGGATTTTGAATGGCTCTGTTCTTCTTCCACCCTTCCAACGGCTCTTTCAGTGGTGCTTGAACTTCTATGACTGGAAGTATAGAGAGAGATTTGTCTAAGGAATAGATGATAATGGCAGTGTGTTGAGATGTTGGGTAGGAAACATGAGAGCATTTGTTTTCTTGTTTGTTGTTTGGAGGCTTGGGTCCCTTGCACATGACCGATATAATGCTGCATGACCAAAGCATAAAAATAATATAAGCATTGTAGCTTGCAAATGACTAACATAATTGACATAAGCATGCTGGGCAGGTATGATTTTAGTACTGAGCATGCATAGTTGGCATCTACATTGCAATGTGTAACTTGGATTGATTAACACAAAGGTGGATCGATACGAAATGATAAGAAGTAAGATAAGTGAATAGTGCGTGGAATAAGGCCCTGAGAAATTTTGCTGGAGATGCAAAATTGAAAGGTGGTTTAATACATAACAAGAAAATGATGCAAGCTGGTGCACCATATGAATATCAACTAATCAATCAATCTTTTTTTTTTTGGACTTGAATGCACATGCTTTTGTCTATGCTTGAGATTGTTCAATGAAACATAAATTTTATGGATATCCTAAAACAACAAACAAATATATATACTATATTGAGATCAACAAGGCATGATAATAAAAATCTTATCTTGGTGAAGCCATTCGCAGAGATGAGGTTGAGAGCATTGAGCAAGTGTTCCTTCTCCCTCTCTCACCGTGTTTTCACAACTCTAGAGAGGTGAGGGTTGCTATGAAGGTGATTTACGGCGATGGCCAGACTTGCTGATGATGTATCATGGCGGAGAGGTGAACGGCAGAGCTAGCCTCAACCATTGACGACGGTGGTTAGCGGCTTGCACGTTGGCTGAAGCCCCCAGTCCTCTTACAAGATATTGTTTTGCTTGAGAATGGATATCTAAGACACAAGCAAAGGGAGCATGTGAGTAATCTATATTATGTTTGTTCTACAAAGTAGATAGCCAACGAAAGGAAAAAGAAAAAGAAAGAGGGAATGCTCTTATCTCTTTATTTCCTCCGGTTTATTGCTTCTGGTCTTCTTCTTTGGAGGCATTGGTGCAGATAGTGGCTTAATCCCCAGCAGAGTCGCCAATTTATGTAGGGGACTTTTTCCTCCAGCAGCTGCAAATGGGCTGGGCTGCTGTAAAGGGCAGACTGATGAAATTGTCCCCTTTGCCTGAGTTCGAAAATTAAGCCCCAAAATACCTCGAAAGGGCAGTAGAGCCTTAGGAAGTATTTTGGTTACCTTCACCAACCAAAATAATGGCAGCTTACAGATAATTTATGCATGCTTACAGATAAAATTTTAAGCTTGGCATGAGAGGCATGTGGCATGGGAGCAAAATCAACATGAGTTTAGCACTAAGAGGAAATTTAGGCTTTCTTAGAGGGAAAAAGGGAAGTGCTAAGGTGAGAAAAGAGAGATTTTGTAGGAGATTTGGCTAGGAAGAGAGAAATGAAGAACAATGCTCTTCTGGCAGCTTGACAGATACTCTGTTTGCCAGAAGAGAAGAATGGAGAAGATGGTGAACAATGCACGAGACTTCTGGGTTTTTGCAAGTTAGAGAGAAAGCTTGCTCTCCAGGCGTGGGTTGTCTTGTGTTGGGTAGAAGGGGTCCTATTTATAGCTGCTGGGAATGGGTCTTCTCCAAGAAACCCTAATGGTTTCTCTCCAATCTAGCTAAGCTTTCCTCTTCCTTTCTTCTCCTCTTGCTTGACTTACCTCATGGAGGCAAAAATCAGTTCTGCCCAATCCCACGAAATCAGGGATTTTTGGGAGCTCGAGGCTTCAACAGCTTCAGAGGAGAGCTTCCATTTTCACCCATCTTTTTTCTCTTCTTTCCTCCTCTTTTCACGGCCAAATCTGATGAAGGAAAGAAAATGTGTGCGCCTGCTGGTTTAAGGGATAGCATCTTCCCCTGCGTGCTAATACCCCTTGGTTTCTTGAATGCTTGCACTTGGAACTTGTTCCCCCAGCAGCCCCTCACATGTGAATCTCTGGCTTTCTTCGTGGACTTCTGCTCCAGCCAAGTGCTGAAGGCCTTGGACTCCTTTTATTCAAATGGTATGGGCCTTTTAATATAGAAGGCCAAGTCATCTAATAAGTGGGTTAAATTCACCAAGTATTTGGGCTTTATGGGCTATCTAAAGTAATGGGTTATTTTGGTTGGGCTACTCTAGTTGAAGCAATTGGGCTATTTCCTCTCTTGTGCTTACCCACATGTTTGGGCCTAAGAAATGGGCTTGGGTTCCGAGGCTCCCAAGTAACCCGGAACCTCCACTTCTTGGTCCATCAATGGGCCTCATGACAATTTATTACCATCCATACCACAACCCACTCAAGCAAGCCCCGGGTATTTGAGTGGCTTGGGGCCCACTTAAGCTTGTGGCGTGATTAGGTGCGGAATGATAATTCCTTGCTTAGCGTGGCGTGTCGTTTGGCGTGGCATGTGTGCAAGCGCATATGATGAACTTTCGCATGCCCAAATCGGGTTTCTTCTTGGTAAAGCATCGCATTGGGCCGAGAATTTATTTGGTCCGAACTGTGAATATTTTGGGCCTCAACAAAGGGCAGACCCACTGTTGCGAGATTCCTATAGGAATCAGGTATGAGTTTTGATGGCTATGGTTTTTTTTTCTTTTGTTCTCTCTCTATTCTCCATCTGGGTGCGGTTTTCGATTTGGGGTTCTGAGATAAGTTTCTAATCTGGTTTGAAGATTTCTTAGAAGCGATTGAGATTACACCTGATTTCTTGTGGGTTTGTTGATTTCGAGTATCATACATATCTTATTTCTGAGAGGGTTGTAATGGATATGAGAAAACAGAAAACCATTTGATCTTCTTGATTATTCGAATAAACTTTGATTTTTGAACACCTTTCTCTACTTTCTTTTGATTTTTATTGAGTTTCATTCATGCTTCTCATTTTTTTTAACGAAAAATAAATGTCAGTGGGTTAGCTCTAGGACTCGCTAATATGCAATAATAGAGAGAATGAGTTTGTAAAAATTTAGGTGGTTTACTTATTGTTGTTAAGGTAACAAATATAACTGTTTGAATTGGTTATGGAATGCAGAAAAATGGCCTAAATTTGTTTGAATTTGTTCAATGATAAACAAGTATGGTATCCTGGGTTATGGTTGTTTCAGTATCTTGGCCATGGTTCTTTGATTTGGGGGTTCTGGACTGAGTTTTGATATGATTTGAGTATTGTTTTTTTCCTTTTCCTCTGCTTCCTGGTTCATCCTCAAGAGTTGTAAATTTTTTTAAAATTGTTTTGATATGGTAATGGTTATTTATTGATCTGATTGGGGCATAGTTTTTGATATGGTCCTACATCATATATGAAGAAAGAAAAAAAAACACAGGATTTGTACTATTGAAAGTAATATCATGGCAAGTCATACTGGTTTGTTCTATGCCTTGACACCTGTGTATCAAGTTGTGAAAAGAACATTTATAGTGACTAGAAGCAAGGGCAACACTGTAAGTTTCGTTTTCTCTATTTGTCCATAAGGCAGTCGTGGGCTTGTTTTTCCCCCTCTCCACTACTGATAGAAACTTGATCACTTTGATTCATACAGATTCCAAGCACTATATAACACACTAAGAATCTCTGTCTGTTGTGTCTCCTTGTCTCTGTATGCGGCCTGTGTGTTTGTAGATGATATAAAGCAGATGTTGCCTTGGTCTAGGCATCGATCACATGAGAAGTATTAGAGCTATTGCTTCCATATAAAAACAAGTATTGACTGTGTTAGCGGTAGTACGTGAGTACTTATGCAAGCCATCCTTTTTCCAATTTCTGTCTCATATTTTGTTTACAATTGCAACCTATAATGGTGATGCTTTCAATAGTTAAATGATTACTTGCATTGTGACCACAGTAGTAGGATACCTTTGTTGAGTTCTATTTAGCTGATTAAGGTGTTACGAAAATATATTAGTCGTTGATAATACACATTCGAAATTGTTTTTGTACTTGCTTATGAGATTGCTTATGAATTGTTAATGTGCATTTGAAATTGTTTTTTGCTAGATAAAAAGTCTAATAGCATCAATGAAGTTCGTCCAGAAATTTACAGAGATAAAGGTCTCTCTCATATATGAATCGAAATGGTATGATTTGAAATGCACATATGGTTGTGTCAAATTTCTGTGGAGGAAGAGCTTTGAAAGAGGCAACAAGCATTATTTAGTTTTTTTCATTGCAGTGTTTGTAATACTTTTGAGGTTGTGTGTAAACTTCTCTTCTATTAAAATGAGTAGTTGTTGGGGGCTTGTTGATTTGAATCAAAAAGAAAATGCTACCTATATTCAGTGTGGAAATAATAATGATTAGAACTTTCTGGTTGATGAGAGGAGTTTGTATGCGGAAAATATGAATAATTTATATGCGGACAGTGATGATTTGTCATGCAACTTTCAAGTCGACTCAGGAAAATTAGCATGTGTGGCTTTTGTGCGAGGAATGTATAATTATGCAGAAATTTGAAGTTTTAAAGCTAACAAATAAATATATCTGAACTGCCATGACTCTTTTTTCCCACGATCAAACGTTGATAATTACAAAGCCCAAGTGACAATACTTTGATACAACAAACTTACTTTAAATTTACATCAGGTTATCTAATTGAAGGCATTAAGGTATGTATCGTATACACACGCGTAAAAGAACAAGTATTGCTAAACATAAATGATCCTAATATCATAGAAACTCTGTGAGCCAGGACCTTCATCTATTAAAGCCAAACTTAACATTCCAGTGCAAAAATAATCATCTGGTTGGTTTTGGCCATAGAGCCTATAAGGAATCAAAACAAAAGAAACTGATAAATACCTTCCATTATCATATTTTCTTCTTGCAATTAGAAAAATTTCATATAAGTCAAACACTATAAGCGTTTGGAAACAAGATACACTCTAGGTACTAAAATCACAATCATCCTTTAGACTTGATAGATGTTTCGCATAAAGCACTTTGATTTACAATGGCATTCTTAGTGACAACTACTTACATCCGAAGTCCCAACCATAAGATTTCCAGGAATTGAGACCTCTGTAAATTCTTCTTGACTACTAATAATTCCACAACCTTCCCCAATTGCACCTTCAGTACACTTAAGTTTGTTCCTCCAAGATCCAATGCATAAAACAACCCTTTCTCAATCCTGAAACACGAAAGTAATGACAATAGGCTAGCTTAAACATTCCACCATAAACGTTTTGTATAACACGATGGTTTCTAGGACTATGACACATACATACAATTCACTCATCCAAATTATATAAGAAGATTGATCAAGAAGAGATAAACATGCAAACAAAAAAAACAAGGATAAATCAACACCATGAGGAAAAATTATGATCAACCCTATGACAAGTGTATGAGAATCCAACTAAAAGTTTCAGAGACTCAAAAGAAGGTGATAAAGAACATAAAAACATATTGCTTCAAAGACTTGGAAGGAAAGTGACATTTTTTAAAATTTGTTTACCATAACTAACAGTTACATTTATTTAAGGTGTTCTAGATTCTCTTTTATAGTAATATGTACTTGGCTTACTTTCTTTATGCTGAAATTGTTTAAGCTCACAAAATCATCTACTTTCACCTTATAACATACAAATGTTAACTAACTTATCGTTTGGCTGTGTGCATTATGGTTTTGAAAATAAAAAATATTCCTTGCAGACTTAGAAGGATTATTTAGGCCATTTTTCTGCATTCCATAACCAATTCAAACAGTTATATCTATTACCTTAACAACAATAAGTAAACCACCTAAATTTTTACAAACACATTCTCTCTATTATTGCAGATTAGTGAGTCCTAGAACTAACCCACTGCCATTTATTTTTCTTTAAAAAAAACAAATGAGAAGCATGAATGAAACTCAATAAAAATCAACAGAAAGTAGAGAAAGCTATTCAAAAATCAAAGTTTATTCAAATAATCAAGAAGATCAAATGGTTTTCTATTTTCTCATATCCATTACAACCCTCTCAGAAATCAAATATGCATGATACTTGAAATAAAATAACCCACAAGAATCAGGTGTAATATTTGTAAGTCTATGAAAGTGTGCACCAAAGACTCTCTAAATCCTATTTGAGAGAAAGATAAGATGTTCATACCATTGGAGCGAATCTTGAAACCAAGAATGGTGTTCAAGTAGAGGGAGTGGTCCTTTTGTTGTTGGCTCTCCCTTTGATGTTGATTCTCTGCCTTGTAGCTATCCAAATAGGTACAAAGATATGCACCTCCCCAAAGCTCTTCACAAAGGATTGAATGGGATGAGAGAATGAGTAGACAACAAGTGAACAGTGGTGCTAGCACCCTTACTTGATGTGATAGATTGAAGGGGTTAGGGAGAGAGAGCTTGATGTTTTCTCTCTTCTAATTTCACCAACTTGGAAACCCTAGGATGATAGGATTCCATAGCCACAAACTTATAGGATCAAAATTGTCACAAGAGTGACAAAAATGCCCCCAAACCCTAGTGTAGCCACACACCCCCTTTGTGTGTCATATTTTGCTATCTTGGTCTAACACATTAATCCTATAATGTGCCACATATATGTCTAACTCCATATGGTCAAATCCCTTTTGAATTTCTAGGTCATATGGGACCTTTAATTAAAGTTTCATAACTTTAATTGAATAATTAAATTAATCTAATCAATTTAATTACTCTAGTGACTTGACTAATTCAATCACTCACTTGTCTAACGAATCTTGGTTGCGGTCATCCTTTGTTGACCGTGTCAAGTGTCGGGTCAACCGTTTGACCTTTGACCTTGGACTTTCACATGAACTTTGACCAAGTCACAAAATCATTCATTCTCTTAATAATTTCCCAATCGATTCCTTTTCGGTGTGCGATCTTAAACGTTCTAATTAGAGAGGCAGTGGGTATGAATGATTTACTCTGAATTAAGTGTGAATTGTATCCCTCCATACAATTCTCCCTAGTTAGTTTGTGATTACAATGCAATTCGATCCTTCTCTAATTCAATAGTCTATGTCATATTCTCGGGATATGGTAAACTTGTGTCAAAATCCCTAATATAACATCTCTAGATTATATGATTCAATTTGATGAAATTGCAAACGTTCTTGTTTCAATTTCCATCAAATACTTTGGCCAAAGATTCACGAATCATATCTTTAGAGTATTCTCTCTTCTTAATAAGAGTAGAGATTCCTTGTTGTACATTCACTTATCTTTGCATACACGCTGAGAATCCTGAGGAACACCTTTAAGTCACATCATTTTGATATGACCGTATAGTGCAAAGAGAAACAACATATACACAAGACAACTGTGATGTCTCAGGTCTAAGGATTAATTTGCATTATCACAACTTAGAATTCTTTGTTTGACACTTGTGAGTAAGACTTTCATACAAGAATTCTAGAGTTGATTGCGTTCAGTGGGCTCCATCTTCTATAGAGCACCTACACATCTATCTCAGTGTCTCTACATGAATGACTTGAGACTAGTCATCCTCCCAATTGAGCAGACATAATGTGTACCAGTCTTTGCGGGTCACCATTGTCGAATTGGTGATCCTATGACCAGGATCATTTTAGGATATGATATTTATGTGTATGGAAAGGTCTCATGCATCTAACTTCTTTAGACAACTTTCCATTTATATCTTAATCCATGGACTTGTTACTTTGTGTACGTTATGTATTTAAAGCAATGTTCTTGCCCCTTTGATTATTATATATTATTTTATTAGAATTATCCATTTTATATTGGCTTCTAGGGCATATATCTAACATCCGGGACTTCGATTCTCGATCCGCGAATTCCTACATGATCCTAGAGGCACAAGGAACGACATATTTAAAGTTGGAACCGATCCAACGGTCCGAACCTATCGAACCCGGATATCGTCTAATAGGCGTACATCCGTTTGACTGTCATACGACAACCAAATTTGAATATGAGCATCCCGTCGCGCTCGGGACGACAAGGGGAACAAGTGCCAGCAACACGTGTGTGGCTTGAAAAAATTTCGGTAACGGAAAATTCTCGAAACACCCTACAATACCTATACCGATACGTTCAGACTAACAAGGGGTGTAATTTTTGTTCTTGGACCATGGCCAAAAACTAGTCAGAACTTGTAGGAATGAACCCATACCGTGAGCCCTAAGTGGGTGTTTTGAACGATCTCTAAAACCTCAAAATTGATCTACAATACCTACATAAATGGATAGTTCACGAAGAGTAGATGAAGTTTTATATCTCACTCAACAAAAATGGTGGCCAGAGTCACCGAAAATGGCATCTAAAACTTAAAAAATCGCCGATACTTCCAGTCGTTCCAGCCGCGAATCCTTGGGTTTTTGAGTTGGGAAATGGTCTGGTTAGGTAGAAGACGAAGATACGAAGATTTTGGGACCAGTCTTGCCTGAAATGGTGGCCAGAGTTGGAGAAGGAGAGAGAGCACGCGGGGGAAGAAGATGAAGAGAAATAGAGTTGGCTTGGGTACTGTACCAAACATACTGTAACGGTACAGTTTTCTACAGTAACAAATTTAAAATTTAAAATTTCGTCCTTTTTGTTTGTAGGCCTTTAAGTGTTCATTACAACTCGGAATTGAGCGTGCCGCCTGTCTACGGACTCATATCGACGCGCACTCAATTCTCCAAAATCATTCCAAATCAAAAAGTGACCAAAGTGACCCTATACCCAAAGGGCAAAATTGTAATTTCATAATTACATAAATTGAATAAAACAATTAAATTGGGTTAGAGGTGTTACAGCAAGGGATAGGGATATGGTTGAGCCACCACCTGTCCCGCCACCACAGCCACCACCCCCGACTGCTCCTCTTTCTTCCTCTCTCATGATGATTTGGGGTAGGAGATGAGGGCTATGGTTTTGGCTTAGGGAGGGCGCTGATATGTTAATATTTATATAACTTTTTGATAAATATTTCCCTTAGATTTTGTATAATTGGATTGGTTAATTGCACTAAATTTAATTGTTTTGAATTATAGGTGCTCAATTTTGGAAATACATGAAAAATAAAGTTGAAGTGCAATTTTAAGTGTCTAGAGCAATTGTGGTGGAAAAGTCTCAATAGGCCTAATCAAGTTTACTAAAGAAAATCGTGGGCTGAATTGAAGATGCACATGAGATGACACATGGGCATGCGTTGGAGTGGAAAAGTCCAAGTGATATGATTTTATTTTAAACTCCTTTTTCAATAAGGACTATGAGTCCAAGTCAAAGGAGGGGAGTTGTTTATTATTCCTTGAAGAAGCCGTAAAAGGGGGTGATTGACGTTGTTTGGGGTTGTTAATTGATATTGAAGAAGAGGTTGAAAAGTCAATGTGAAGTGGAGTCCAAGGTTTTGGAAAAGAAAACGTGAAAGGTGGGGAGGTTATTAATTCAATTGGTAGGAGTCGTCAAAGTGGGCTGTGGCTGTGGGCTTTGTTAAGGGGTTGTTAACTCATATACAAAAGAAGCCACCAGATGAAAAAGAGAGAAGAAAAAAAAAAAAAAAAAAAAAGACGGTTGCTTTGTTAATTAATAGGAGTTGGTTAATTCGTGTTTTTTTTTGGGGGGGGAAGGGAATATAAAAGTAAAAAGGCTACAGACGGGGGAGACCTAATTTTTGGAGTTGGAAAAATAGAAAAAAAGAAAGGAGAAGAAGAGGGCAGCCACACCATTCCATTCTCCTCCATCCTTCAAGGTTCCAAGGTTTGAAAGGCTTAGGAAGCAAGGAGGAACGTCAAGGCGTAGACCAATCACGCTGGCTTGACCAACACACCATCAAAGAGCTACCTTCTTCCCCTTTTTATTTTCTGTTTTGTATGTTTGTGCTGTCTATTTAAATTATGGGTAACTAAGTACTTAAGTTAGGGCTCGATTGAAGCCCTAATCATGTTCCTTTAAGGATTTCGATATGCCTTTGCTGTAAACTACTTTTGTGATGCTTAATTGATTAATTTCAGATTATATTTTACTCTTTACATACGTTATGTTATGCTTGATAACCGTATGCATGCTGTGTATTGAGTTTGTTACATAGGTAAATTTAGATGACCGAGTCTTGTACCTATGAGAGTAACAAAAGAACTAGTTATAAGTTATTGAAATTAATCATCATGAATAACTAGAATAGATACCATGTTCTAGGAGTTGTGTTTTTGTTGTTTTTGTCGATTATTCTTCTTTCATGACAAAATAGTGAGCACTCTAAGTACAACTCTCACTTTAGTCATACTATTTTGTGGAGTTATTTTCGTTTGTGCGAATATAATTATTTTAAGTCCTACTTCACAACATTAATTCTTTTTCTTTTGAGAACTTTGTGAGGGTTTTGTAGGTTTTGATCACCATGGCTTTTACCTGAGCTTGAAAAGTTGTTCATAGCTAGCACTACAAAAAAAAAAATTTTTTGCGGTGCAGATTTAATGGCACATCAAAAATACACGTCATTAAATGTGATAAACAATGATGTGTTTTTAATATGCGTCATTGAAGTGAGTTTATGACACTGTTATCACGACATTTGTTTGACGCGTCATCAAAATCATTTTCAATTACGCGGGATGTGTGTCATTGATTTGAGTACATTTAGACGACACCTATCATACATCGTTAAGATTGTGAATTTAACGACGTTTTCTACATGTCATGAAGTACTTAGACAATGACATAGGACCTGTGTCATAGATGTACCCTATACGATGACGTTGGACTTGGGTCATAGATTTTTCTTAAATTAACGACGTCTTCTACACATCATGAAATACTTATACAATGATGCAAGACATGCATCATAGGTGTAAAAAAAATTTAACGATGTCTTCAACACGTCATGAAATATTTATACTACGACGCATAATGTGCGTCATAGATGTTTTCCTATTGCGCCTTTTTTTTCCACAAAAATTCTAATTTCGCGCTTTATTCCCTCTGGAACCCTCTCTTTGACCCTAACAAAAATTTCACGCTTGTCTCTCAGCCCCAAATCCAAACGACACTCCCCTTCCTCCTCCAGACCCAAACCCTAAAACTATCCCTCTCTCTCTCTCTCTCTCTCTCTCTCTCTCTCTCTCTCTCTCTCTCTCTCTCTCTCTCTCCTCTCTCTCTCTCCTCTCTCTCCTCTCTCTCCTCTCTCTCTCTCTCTCTCTCTCCTTTGACGAAAGGTCTGACCTAAGAGCATTGTAGGTAGGTGTTGTGTTTGCAAATTCTTTTGCTCCCACTTTCTCTCCCCATCTCTATTTCCTTCTCTCTATTTTTTGTTGGTCGAATCCATCTCTTAGTTTTAATTATGAATTAGAATTTTTTTTTCCTTTTTTATTTTTTTAAATTCCTCTTCCTCTGTAGCTAAGGATCAACGCCACCAACCCATTACCACTGACTGCTCCATGTTTTGGTAAGAATACTTTATTTTTATTTGAGTTTATTTTCTTTTGGTGTTTGTGGTTAAATCTATTTGGATTTTCTAGGTTGTATTGCTTATATGAGTTTTGTGGGTCACAACATAGTTGATCTTTTTAATTTGACAGTAATATGGTCTCACATATTTGCATAGGTCTTTTTAATTTGATAGTAGGAGGAGGTGCTTCAATCAGCATAATTTATGTATGACCTTCTAGTCAATTGTTTTCGCACATATAATATTGATAACTTCGTACATAAGTATAAGTCTTTGTGTGTGCTCTCGTGACTCTTAAGGAAGCTTGGAATTCTAATTTCGGTAATTTTTCATTCTTGAAACTACGAGATGTATCCTTTTAGTTTTGTATTTGAAGCGGTCCATTGATGTTAAGAGTTTTTATCAAATCATATATTCCACATGATCAGTTTCACAAGCACTAGATGGTTCTGATTGTAGATCTCTTCAACTATTCTAAAAGGTAAGAAAGACTATAATCTTTGTTCCCAACAACTGTTAGAAGTCCTTGTATTGATCTTGCTTGTGTTTGCAGTTATGGTTTACTTCACTTCATTGATAGAGGCAGAGAAGGAAAAAGCAGTGCAGCTTGGGATAAAACCATACTCATAGTTCATCGAAATGGTTAGTTTCTCTCTTGTAATTGTAAAATGAGTGTCCATGGCTGTCTTTATTGCAGTTTGCATATCATTATTGTTTGGTTAATGCAGTGCATGTGGTGTTAGTAAATTATACCATCAAGAATGCCTAGTTAGGTATTGAAATAGTTATGTAATAAATGATTATGCTATGTTGGGTTACAGAGAGAAGTTTTTTTTTTATAGACAAATGGTGACTTGTAGATTCTTTAATTTGTGGTACCCAGCTAGCTACATTCTGGACAAAGACATCCCTTGTGCACATAAACTCTATTTCGTCTATGAGAAAGTCTGGGCTTCGAGTTAAGGAAGGTAAGTTAAGCGTGGCATTTAACTATAGAAGTTCTTAAAATGTTGAATGAATTTGCCTGATATTGTTTCAGAGATGGGCTTTGAGGTTTGATTTGTTAGTCCTCTCTCTCTCTCCTCTCTCTCTCCTCTCCTCTCTCTCTCTCTCTCCTCTCTCTCTCTCCTCTCTCCTCCTCTCTCTCTCTCTCTCTCTATTATTGATGATCTTGGCTGACAATAGCATTGATATTTGATTGATGAAGAAGCTTCATGTGTTTCAAGCTGTTCATTCAACTAAATTCTTGTGAGTTCCTCATTTTGTATTTTCATTCTTTAGAATATCTCTGCATGATCACAGCTAATGTTCAATTGATAGTTTTCAAGTAGTTCGTAACGGGTCATTTGGTTCTCTCCTTTTTTTTCTTCCTTTTTTCCCCTCATGTTGTAGGTCTGCAACATAAATTTAGAAGTCATAACAAGTACTGTTGAAATAGTTTCTTGGAAATGGTCTATAAGGTTAAAACTTGATGGGATTCATAGCTTTTCAAGCCAAAATTCTTGCCTATTCGTACAAAAATAACAATTTGATTTCGTACTTCATATTAAACACAACTGAGATGCATTTCCTTGTTTATAGAAAATTCAGAGCACATACTTGCTTAGTGATTTCTAGACCTTCAGTCTCATTTTCTGTTCTTGTGTTTTAATGCAAGTGTGGTTGTAATTATTTTAGTACCATTTACACCCACTTTTGGGACATGAAGCATCACATCCTCTCAAACTATCATAGAGATCATATTTTGGATGTTTACTTGTTTTGGATAGTGCAAGTATCAATCTTCTCAAAATTTCATAGGATTGACTTTGTGGGATTAGTTAAGACAATTTTAATGTACTAGAATCATTTTGAATAATAGAATATAATTTAGAGTACTTTGCCTTTGTGTCTTCATTTTTGCTTTTATATATTAATTTCTTTTTGCATAATTAAAATGATGGGATATATATATATATATATATAGAGAGAGAGAGAGAGAGAGAGAGAGAGAGGAGAGAGAGAGAGAAGAGATTAAGAATTCTTATTAAAAACTAAATAAAGATTTCAACAACGTCTAAACCGTGTCATGAAAAATATTTCAAAGACGTCTCATCATCGTCATTAAGTTCTGTTTACACCATAATTAACCAAGCGTGATTGAACACCAAGGTAGACATGTCTTCCTCCCTGCCAAAGGGAGATGCTCTTCCGAAGGGACAACACCCTGCCGAAGCTCCGAACTGCCAAACCTAAAACACAGGAGACACATGTCATCATCACAGCAACTTGCACAAAGTCCCACATCGAAACTTTGTGCAAACCTCCTACTTTACTTTCCTTATAAATAGGGAACAGTAACCAAGAAAAAGGGTAACTTCTCTCTCCACTATTACTATTACTTTGCGATAGTCACTACCCCTAGCTGACTCAGGCATCGGAGAGCCTTCGGCCGGCACCACACCGGTGTCCGAAGCTTAACGACTGCTTCTTCTATTTTTGTCTTCTGCAGGCTAGCCTTTTACTGAAGGCCCAGGCCCTTCTCTTGCTAAAGACAAACCCCTATCTCTAAGTTGACCTTCTCCGAAAAAGAGCATCAACAGTTTGGCGCCGTCTGTGGGAATCTAACACTTAAAACCCATTTTTCTCTACCAGCCCAGCTGGCTCCTTCACCTATCCGGCCCCGTCGCCTCTTCTTCACTCCACACTCAGCCATGCCTACTGAGGGTAGCCGAGATGCCCAGCACAGTACCCCCCAGGAGGGTACCTCCCAGAGGGGACCGTCGGCGGAGGTCAATCTCCAAGCCGAGGTGGAGCTCCTCCGCGCCAGTGTCGTCAAGACTACCGCATCCTGAAGCGTAACTGGGAAAGGAACCAAGCCCAGGGCTCCGAACGCAGCCTTACCCCGGAACCTGAACGCACACAGCCAAAACCAGCCGAGCATTCCCACCATAGTCCCCCAATCTAGCCTAGGCCCAGCAAGGGTAAGGAACCCCTCCATCCGGAGGCGACCAAGTCACGGCTTCTCCGTATCTCCCCACCGAGGAACCGGCCTCATGAACCAACGAAGGTCTACAGGGATTGCAGGGATCGTATCCTAGACCGTCAGACGGGACCCCTTCTTATCCCCGTTAATCTCCAAGACCCAAAGGTGACACACCTGGGCCCCCCGCCAAAACCAACCCATGTGCCTGCGGGAGAGGGTATGGGGGACTCGGATGACTGGGGGCAGGATTACTCAGCGGAGCATGGTTACTCGGATGACTGGGGGCATGATCACACCGAGGAGTTCGGTGGACCTGATCCTTATCTAGCTCCTGGCCACACACACACCAGACCTCGATCACCCGAGACTCTCCCTCATGCCGACCCGGCAATGAGACTTCTCTTCGAGAAGGTCCGGCGCCTGGAGAATGAGCAGCAGCGCAACCACCAACCCCTCTGGGCAAAGCCGCGACCTGGTCCCTTTACCGAGCGCATCCTTAATTACCACAAAGAGAAGGAAATCCAGCCCCTCCGCATCGCCTTCTACACTGGCACAGAGGATCCCCCTCACCCATATACATTCTTTCCAGTCTGCCATGGGATGCAAAGGCTTAACGGACGAGGGCATGTGCCTCCTCTTCCCATCTACCCTCAGCGGGGCGGCCCTGAATTGGTTCTACAGGCTGAGCCCCCCGCACCATCAATACGTTTGACAGTCTGAAGCAGGCCTTCCTGGACCATTTCATGATCCAGACTGATCGCCTCTACTCTGCGGACGACCTGTACATGCTTAGGCAGGGTGAGGATGAGCCCCTTCGGGAGTATGCAGCCAGGTTCAGCCACGAGTACTCCCGCTGCCCAGAGACTGATGATCGTGCCGCCTTCGGTGCTTTCAAGAGTGGCCTCCGAGAGTCTAACTTTCGGTACCTTGTGCACAGCAACCCTTGGAACACGTATGCTGAATTAATGAAGCAGGCAGCGGTACACGCCAAGGCTGAGTATTTCAACACCAAGCGTGGCCCGGCCACCCAAGCACATCATCCTTTCGCTGATCCCCAACCTGCTTCAGCACCCACCTTAGCCCCGCCTCAACATTCTACTCCCGCCCCAAGTACCCAGGGTACCCAGCACCCCAAACGGAAGGATAACTACCAGCACACCTTCAACAATAACAAACGGGGCAGACATAACCACCACCACCAGTCCAGCGGGGTCAACCCGCACGGGGCAGGCAATCGAGCTCCACTTCCCTTCTCACCCAAGCCCAGGTTCGAGGTTTTCACCACCCTGAACACCACCTACGAAAATGTCCTGGTGCACGAGGCACCTATAATACCCAAGCCTCCCCCCCGGAGACCAGGCAGCAAGCCCATGCCCAACACGGGTGTCTTTTGTCGCTTTCATCAGTTCGGTGGACACGACACCGAATCTTGTGTTGCCTTGCGCAACATCATCGAAGGACTTATTCACGATGGGAAACTGGATAAGTATGTGAACAATCTCCCACCCCCACCTAACCCTCACCAACGTCAGATCAACATGATCTCAACTATCAGTGGTGGTCCCACCCTGGCTGGAACCTCCAACAACTCCATCAAACATTATGTCCGCTCCACCTATGCGCATCAGGTCTTCAGCGCTGAGCAGGGACGCTTGCCGAAGACCCACAAATCAGGCTGGGCTCCCATTACCTTCTGTGAGGAGGAAGAGCGCGGTGTTATCCTCCCCCACGATGACCCAATCATTATCCGCGCCGACATTTCTAACTTTGATGTGGGGTGTATCCTGGTGGACACTGGCAGTTCGGTCAGTGTGATGTTTGCTGAGGCCTTCAACGAGCTCCAGGTCCCATCTCACCTACTCGACCGAAGCATCACACCCCTAGTGAGCTTCTCTGGTGAGGTGGTCCAACCCATTGGAAGCATTCATCTCCCCATCTCTATTGGATCGGCACCCCAGCGGAGGACAATCACCACTCCCTTCCTCATTATCGACTGCCCCACAGCCTACAATGTCATCCTCGGCCGCCCCGCCATGGCCCAAATGAAGGTCTTCATCTTCACCCATATGCTGCTGCTCAAGTTTCCTACACCTCATGGCACAGGCACGGTGCGCGGAGACCAACTTGGCGCCCGAAGCTGCTACGCTTTGGCAGAAGGTCCACCAACCGCCAACATCGGGGCGAGGCCCTCGCAGTAACCCAGGCTCCAACACCGGTTCAATCTGTTGCCCCACAGGCCGAACCTGTGGAAGATCTTGAGCTGGTTACTCTTGATGAAAACATCCCGGACCGACAGGTCAGGATCGGCACCTCTCTCTCACAGGAGCTTCGTTATGATCTTGTCGCCTTCCTTCGCCTTAATTCTGAGGTCTTCGCCTGGTCGTACAATGACATGCCTGGCATATCACCTGAGATCATATCCCACCGGCTCAGCATTAACCCTGCCGTTCGACCCGTTCGGCAGAAGTGTCGTGCTTATGACCCAGAGCGATACGAGGCCATGAGGGCAGAGGTGGACAAGCTAACTAGCATTGGATTTATCAAAGAGGTGGACTATCCCACCTGGCTGGCCAATGTGGTGATGGTCCGAAAGGGCACGAAGGGCTGGCGCATGTGTGTAGACTACACCAACCTCAATCGGGCCTGCCCGAAGGATAGCTTCCCCCTACCCCGCATCGACCAGTTAGTTGATGCCACAGCTGGCCACGCCTTTCTCAGCTTCATGGATGCTTACTCGGGGTACAACCAGATTTTCATGCATCCTGAGGACCAAGCACATACCTCCTTCATCACGGATCGTGGCCTTTACTGCTATAAGGTCATGCCCTTCGGCCTCAAGAATGCCGGGGCCACATATCAGCGTCTGGTGAACGGCATCTTCGCTCCCCTGATTGGCAACACCATGGAGGTTTATGTCGATGACATGCTCGTCAAGAGTCGCACTACTGACCAGCACATCCCCAACCTCTCAGCCATGTTCACCATTCTGAAGCAGTATAAGATGAGGCTCAACCCCACCAAGTGTGCATTTGGGGTGGCTTCAGGCAAATTCCTTGGCTTCATGATCAGCCAGAGGGGTATTGAGGCCAATCCAGAAAAGATCAAGGCCATATTAGACATGGCAATACCCAAGACGATCAAAGACATCCAGAGCCTTACCGGGCGAGTCGCAGCCCTGACCAGATTCATCTCCAAAGCCACTGATCGCTGCGCCCCTTTCTTCAGGGCACTTAAGGGTAGCAAGCGGAGTATTACCTGGACCGCTGAGTGCGACAAAACTTTCAACGAGCTGAAGGCGTATATGGGCCGGGCCCCCTTATTGTCAACACCTGAGCCTGGAGACACCCTCATGATCTATCTCTCCGTCTCGGCTACAGCGGTCAGTTCTGTGCTCATCCAGACTAAGAACAGTGCTGAGCACCCAGTGCATTACGTCAGCAAAGCGTTACAGGACGCCGAGGTTCGATACCCAGACATCGAGAAATTGGCATTCGCCCTGGTGGTTTCGGCTCGGTGCCTCAGGCCGTACTTTCAGGCTCATACCGTTCATGTCTTAACCAATCAACCACTTCGGCAAGTGTTGCAGAAGCCGGAGACTTCTGGGAGGCTAGTCAAGTGGGCCATTGAGCTTGGCGAATTTGATATCCACTACAAACCCCGCCCAGCCACGAAGGGCCAGGCCGTGGCTAACTTTATATCTGAATTCACTGAACCCCATGCCGTGGCCAATCCACAGATCACGATGGAGCCCACTCCCACCCCGAGCCAGGTCCACGTCGCCAGCAACGGCACCCTAGACATAACACAACCCTTATGGACTTTGTATGTGGATGGCTCTTCCAACGCCCAGGGATGCGGAGCTGGCCTTGTTCTCATCTCCCTAGACACTGGCCTACACTTCACAGAACCTGCACATGGACAAAGGCGTTAGTTCTCACAAGCTTCAGACAACAATACATATTCATACCAACACACTCAAACACAAAGACAAGAGTGACGACCAAAGACCTATAGATTGAAAATGGGTAGGCACATGTTTGCTGACAGTCGTCCCAGGCCAGCACTCCCAATCACCAAAGGCAAAGAACCATCGATTTCGCCACGTCTTCTGCGACGATGGTGGTTGCCCTATAAAATATCCTCTCTCCTTCGCCTTTCGGCAGTTGACCTGCACCCAGCCAAAGTTGCCCTGTTGCCTGGACACTGAGTACAGATGCATGAACTGCTCAAAGGTGGGCTCCCCTCGTTTCGCCAACCACCATGCTATGTACACCCCGTGCAGTATACACCAGAAGTTGGGATTATACTGCCCAGGGGCATAGCCCAATCTGGAAAGCATCATTTGCACCCAAGGATGCAATGGTAACCTCAACCCATGTTTGTACATAGCTGAGAACACCATAACGCAACCCTCGGGAGGGTATCTAGCCGCTTCAGTAGGTATGGGCAACCTCAGCCCCACACAATCAGGTATCGCATAGTCTGCCTTCAGTGACTCTAGATCATACAAACTCATCATATTTTTCTTCGGTAGTGGAACCCCTATTGGGATACCCACATCAGCGGATGCTACTACCACCGTACCACACCCCGACGGCCCAGCCCGCCCACTTCCACTAGCCTCTGGTGCCTGGGTTATCCCCAACACCCGGTTTGCACAAGCTTCTAGGGCCACATAGTTCCTTTGCATCTCCCTATAAGCTTCCCCCCCCAGAACTCCTTGACTGCTCCTCTCCCCCAACCCTATTTCCCTCCACTATCAGCCCTTCCACCACACGTTCAAACTCAGTACTTTCCCCATCAGTACCCAAGTCTTCATTAGGGCTACCACTCTCAAACTCTTCCCCACTGAAGGCATGGGGACTTGGGGAGCTTTGACTTTCTCTTTCAGAATTATCAGACATCTACAAACACAAAAAGGGAAACTAAGGGGCATGCGAAGATTGAAAACAAGAGCCTAGGCATGTTCTTAATATGTTCATGGACGTTCATCTACGTTCATATCACATTCATGCAAAACTCAAACAAAAGAGGCATTTCAATCCAGAAGGGGAGAATGAGCACAAGGCATACCTTGTTATCTCCACCGTCCACGGTTGCCGGAAATCGCCTGGCTCACGAAGGTACCCTCTCAAGCCTCGCCGGAAATCGCTCCGCCGTCCTTGAAATCTCTCAGAAATCGCCCTTGCTCGTCTACTAAAATCTTTCGAAAAATCAAAGTGCTCACTCCTTCAGCCCTCCACAATCTTTTAAAGGCATACGAAGGACCCCTCGATTCTCGCTCCAAGCAATAACTCATCATACCGTTGGGACGCCTCGATTTCCACGAACAGACGTTTCTATACCACTGCCACATGGCACTCATGACGTCACACCTTCCCTTCGGAAGGCTCCCTTCCGAAGCTTGGAAGACCCTCTGATGACGTCACACCTTCCCTTCGGAAGTCTCCCTTTCGAAGCTTGGAAGGATGACGTCACACCTTCCCTTCGGAAGGCTCCCTTCCGAAGCTTGGAAGGCCCTCTCGCGACGTCACACCTTCCCTTCGGAAGGCTCCCTTCCGAAGCTTGGAAGGATGACGTCACACCTTCCCTTCGGAAGGCTCCCTTCCGAAGCTTGGAAGGACACGCGATGACGTCACACCTTCCCTTCGGAAGGCTCCCTTCCGAAGCTGGGAAGGAGACCTCGTGCTGATGTCACACCTTCCCTTCGGAAGGCATGATGACGTCACACCTTCCCTTCGGAAGGCTCCCTTCCGAAGCTTGGAAGGCGACCTCGTGCTGACGTCACACCTTCCCTTCGGAAGGCATGATGACGTCACACCTTCCCTTCGGAAGGCTCCCTTCTAAAGCTTGGAAGGAGACCTCGCGGTGACGTCACACCTTCCCTTCGGAAGGCATGATGACGTCACACCTTCCCTTCGGAAGGCTCCCTTCCGAAGCTTGGAAGGAGACCTCGTGGTGACGTCACACCTTCCCTTCGGAAGGTACCCGTGATGCATACCTTACCTTCGAAAGGCTATCTTCGGAAGGCCACCCTAAAAAAGGTGCCTTCTAGTTTTCAAACTTGGGGGACTAGGGGACTACCTTCGGCACCCGCCACGCTGACACGCTTGGTTGAATTACACAACCTCTTCACAAGTTCCCAAACCAGAAGCCACTTCTTGATTGACAACTTGGGGGACTACTGTTTACACCATAATTAACCAAGCGTGATTGAACACCAAGGTAGACATGTCTTCCTCCCTGCCAAAGGGAGATGCTCTTCCGAAGGGACAACCACCTGCCGAAGCTCCAAACTGCCAAACCTAAAACACAGGAGACACGTGTCATCATCACAGCAACTTGCACAAAGTCCCACATCGGAACTTTGTGCAAACCTCCTACTTTTACTTCCTTATAAATAGGGAACAGTAACCAAGAAAAAGGGTAACTTCTCTTCCACTATTACTGTTACTTTGCGATAGTCACTACCCCTAGCTGACTCAGGCATCGGAGAGCCTTCGGCCGGCACCACACCGGTGTCCGAAGCTTAACGACTGCTTCTTCTATTTTTGTCTTCTGCAGGCTAGCCTTTTACTGAAGGCCCAGGCCCTTCTCTTGCTAAAGACAAACCCCTATCTCTAAGTTGACCCTCTCCGAAAAAGAGCATCAACAAGTTCAATAATGCCATGTCCGCGTCATTGAAACCCCATTCCATGACGAATATAAGATGTCATGTTTTGAAAAAGTTTCCAAGACATGCTATCCGCCTTCTTGAAACCCGATTCATGATGTGGAAAAGATGTCGTGTTTTGAAAAAGTTTCCACGACATGCTATTTGCATCATTTAAATCACATTCTATGACATGAAACAGACATCATGTTTTGAAAAAGTTACCACGACATGCTATCCGCGTCATTGAAACCTCATTCCATGACGCGGAATAGACGTCGCGTTTGGAAAAAAATTTCATGACCCCCTCTTTCGACAATGTGGGTTACAACGCCTGATCCACGTCATAAAATGCCTTCCAAGACGCAAATCAAACGTCATAGAAGGGTTTTTGTGTTGTAGTGTAGACTACCAAAAACGATAAATGAAACCAACATGAAAGAACACTAAAACAAATATGGAGAAGTAAAAGGATTGTGTGATTACTCCTAACTGAAGAGGGTTTTGGCTTTGTTACCTTCACTGACCCATTCGTGATTAAGAAAGCATTGGAAGTACAACACTACATCTTCGGTACAAAGGTCGGTTTCAATTTGCATCTTTTTTTTTTGGGAGGTATTTAATTTATACACCATACGTGTTGTTTTGAATTTTTTTTGAGTCATTAACACTACAAAAAAAAATTACATCAAACTTATTACAAAATTTTCATTAATTTTGACTCGAAATAGGGGATGCATTGAATGGAAGGTCTTACGCGTCTTTGTTTGTTGCTACTATTGAAGAGTTTTATTACAATTGTTTTTTTTTAAATAATCAACTAGTTTTCTTAAACTTATATTAATTTTTGTGTTCATTTAAAATTCTTGGTTTGACTTATTTGTAATTTGGGTAGGGTATTCCAAATTATAATTATGAGGTAGATGTGAAATCTGCTTTGCTAAAGGGAAAGACCCCCAAAACCAAGAGGACGAACATGTTGAAGCTGAAGCATAGACCAAGAAAATTTGTGGGAGGTTTACCACATAATCTGACACAAGAAGAATTCAAGAGATAATTGGAGAAGTTGGGCACAATCTCATATAGGGTTATAATATATCAAGGAAAGCCTCAAGTCTAGAGGGTTCAGTTTAATCTCATTTAATTTAGAAGAGGATGTGGATGAAGTCACCAAGGAAACCTATCATGAACTAAATTATAAATTTGTGGATTTGAACAAGGCTTGGCCTAAGCACAGGATAAACAACTTGATCCACATGTTTGACTGCAACAAAGTAGGGTTTGATTTTTTTTGGGGGGGGGGGGGTTACAATTTAATTATAGCAATTTTTTGCTTTATGGTGCTTATTGCTTAAGTTATTTACTTCCTTATGGGTTTGAGCATAAGAAAGAGTGTTTGTGTTATGGTCAAAGCATAGCTAGTTATAACATTTGGCTGCTGAACTGGAAAAGATATAAAAAATTATGTATGCCCATATGAGGATCTAATATATTGTTAATACGTAACATGGATTAATAGATGTCAAAGGATCCAATATGTTGTATTTTCAAACATATTCAGATTGATTGATGACCTCAAAATATCATGGTACTTTGATTATTCATAAAACATAATAAAGTAATGGAGAAGTATAATATGTGATTGTTCAGATTCTTAACAATATTTTTAACTTTACTTATTTATGCATAAATTGACCAACTTTATCTCTAATTGTTTCAGTCAGAAGGTTAATCTTGATAACATTGACGTTGGACGAGATTTCTTCTACAAGTTTATCAAGCTGGATAGTTCATTGAACTTTGAGGTTTTGCTACGAAAACCGTTGTGGCTTAAACATGAGTTGTTTATTTTCGGAACAAATGGTTTTTATAATATTATGTTGTGCACATTATGTACTGGTTCTATCCCTTTTTGCAGCACATTGACATGGGTCTATACTTATTTCAAAAAAGGCAAGACGAAAACTCCATTGCTTTTAGAAAGACATGGAAAATGATTGACGTATTCTTCTAGGTATGTTGCTTAGGGTTTTTACAATTGAAGTCATATGGAATATGTTATGTGGTTCTATTGTAATGAATAGTTTTGGACATTATGCGTGTTGATAGGTATAACATTCCACCTAAGTCAAACATGACCAATAAAAATCTCAAACAACTTGAGGCTTATAACCATGGAGAGCTTCTAGAGCGATATGCTATTCCATAGGCTGTTGTTCGACATGTTTATGCCCCCTATGTTTGAATCACAAACATTGGGTCATTGATGTACTTGATCTTTTGGATTGCGAAATAATGGTCTACAATTCGAACATTAACTTGTATAACATGCTAAACCTTAACAAGTGACTTGTCTCATTGACTACTACGTTGCCACGTGTGCTGGTTAATTAGGGATTTTATTCCTCAAATGCACCTGAAATTTTAAATGGGATGACCAATGCTCAATTATTGAAACCTTGGAAACTGAGTTGATCCAATAATACTCTCTAACAAGCTACAAATGATGGGTATGTAGCATTTTGATGTTTACTTTCACATATCCTCTATAATACCATGTCTAATGGAATTTCATTTCTTCTGTCAAGCAAATCCAATTGTGGTGTGTTCTAATTGAAGTACATTTCCTGTCAAACATAATGTAATTTTATATATTGAGGCTTGCTTATGAGTTCTTGCCACATAAATAATCATAGTTAATTAGGAAGTGAGGTAGACTCCGATGATCCATGTGAAAACATTGATGCAATAAAGGAGGAGTTGGACTGCTACTCTAAGGAAAGCACTTGGTGGTAGCACAGGTGTGATATACATGGAGATATTATGGGACATGCAAACAAAAAGTTGAATAAAGCATATTATAAGGAAATGAAGCAAAGACTCAAGGCTGAAGTTAGAATTGCAAAGTTATAAGCACTATGAGTGACCTATGATGAGAACAAGCATGAGGTTTGAAAATACACCAATATCATATCTCACTTCTTCAACTTAAATGAGGCTTTAGTATTGCACTTCAAGTGATAAAGGCAAATACCATGTGCTGCCCAAGGAAAAAATATTTTCATCACATTTTTTGTGCTAAGATTTCGATCAGATATGACAATAAGATTGTTAGAAATGCGTCCTAAAGCCAAATATGTGATGTTTCTTTCTAGATATTTCACCATCAATAATGGGCAATATCATTGTTTTCAACCATGATATTTGGTTTATCATCATAACAATAAAGCAACAAGTCATAAGAATATGAAATAATATGATAGCTCTGCAATGAAATTGGATATAAGGAGAGTTATCATACTTCCACATCATTTCCTAAATGCTCCCGGTCATAGGATTATCAATTTAGCATTGATCATCTGCAAGGATTGGTGTGCGCTATATCTGCTCGATTGGGAGAATGACTAGTCTCAACTCATTACATGTAGAGACACTAAGATAAGTGTGTAGGTGGTTATAGTGACAAGCAGGGGCAGATCCACAGAGGCGCAAGGGTGGTCAATTGACCCATGCAACCTCTGAAATCCTCCATTAGAGCAGCCGAAGTTGACCCTCGCAAAGTGTTCGACGAAGTGCCCCAAAAGGGCAAACCTGTGTCTGTGCGCAGATGGAGGAGAAGAAGCGCAGCGTGTAGTGCGCCTTTTTTTTTTGTTCGCTTGACGTCAGAACAATGTCATTCCACTAAAGCTTTTTATTTTATTTTATATTTATTTTAAAACCTATACCAAAACGTGCCCGCCTTCTTTGTTTATTTTTTGTTCGCTCGACATCAAAGCGATGTCGTTCCACTAAAGGCTTTTTTTATTTTTATTTTTTATTATTTTAAAACTTGGCCAAAACGACGTCGTTTTGGCACAAGTTTCGTTTTGGCACAAGTTTTAAAATAAAATAAAAAAAAAGCTTAGCAACCTGCTCTGTTCTGTTTTGCCCAATAATTCCCCCCTCCCCAAATGTTAAAACTCATTTATTCTCACCTCTAAACCTCTCAACCCTAAATCCCCAACTAAACCTTCACTTCCTTCCCCCACAAATCCAGCGGCGACGCCAGCAAAGTGGTGGCGGCGACAGCAAAGTGGGGCAGCAGCAAATTACATAGGTGATTTCAATTTTCAAAGGTGGATTTGTCCCTCAAATTTGAAAGTATGTTATTCTAATTTCTTTATGCTTTAATTAATTAGTAAAGATTGTTATATGTTTGTGTTTTTCTTGATTGGTTGTTATTGTTTGTTGTTGAGATTTTATTTTGGTTTGTTAGTTTGAATAAATTAAGGTTATTCTTTTATTTTAGTTTGAATAAATTAGGAATTTTGATTTTAGTTGGTTAGTTTGAATAAATTAGGGTCTTATTTTTATGTTATATTATATCTTGGCTAGTTTAAATAAATTAGGGGTTTTGGTTTTGGTTAGTTAGTTTGAATAAATTAGGGTTTTACCTTGATGTTAGATTATATCTCATGGTTAGTTTGAATAAATTAGGGGTTTTGGTTTTGGTTAGTTAGTTTGAATAAATTAGTGTTTATGTTAAATTATATTTTGGTAAATTTGATTAGTTGTTGAGATTTTATTTTGGTTAGTTAGCATAAGTTAGTAATTAATTTTTTTTAATTTATAATGTTGATGCTTGAATGATTATTTCTACCAATTCAATTATAGAACGCTACTTTAAGAGAAGGTTCGCATCAACTACTTCTAGTTCGGATAATGTGGGTAGTTCGAGTTCAAGAGATGTGGGTATTTCAAGAGATGTGGATAGTTCAAAAGAAAGTGAGTTGCAAGATATCTTAGCTAATCTTATTGCAGACCCTGGACTTCAACCTCAAATGTTGGATTATGATCCTAACATTCAAGACGAAGTTCGAAGAGCATATCTACAAAAGGGGAATTATTCGGAGCTCTTATAATTTCTTCCTTTTCGTGGGCATGATGAGAGTGACACTTCAAGCAACAAGGGGAATTATTTGGAGCTCTTACAATTTCTTATTGATCATGATGAGAAAGTGAAAGCCGTTGTATTAGAAAATGCTCCCGGGAATCTCAAGTTAATAGCTCCAACAATTCAAAAAGATCTTGTGAATGCTTGTGCCACTGAAACTATTAAGAAAACCATTAAGGATATGGATGGTGCATTCCTCTCTTTATTAGTTGATGAATCACGTGATGTGTCAGTAAAAGAACAAATGGCAGTGGTGTTTCGTTATGTGGACAAAAATGGGGATGTAATTGAGAGGTTTGTGGGCATTCAACATGTTAGCGACACTACATCAAACTCACTCAAGGAGGCTATTGACACATTGTTTTCAAGAGAGGAATTGAGCATTTCCATGCTAAGAGGACAAGGATATGATAGAGCTAGTAATATGAAGGGTGAGTTCAATTGTCTTAAAACACAGATTTTGAGAGAAAATCCTTGTGCCCACTATATTCATTGTTTTGCACATCAATTTCAATTAGCTCTTGTGGCCGTGGCAAAGGGAAATGCTGATATTTTCACATCTTGCAATAGCTTGGTTAATATTGTTGGAGCATTGTGTAAGTGTCATGACATGCTTAGAGATCAACTCCAAAAGGATATTACGGATGCTCTTGAAAAAGATACTTTTCCAACAGGGCGAGGTTTAAATCAAGAAACTTGTCTCAAGCGTCCCGGTGATACACGTTGGAACTGACATTATGGTACATTACTTTGTATAATCTCTATGTTTAAATCTGTGGTGAAAGTGCTTAAATTGATTATTGAGGATGGCTCGACTAATAATCTAGGTGAAGCAAATAGGTCATTGAGAGAAATACAATCTTTTAAGTTTGTATTTCACTTATTTTTCATGAGATCTATATTGGGAGCCACAAATGACTTGTCACAAGCATTACAAAGGAAAGATCAAGACATTGGGAATGCAATGACTTTAGTCAAAGTTTGCAAGGACCAACTACAACACATGAGAGAGAATGCATTTGAAGCCTTGCTTGATCAAGTATCTTCCTTTTGTGTCAAACATGATATCTTGGTTCCAAACATGGATGATGCATATGTAGCTCAATGGAGATCACATCGAAGAGCTCCTAGAATAACACACCTCCATCATTCGTGTGGACATCTTTATTCAAATCATTGAGTGGCAACTTGCAGAATTAAATCATCGCTTCACTGAGGTAAATACTGAGTTACTTCTTTGTTTGACATGTTTGAGTCCGGGTGATTCATTCATAGCTTTTGACAAACAAAAGCTACTTCGTTTTGCTGAATTTTATCCTCAAGATTTTAATCCTTGAGATCTCTTGGCACTTGAAGATCAACTTGAGATTTATATTAATCATATGCGTACGATGACCGATTTTTCTCAATTGAAAGGGATTGGTAGCCTTGCAAGAAAAATGGTGGAGAAAAGGTTGCATAGAACATATAATTATGTTTATTTGCCTCTCACATTAGCCTTAACTTTACCGGTTTCAACTGCTTCTGTGGAAAGAGCATTTTCTACTATGAATATTGTGAAAGGTCCACTTCGCAACAGAATGGGAGATCAATGGTTGAGTGCTAGCTTCCTTGTTTATATTGAGAAAGATGTGTTTGCTTGTATTGATAATGAAACTATAATGTCACGTTTTCAGAATATGAAAACTCGTTGTGGACAATTGTAATGTGATTTTTCTATTAATGATGGATTAAAATATTATCGTTTCATTTCTATGGGTATATTTTGTATAATTTTTTTTTAACCTTTAGAGGTTGACTCCTGGAAGGAAATTTCCTGAATCCGCCACTGGTGCCAAGTACACTAAACGCGATCAAAACCACAAGTTCTGGGATGGAAGTCTTATTCACATGTCAAACTAGAACTCACAATTTGCAATAGTGAAAACTAGTCCTCAGACCTAAGACATCATAGTTGTCTTGTGTACGAGTCGTTTGTCATTGATATCACTATACGGCCATATTGAGAGGTATGACTTGAGGGTGATTTTCAAGATTTTCGACAAGCTCACAGAGGCAAGTGAATGTACAACAAGGGATCTCTGCTCTCAATAAGGAGAGAGAATGATCCAAATATATGATTGGGAAATCTTTGCAAAGTATTAAATATGACTAGAAAAGAAGTTTCTAAACATAATCAATGTATTCATATAAGTGGGGAATTCATATTAAGGTTTTGACAAAAGTATTCATTTTCTCATAATATGAATTAGGAGCACTGTAATAGAGAATGACTCAATAGCACGACAATTAAACTTGAATAGATTCTTCACTTTTTTTTTATTAGGGGTCATTTGGTATGGAGGACTGTCATGAACTGGACTAAATCTTGGAACTGTTTTGGATTAGCTCGGATTGGCCTAAGCTGGATTAAGTACTAACCGACGTTTGATGTTGTGTCGGACTAAGAAGCTGAGTTGTAAAAATAGTGAAGACTTATCTTTGGTGGTTTGTCGAATTAAAAAATAATAATTTTAGTATTTAAATTTAATAATTTTTAGATAATTAAATGTAAATTTTTTTTTGTTATTATAATTATCAAATTAGCATATACATTTCTTTTCCCCCAAACCAAAGGTTTTTTGTTTGTTGTTAAAATTATAAATTCCACACAATTATGTATAATTGTGTCTTTTTTGTATGCAAAACACAAAAAATTCAATTAATGTATCAATAACAACCACCTATATCAACTCGTGCTGCAAGTATCATGTTTGATATATGCAAAACTCATAATTTACATGTAGATGTCAAAGTTAGAATTTCTTCATATATTCAAAAGTTAGAAATTCCTCATATGTGCAAAAGTCATCTACATGAGTTGGAAATTAATAATTCAGGTCACTGCATATAATTACACCATTAATACACACAAATAAACATCCATAATTCCAAAATGAAACTAATAAGCCTCACAACCATGAACCATTTGGCTTTAATGCAATAGCATTTGTGGTGTTTCCAAAATGAAGCCAATCTCATCAAGCATCATTTGTGGTGTTTCCAAAAAGTGAGATGCATCAAATTTAGCTAAGCCATGTCCTCAAGCATTGTCAATAAGCAACTGCTCAACAAACACTTTCTTGATATCATCATCCAAAGACATGAACATAGATATATTTTGTGGCTTCTTCAAAATGAGTTTTAGTGCTGCAATTTGATCTAAAGGAGAAGATCCCATTTTCTTGAGTTCTTTGGCAATATCAAATCGATTTTCATTACCTTTTATCATAGCCTCAGTCACCATTTGTATCCTTTTTCCAGATGCTTCAAATAGTTTCTCCAATACTGTCACAATCTTCTCTTCATCACTTGAGCCTGCATCTCTTTTCCTCTTACTTTGATTGTTCATGGATTGGCTGCCTTCTTTGTTTAAAGACATAGGAGATCCATCTTCCTCGACACCATTATCACTAGTATTAACTTCATTATTGCTTTGCTTTGTCATTATGTCAACGAGGACTTCAACTCCTTTCCATAAGCACAGTCCTTTCCAAAGATATTAAAAAGTCTATTAAACAAAAGAAATGCTTTGCTCCTCTATTCAGCTGCTTCCTTGTGGTGCTATGATAAAACAAGATACCACTTTGCTTATTTTTGACATGTAACAAAAATAACAAAAGAAAGTTTAAAATCTATAATGAGCACATAATTCATACAAGTTTTATCCTTAAATTTATATTTGTTAGTATTTTCTTTTGTTTTATTTAAATCTATTATAGTATTTGTATTGGTTATTTCCAATCTTTGTTTTTGTAATTAATGAGTGGTTGTTTGTAGATATTAAGTGTCTTCCATCAATAGCAATTGTGGAGGAATAAACAATGTGTTGCAAGAAGAAGTAAATGATAAGAAGAAAATGTGTTCAGCCAAAGTCAAAGAAATATGCTAAAGACAAAGGAAGAGCATGGAGAGCAACCCGTGTGAAGCATTTTCAAGCCAAAACCAAAGAGGAAGAGTGTGTGCAGCAGCAAAAATAAATGGAATGAAGAAGAAATCAATTGCATTAATAAGCTCCAGGACATGCATGCAAGCTGTCGTATTGAAGAAATAAAGAGAAAATTAATAAACGAAGAAAGAGAAGTTCAAATTGACTACTTGCTACCATTGAATGAAAAGAAAAATGATGATGCTGGAGTTGTTTATCTAGCCATAAATAGAGGAAGCTTGCTGCAGTTTTATGAGGAGACGTGAGGGAGAGACACACAAAGTGAAGCCAAATAAGTCAAGGAAGTAGGCCAAAAATAAGGAAGATATTTGAAAATGATGGGCTACTTATGGTGAGCTACTTGATTATATTATAATTCAAGGCTCCCTTCTTTGGCTATAAATAAAAGCTTGGAGCAAAGAAGCAAAGAGGAGATACACGGGAAAGAAAAGGAAAGAAAGAAAGAAAGAGAGAAAGAGAGAGAAAGTGTAGAGAAAGAGAACAAGGATGGAAAGGAAAGAACCGAGAGCTAATAACTCTCTTAAAATTGTTCTTCACCTTTCTTAGTTCTCATTTATTTCATGTATTTTAGTTTCTTTGTTTAGTTTTAAATATTAATTATGTCTAGCTAAAATACTTAACTAAGGTTGGATGAAACACCATTATTAAATAAAGTTCTAGTTTTATTTTCAATTCTCAAATATTGTGGTGTTCAATGATATATAATTTTCACTTCACATAATTAATAGATTAATTTTCTTTTCACCACTTCTATCATGTATTTGTGGTAGTTAAGACTTTGGATTAATCTATTAATTCATCCTTGGTTTATATTTCTAGTTTACAAATTTCTTTGATCTTTTGTTATTCAAATAAACTTTTTCACATAGGATGCTTAAGAAACTTTGATCATTTGTAGTTAAATAATTTTGTTTACATATGATGCTAAGAATTTGTACTTATGAAGGGAAGGAAAATTTACTTATGATCTAAATTACAAGCTTAATTGACAAATCTTGAGAAGGTAGTAGATTGATTTCTAGATTGCTACTCCGTGGGAATTGAAAGATAAATAATTAGGATCTTATGAAATAATGGTGTGGATTCTAATACCTTAGTTATTTTTTCTCATAAATTTAATCTTAAGTTCAGTTTATTGTCATTTCCATATTTGTTTCATGCTTTATTTAACTTTCTTTATCAACAAACAAATCACCATTTGAATCAACTAGGTTGGCAATGAAATTAACTTGGGTTTAATTGGTTTTCTATCTTTTCACGCAATCCCTTGGGTACGACCTCGCTCTTACATGCTTATGCTATATTCGATTTGTGCGCTTGCGAGTTTATAAATTTTAAAAACACCTCTTATGGTGACAACAATCTACACTCATACAATCCCCTACACGAATATAAAACTATCTTAAACAAGTGGACATGATTTAAACTCATCAAACCCACTTGACATCTTTATGTAAGAAAAATAACAAAAATAAGTAATCATGTACCTGCAAATAAGTCTCCCATGCATCATTACTGTCAATCTCAACACACATTTTTATATCATTCCAAGCAAATCCACTCATGTTTATCATGCATAGACTATACGATATTACTTTTTACACTTCTTCAATTTTGATTCAATATGAGGACTTGCCTTTAGCTCTGAATCAGGACTTAAGAACATTCAAAGCCTTCTTTATTTGGACCATGGTGCCATATTTGAAACTACTAGTCTCACAGCGTTGGCTTGCTACCACAAAATCATCTAGCACGATTGAAAATGTATCTTCCACAAATTTGGACCATGACCGCCTAGTTCCTTTCTTCCCTTGTTCTAAGTTTTTATTGTTACCTTCATTTTCCATTCATAAGAATAATCAGAAAAAATAAAATAATACCACAAACTGGAATATGCAAACAAAGCATAACTTTGTTTCAAAGCAGGACTCTTCTCTAGTACATCACATAACCTTAAAAAAAAATTAGAAAAATGAAATATGCAAACAATGTACTTAATATTATACCACAATCAAATCTGAAAAAAGTTGAAAAAAATAAACAATGTAACAAATTGATAAATTGATAAATTCAAAAAAATAACACAATCAATATCCAAATTTCAAAGTGCTTAATATTAAAGCAAATACATCAATAAGTCTGAATTATCATGTCTCAAATACAAATTACAATCACATAAAAAACTAAACATCCTTAGTTTTCGAACATAAATAACAAGAGTTTGCTAGTTATTCTCATTTCCTTGCCACTCATTATACATTTGCAAGGCCATTCATCCGATGCTCTAATGGTGCCAACCATATCACATTCTTTCACATTTTCTGTCTCTTCAATTTCGTTGATTTCATGCTCTAGTGGATCCCTCCCTTTAATGATATTATGTAAAAGACAACAAGCCATAATTATTTGACAATATTGCATCTTTATTGGATAAAAAGATGGACTCTTTAGTATGCCCCACCTATCTTTTAGCAACCCAAAATAACGTTATATTATATTTCTTGCTTTTGCATGCTTCATATTACAATATTCTTGATGATTTGTAAGTGTATTTCCTTCTCTCCATTCCGATAGATGACACTGTGTTCTTTTCTATGGTGCAATAAATTCCTCACCATTTGTGTACCCACCATCTACAAGGTAATAATAACATAATAACCAAAAAGAAAAAAAATCAATTCATATTATTATGTGTTTATTATATAAACTTTTAAAATTATATATAAAGTGGATCCTAGCTAACGACCTTATCGGTAGGAACTCTTAATCCATTAGGCCCACTACAAGAAAAATACCCTACGACAACACGTTATTAACAACGTGCGTAAGTTACGCGTTATGGAATTATACTTTCCACAACGTGCGGAGAGTGCATGTTGTGTTATACCACTTTTAACAAGATGCATTTAATAATGCACTCTTGTGTGTTGTTGTAACTGGAATTCAACAACCGCAGCGCTTGTTGTTAAAACTATATCGGATAAATAAAAAAATTTGTTTAAAAACTAGCCCAATTTTTTTTGCTAGAGAAACTCCCTCACTCTTCTGCCAAAAATTTTAGTCTCCCACTCAAACACTGTACCTTCTCCTATCTTTTTTTAGTCAATAGTCTCTTTTCTCTTCATCGTCTAAACTCTCATATATTATCTCGATCTTCTCTGACGCAGCGTGACAATTGATCGGCTAAAACCTTAGCTTGAAACATGTAACTCTAGAATCCACTAGGAAGATATGAGAGAACCTCAAGGTTAATTTGATAAATTGGAATAAAAAAACATAATCCTAACCACAGATAAAGTATGTTTAAATACTCCTAGAAACCCTAGGAATAACAAAAGAATTAAAATAGGAAAATAACAAAGTTTCCAAAAACTGTAAAAACTTTAAAACTAAATTTTGGGCTAGTAAACAATCTCGGATGCCCAAAATAACCCATATGTCATAGCATAGCAATGGGTTTTACTCGTGATGCTGTTTTCTTCAAAGCAACGAGTCATGGGCCCAATTCTGAGCTTGGAGCCCAAATATGCAATTTATCTTGCTTCCGCCATCTATTCTACATCAGTCCCTTCCACTTTTGAAGAACTTGACCCGAGTGGTCCTCAGGATAAATTGACTCATGATCATGGCACTCATGTAGATCCGCAACATTGAAAGTGCTAGATATACCCATGGAAGAAGGAAAGTCCATGACATAGGCATTGTTGTTTATTTTATGCAGAACTTTATAGGGCCATACTTCAGAGGATTCAGTTTGTTGTAGATACCAACTAGGAAACGTTCTCTCCTCAAGTAAACCATCACAATGTCTCTTTCTTGGAACAACTTCACAATGCAGCGCTTGTCAGCGGCAGCCTTAAATTTAGCATTGGTCCCCTCTAGCTTGTCCTTCATTTTTTCCCTCACAATCTAAACCTGTTCAGCCATATTTTCAACAGCTACACTAGTTTTCTTGGCTCTTGGAAGCCTGACCAGGTCAACCACGTGCCTAGGCACTGAAGTGTAAACAAACGCAAAGGGTGATTTTCCTGTGGAAGAATGAACAACATTGTTGTAAGCGAACCCTACCTGTGGCAGTGCAACATCCCATTGCTTCAGCCTGTCCTCGCAAATGCTCCTAACCATGTTTCCAAGGGTTCTGTTGGTAACCTCAGTCTGACCATATGTCTGCGGATGAGCGGTGCTACCTCGATTCACGCCCATACCAAACATCTTCCACAAAGTTATCCAAAAGTGGCTAAGTAATTTGGTATCACGGTCTGATGTAATAGATTTAGGAACATCATGCAACCGCACAACCTCCCTAAAAAATAATTTGGCTATGTTGGAAGAGTCCGCAGCCTTCTTGCAAGCAATAAAATGCCCCACCTTGGAACACTTGTCAACCACAACAAAAACATAATCGACTCCTTCTTGTGTACAAGGGAGTCCCATAACAAAATCTATATACAAGTCTTGCCAAATATCATCAGGAATAAGGAGAGGCATATAAAGACTAGTATTTTGGGACTACCCTTTAGATACCTGACAACTATAGCACTTACACACAAAGGTGCTAACATCTTACTTCAAGTGTGGCAAAAAATAATGCTCCTCCATACTGGCAATGGTTTTATCACGGCCCAGATGGCCTCTTAGTTCACCCACATGCAAATCTAAATCATTTTCTCTCTTAAAGAGGAAGTAGGAATGCACAATCAGTTGCCCTTAAATAAATACACATCATTAACATGATAATCTGTCATCAGCTCATTATGCACAAGCTTAGCCCAAATTTCCTGAAAATCCTCAACAGTCTCATACAGTTGCTTTAGAAATTCAAAACCCACAACTTCTTGAGCTAAAGTAACAAGAAAAGTTGCTCGACGACTCAGTGCATCTGCTACACGGTTAAGAACTCCAGATTTATGTTAAATAACAAATGGAAATTTTTGCAGAAAAGTAGTTCACCTGACATGCATCTTGTTCACACTTTTTTGGCTGTTGATAAATTTCAAGACCAGGTGGTTAGTGTAAAGCACAAACTCCTACTGCACTAGATAATGTTCCCACTACTTCAGGGCTCGTACCACTGCATAGAACTCCTGGTAATAAGTTCTCCATTTTTGGCATGCTTCACTCTGTTTTTCTGAGATAAATGCAATCGGTCTACTCTCTTGAGACAAAACAGCTTCTACACCCACTCCACTCGCATCACATTCGAACTCAAATATCTTCTTAAAGTTGGAAAGGGCAAGAACCGGTGTTGTGCTCAACTTTTCTTTAATAAGGGTAGAGCTGTGGTCTTGCTCTTCACCCCAATTAAATTTTCCACGCTTCAGGTAGTCAGTAATTGGTGCGGTCAGGGTATTGAAGTGGTGAACAAAGCGCCTGTAAAAGGTTGCATGGCCATAGAAATTCCTCACATCACTAGCTGTTTTCAGGGTAGGCCACTCCCAAATGGCTCGCACCTTATCTTCATCCATGTGGATATCATCTGCACTAACAACTTAACCTAGAAAAAGTAACTTGTTTGTGATGAAAGTACACTTCTTTATCCCATAAAAACCGTCGTTGTTTTTCTATAAAGGCAATGGTTTTATTGTAAAAACCGTCATCTAATTAGTTCCCATGTTGTTGGCATTGAATTCATGCCTAAAAATCGTTGTTGATTAACTATGGAGACGACGGTTGTATTGCCAGTTCGTCGTCTAATAACTTCCCAGGCTATTACATTTGAGTTTTTTTGTTTCCTATAATTCTATAACGATTTTAACTATAAAACCAACCATAATGCTTTATTTATGTATATACCATAATGCTTTATTTATGAATATATATACACTCAAAAATTGTTTCTTTCATAAAACTTGAAGATGCAATAGTTATTACATAGTTAACCAATCTTTATTCCTACCACATACATACTTCCTACCACATCTATAGCATTAATCTGGAACTTGAAATAATGAAGCCACATGTGATTGCTCACAAATTCTACCAATTCAATCTGAACTTCATCATTTTGTTCTTGGATTCTTGCACATTTTCCAAGCTGTTGTATTCCCCTCCCATTGAATTCCATGTATGCCAAAATTATGGGGAAAGTAAAATCTGCATTATGGGACAACACCAATTAAAAAAAATCAACTAATTCATTATAGCAATAAAGCAGATAATTTAAATCGATGATTCTTTATATAATTTTGATGAGATTTCATAACAGGGCAACTTTTATTAGTGTATCTTGGACCTAATGGGTCTAGTACCCACTCTCCAGTAAAAAAGTCACATTTTATAGCCACTACATTTCTAAAGGTAAATAAATTAGAGGCTAGCAAAGGTTCAAAGAAGCATTATGAAATGAAAGTATATATTTCCAAAATGACAAAGGCCTATATAGTGCAGAACTTAAGTACCAAAGATTTTCAAGGCTAGAATTTGATTTTTAAATTGAATTGATAATCTAACTAGACAACAAGTCCACGAGATTTGTCTTTGACATTTAATTTAGTGACCTTATTTTGTCTGAGTTTTTCATCAACAAATACATAAAATATAGGTAGCAAACTTCACAAGGACAAAAGAAATACTGAAAATAAGATCTAATAAAAGGTAAAAAGCAAACAAAATCTCACTTAAGATCAGTGTTTAGGAATGATGAGCAGCCCTCAATACATGTTTTTGCCACCTTACTCAAACTACATGACATCATATTATCATAAAATACAAAGTTAACTTCCGTCAATAAGTCTGATATGAGAGGAAAGTCATAACTAATTAATTAATTATGTGGCTTACAACAATGAATTGAGTACTTACATATGTTGGATTCCGAAGAAGTAGACAAGTACTTTCTTCCAATCACTACAGTAGTACACTTTCATAGTGGCTAACCAATGCCACAACCTTTAATTTTTGCAATTCAAGAAGGAGAGTTAGTTAAGAAAGTAAAACAAAGAGTCATAGCCAAGCTAATAAAAACAAAGCTAAGTCTAGCAGCCAAGGAGGCAAAAACAGTAAAACAAGTTAAAAACAACGCAGAACAATGAATAAAAACATGATTAACACTCTCCCATAATCCCTACACAAAACATAACTCACCATCTTGGAGACAAGCACACATTTGATCCTCTCTTCTGAAGTAAAGCACAGTAATTTAATGTTCTTCTTATTTCCTAGTATTGTCTTCTACTTTCTATTTTAATTTTCTGTAAATTCTATTGAATTCCCTACCACAACCCAGCCTCATAGATAACCTATATGTCCAACATTAAAAACCTAGTCCAACCAACGCTTGAAAAAGCTATCAATCTTCCCCCTTTAAATCTATAATTAAGGAAGCCCTTTTGCTATGAAATACCCTTTATAAAAGCCCTAAATCAGACCTCCCTACTGTCCTACATTAGTATGCCATCTTCCTAATATGTTATGTATATCACTACTAACCACATTCAAGGTAGGTAAGCATTTGACAAAAATGTATAAATAACAAAAGCTAACTAACCTTTCTTTCCATCTTGAATAGATTTATTGAGAGCTTCTCCATTTGACTTTGGTTACCATGAGGCTAAATCCCGTCATAAGTGCACAGACAAACATCCTGACACACCTCCCAAAAAGTATATGTGTGCCATGATGGGTCCCAAAGACTAACTATAATTATTTTCTATAATTTCAACATCCTTTCCATAACGAACCAGGGGAAGGTACAATAAGTGGTGCGTAACCACATAAATCCAATATCCCAAACTACATGTTTATAATTACAATAATAATACCTAATTCCATTTATGCATAACCAAAGTACAACATAAAATCATTAAAAACTCCATGACATCCAAATCTAGTGAATCATATTTCAAACCCAACCAAAACATAATTATGCATGCACCTGCCAATATGAAAAAAATATTCATTTAAAAACAAAGTCCACTCACAACTAGTCTGAAGCAAACTCAACCCTTAGAGGGTCCATTCGACTGAGTACAAGGAGCCTGAGTACCTATGGATAGAACACAAGGGTAATATTAACGTCTGAATTGAATCGAACTTAAATTGAAACTTAATTTCTCAAAATTCAAAGTGCATGCAAAAATCTAGGGCAACGTCCCTAATGTTGTGAGAAATGACAAAATTACATTGGGAAATGATCCCATGGCCCAAATCTACCAAACTCGGATATCGTATAATAGGCGCAATATCCATTCGACAGTCAAAGAGTAACCAAATGCAAATCTAAGCATACCGTCGTGCTCTGGACGAGGGAATAATTCTAGGTCGAAAACAAGTCGCCGACATAAGGCCCGCGTGTCACCACACGCCACAGGTGTCTTGTGAAAATTCTAGCGACAGAAAATCTCAACAATAACAGGCAAAACCTATATCAACACATTCAGATTAACAGGGGGAACAAGTTTAGTTCTTGCATTGTGGCTAAAAAGTGACCAGAAATTGATGAAAACACGGTTGAACCGTCAACCCTATATGGGTGCTTTGAAAAATTCCTAAAACTTCAAAAATCAATCGAAACCACCTACATAAACAGATAAAGCACGAAGAGTAGATGAAGTTTCATACCTCACTCAACGGAATGGCGGCCGGATTCGCCAGAAATTAGCAAAACACCACTGGAAAAACCTAAGTTCTCGTTGTCAAATCGAGCTCTCCAATTGCAAACTCGGTTAGATCTTGGGTGGTTTTTATGGAGGAGGAGAGGAGGATATTTCGTGAAAGTTGCAATGGCAACCGAGATCGGACAACGTTGGAATTTGAAAAGTGGTGGCGTTATTGTTCACCGTGAAGAAAGAAAGAGAGATAGTCGCGTCCAGAAGAAAAAAAATATGATCTGCTACTTAAATTGGGACTTCGCATATTTACGATTGTGCCACTGCACTTCCATAGATCATAACTTCTTCATTTAAAATCGGAATTGAGCCTACCACATGTCTACGAACTCGTATTCACAAGCTCTATGCAACGATGCTACTCCATTTCTCAAACTCTTTCCTGAACAAAAGTGACTAAAGTACCCTTACTCCCAAGGGCAAAAAAGTAATTTCCTCGTTAATTAAGTAATTATTTGGGGTGTGGTGTTACAAATAAAGTCCCAAACTTTGCACCAACCCCTTCAAAAGTTTCAGCTTCACGGCCATTAACCCAATAACCATTGCCTGAAAAATTAGATGAAACATTACAAATGGGTTTTTAGCAGGAAAATAATAACTGCATGAAATTGAATTCCATAAGGAAAAGAAAAACCCCAACTCTATGTAATTCAATTCCCAGATTAACAATGAAAAAAAAACAAATTAAGAACTCAATCTCTTAAAAACAAAAAGTATAACAATTAAAGGAGCTTACCATTAGGTAAGGGTTGTTACATGAGGGCGTTTGGGGGTGGAATTAGTGCCCAAAACCATGTCATTTCCACCACGGGCCAAAGACAGAGCAATCAAAGATGCCAATAACACAAGGTGGAGGAGACCTGATGCTATTGGACAACACTACTAGTCAACAAAACTCCTACAATTTGTAAGTCAACAAGTAACTTGAGGGAAATGGTGAGCTCAGAGAGCTAGTGACATCAATGGTGCGAGCTCGGTGACCTGGACATCGTGAGGGAGATGGTGCTTCAGATATGTGATAGAGACATGAGATTGGAAGTACTTACAGGGAGGTAGAGCTCAGTGACCTCCTATGGTGGCTAGCTAGGTGACGACCTTATCCAAGGGGCTCAAGTGGCCCCACGAACATTAAATCACAAATGGTGACCTCCTATGGCAGCGAGGTCGGTGATGACGACAGATACCAGTTATAGATTTGTTTAAGAGACTGAGAAGATGAGATGAGAGGGAATGTTGAAGAGAGTTGAAGGAGATTCAAAGAGTTGGAGGAGGGTTTCAAAAGGAGAGAGAGATGTTTTTCGAGTCGTGGGTAAAATCTAAATTTTTTAGAGCGTTTTCAAAAGATGATGCTTGTTAATTGACAACGTTGTGTTTTTAAAATCAACTCGCTTTTAGCAGTGTAATAGATCATATACCATGACGGTTTTGTAAAAATGTCATCTTTTAAAACATAATGACGGTTTAAAAGTGCACCGTCTTCTATTTAGTGTCGTGGTTAAAGGATATTGTAGTAGTGTTAGACTTGAGGCATCATGGTCGTCTTGTGTATGAGGTGTTTGTTTTTTAGAACACTATACAGTCATATCAAAAGGATATGACTTAAAGGTGTTCCTCAGGATAGTCAGCGTGTGCACAGAGGCATGTGAATGTACAACAAGGAATCTCTACTCTTAGTAGGAAGAGAGAATACTCTAAAGATATGATTCGTTGAATCTTTGGCCAAAGTATAGCATGAGAATTGAAACAAGAGTGTTTTCAATTGCATCCAAGTGAATTATATAACCTACAGATTTCATGTTAGGGATTTGACACAAGTTAACCATATCCCAACAACACAATATAGAGTATTGTGTTAGAGAAGGACCAAATTGCATTGTAATCACAAATTGACTAAGTTTAAATGAATTCTATTTAGCATGGGTAGCCATGACATACTGCTAGGTGTCACTCATGGTTTGTGGAAGCCCTGTAAGGATTAATTACATAACTTTCGCCAATAAGGAGAATTATATAGAGGGATACAGTTCAAAGTCAAAGGTCAAATTGTTGACCCAAGACTCGACACAGTCAACATAAGGTTGACTAGGACCAATGCTTGTTAGACAAGTTAGTGATTTAATTAGTTAAGTCATTAAATCAATTAAACTAATTAGACTAGCTTGATGAATTTATTGAAGTTATGAAACTTTAGTTTTGGTCCTATATAACTTAAATATTTATATAAATGGACCATATAGACTTATGCAAAGTGTGACACATTATGGGATTAATGTGGTAAACCAGAGTAGCCCAAAATGGTCAAGGGATGAGGGGGTGCAGCACACATGGGCTTTATGCTCATGTGTCAAATAGTGTGACGCAAATAAGGCTCCATAAATAGAATGCCACACCTCCACACCTCCTTAGGGTTTCAAGTTAGGCATTTAGGAAAAGGGGAAACATCAAGCCTCCTCCCTTG